ATATAAGAGCTAATTTATATATCGGTAAATAAATTACTTTCCTTTATCGCGGTATATAAAGAGATTATTAATACCGGTATTAAAAGGGAAGCTACCTATAATAACTACCGAGATATATATATTAATCGCGATATCGCGGGTAAAGTTATTTAGGTAATCGATAGTAACGTCGAGGAATATATTACGTCGTTCTTCGGCGGCGCTAGAAGTAGTAATTAAAGTAATTTTAGCGGCCGCGGGAGTATTTAAAATAGCGATAGCTTCCTTTATTACGGTAGATTAAATAACTAGCTCTAGGTACTCGGCCGGATCTTAATCGGATATAGCGGGGTCTTAAGCTCGTTCCTCGACGAATATTTAAGCGTAGTTACGGAATTAATTTATTCCATCGCTTAGTATCTTAATCGCGCTATCGATGCTAGTAAGGATTTCGTAAGAGCTAGGACGGTCGGATATTCTATCGAATTATTAGCTTTTAATTATTTATATCCGTATTAATATTATTAAAACGTAAGCTTATTTTATTCCTCGCGCCTATTATATTAATATATAACTTACGTTAATATATTATTATAAGCTCGCTACGATAGTAAGCGATAATAAAGGAATACCGTAATTAAAAGATAACTTACTTAAATAAAGTACGCGCGAATAAAGTAATATATAGGTTATATACGTAACCGAGAGCGATAGGGAATTAAAAAGGAGCGTATCGGATTAACTCTAGATATACTTCTATAAAAGAAAAGAGGAAAGGAAGAGAGCTATTACGAAAGAGTAGGAGATTTTTCTCTTATAATATAAGAGCTTAAGTATAGGGAGAAGCGTTACCGGGTATTAACTTAATAAAGCTACGAAAGGATTCGCGTACGATAATAATAATATAAAGCGAAATAATAGAAGCCCTCGCGAATATATAACGAATACGGTAAATATACTTAATTAAAAGCTACGATATATTTCTTTTATTAAAATATTAGGAAGAATTAATATAATAATTAATTAAAAGGATACTTTAAGTTATTAAGAGTATTAGATAGAGGCGTAAGTAATTAAAGCGACGAATATATTACCCCGGAAAGCTAGTAAGGCGAGTAAGGCTCGAGCTAACCTAGGACTTTAATTAGGAGGATAGCTAAGTTAACTATCGCGAGCCTTTCGGCTAAGTTACTATTATTATTTAGCTAAGCTCGCTATCGTAAGCCTAACTAAAGGGTATATTATATAAAGAGCTACTTATATATAGCTCCTTACTCCTTCTCGAGTTACTCGCTTACCTAATATAACTCTTAACTCGCTTATATAATATAGCTCGTAGTTCCTTATCGTTTATATATAGGTAGCTCGTATTTCCTTTATTAATCTCTTTCCTTCTTAAAGAGTTAATTAATTTACCTTCTTCTTCCTACCTTCCGTTACTCCTAAGAAGCAACCTTAGTACCTACGTAGCTCTCCTAATCTACGTGTCAAGTTCTTAATTAGGAATATTATATTAAAGCTCTACGCCTTTAAACTTCCTCGATTAAAACGCGATAAGGTAATATAAGCCTTTCTCGTTTAATTACGATAAGATCGCCGATATAACGTACCCGGAAGCGTTAGTTTCGATCCTTATACGCGCCTCGGGGTCGAAATATCGAAGTAGTAGCGCTTTCGTAAAGGCGTCGCGTAGCTATCGGAACGCTAGTACCTCCTCGCCCGCGAATTAGACTTTTCCTGGTTTTCTTCCGTTAATACTTCCTTTTAATAGTTCGTAGAAAGGCTTTACTATACGGGAATATCCTTTTATAAATCTACGATAAAAGTTATAAAATCCTAGAAATTATTATATCTCGTAAAAGGTCGTAGGTTCTAACTAGTCTTTAATAATATCTACCTTTTTTAGGTTTATCGAAACTCCTTCTTATAATATATAAAACCCTAGGAATTCGATACTATCGCGATAGAAGGAATACTTCGCTACGTTAGCGTAAAAATCGGCTTCTCGTAGCCTTTTAAGGATTTAGCGGAAGTTACGCGTATAGGTTTCTCGGTCTTATACGAAAATAAGAATATCGTCGAAATACGTTATATAAACGATATCGATTAACCCGTAAAGCGCTTTATAGATATAATTTTAAAAGGTAGTAGGGGCGTTAGTTAGTTTAAAAGGCATTACTAGATATTCGTAGTAACCGTATCGGGTCCGGAAGGCGGTTTTTCATTCGTCGTTCTCCTTAATTCGTATTTTATAATACGCGTCTTTTAGGTCTATTTTCGAAAAGATCTTCGCCCCCGAAACCCTATCGAAGATTTTAAATATAAGGAGAAGGGGGTATCGGTTCTTAGTCGTTAGTCGGTTTAACCTCTTATAATCGACGTATAGCCTTAATCCTCCGTTCTTTTTAGGTATGAAAAGAATAAGGGCTCCTACGGAGTTCTTCGATTCCCGTATACGTCTAAGTTTTAGGTTTTCCTATATATATCCTCGTAGCGTATCGAGCTTATTCTAGGCTAGAAGGTATATTAGGCTATAGAAAGGTACGAAATCCTCCGGCGTTTCGATAGTATAGTCGGCTTATTTATAAGGTAGTAATATAGCTACTTCCTTATCGTTAAATACGTCGATAAAATTTCGTAGCTCTTTAGGTAAGTCTTCGATACGCCTTAATATCGATATCTCTTTATCGGATAATAGGATAGGTTCTAATAATTAGATTATTATAAAGACTCTTACTTCGTTCTTTCGTACGTATTTTACGAACTAATAGGGTTTTATAAGCTCGTACGTAGGTTTTATAATTTTAAATTACTATCGATTCGTTTTTGTATCGAATAGGATACGTTCGTCCTTTATTATCGTTATAAAAAGTAATATAAGGCTTCCCTTTAGTTTAGGGTCTCGGTCGATCGCTATATATAAGCGTTTTAGCGTTTTTATTATACCCTTACTATCGGTAATTTATATTAATATAATATATATCCCGTAGCTTAGATACCGTAAGTCGCCGGTAACGCGTAATACTAGCGTTATAAGTTTAGTTCGTTAAAGTCTCGCTTATTTAGTAAACTCGACGCTAATATAATTTATTTTAACGCCCGAATCGAAATCGAAATACGTTTTAATAATAGTTAATACTTTTATTATAGCTTTAACGTAGAACCGTATTATAATCCTTATTAACGGATACGGCTCCGTAGGTTAGGATATACTTAAGAAACTTAGGCTTTTTCCTTTTCTTTAGCGAGGCTTCCGATATAAGGCGAGTTTCTCTTAAGGTACCGGTTAGCTAAGTACGCTTCGCTATCGTAAACGTAATACCTTAATATATTCCCGTCTTAACCTATTAAGTTCTTTTTAAGCGGGGTCGTATTATCGTCGTATCGCTAACGTTTCCTTAGCGTAGCGGTATTATTATCCTTATTAATCTTTCGCGGGGGCGTATCCTTTATATCGTTTCTCCTTTTTTAGGTCGGGCCTTAAATAAACTTAGCTACTTATTAGGCATCCTACTTAATCTCTACTTAATCGACGATATTTACGCGGCTCGTCGGCCTTTCGCTACCGAAATCCTTTAGGTATAACTTAAAAGGTACGTAGAATTTAGCGTAAAACGTTAAAACCTTTTAATTCTTTAACTTAGGTTTACTTTAATTTTCGATCGAGCTTAAGTAAATATCGAAATCTCGCGGAAATTAATTAAAATATTATCGAGCGTTTTTTATTTAATCCGTTAATTTATATTCGCGGTTAGTCGCGTTCTTTAGGAAGGATAAGGCTTATGTTTTAAATTATTCGAAGTCTTCGAGCGCTACGTCTTACTATACTTACGTCGGTATTTCGCTTATATAACGTCTCTATAATACTTTCGCCTTTAGTTTTATATAACGAATAACGTATAGGATCCGTTTCTATATCGATTTAAACTTCTTAAAAGCGCTAAGGTATATAAGGTCGAGATCCTTTAATTATTCTTCGAATTTCTTAAAGCTAAAGTTCCTTTAAAAGATAAGGGTTTCTTTTATTTTAAGGTCGGAACCTTAGTTATCGTTTAACGAATTAATATCGCTTCGATAACGCCTGCCTTTACCCGGGCGTTTATTAAAGTTACTATAAACCTCGTTCTTTAGTTTCTTAAGGCGTTACTAGGCTTCCTTAAAGGCTTTTAGTTAACGAATCTTTTCTTTAACCTCTTAGAGGTTCTCTTATAGGATATTTAATTTAGTACGGAAGCTATTACCCGCTTCGTTTTCGTAGGTATCGCCCTCTTACTAGCGAAGTCGCTCGTTCCGGGAACTATTACGAATTACCCGCGATTCGCTTCCTACGGGCTCGTTACCGCTTCCTTTTATAATACGGGCTATCTTTATTAGGTAGCTTTTAAAGAAGTACTTAAATTATAATGGAATCCTTAAGCTAGGTAATAAGTATTTTCCCGTAGTAACGTAAATAAGTACTTACCTTTTAAAAGGATAAGAAAGCGAGTACCTAGCGATAGGCGGTCGCTTATATAGCGAGAAGCGGGATAAGCTAAAACGGTTACCGCCTAAGAGGTATCCTCGTACCGGTATAGGTACCATAGTACCTTGTACCCTCGTACCTATCGCGTACCTTCCTATCGCTCCCTTATAAATACTAAATAAATTAATAAAAAAGCTTATTTTCTATAAAGCTTTATTTTTAAAACATTCTTTCTAAATATACTTTTAACTACTATACAAAGATATACTTTATTAATTTTTATTATTAAACTTTACTCTAGAACCGTATCGTATAGCATAAAAGTAAATAGTGATAGTGTAGTAGTAGTAATGTAGTAGTAGTATCGTAGTAGTAGCGCAGTAGTACATAGTACTAATCGCGGTAGCAGTAATAGCGGAACCTGCTTTAGAGCAAGCCATAGGGGGCTTAAGAAGCCTTAGAAGGTAAAGGGTGGAAATTTACCCGCCTGCTTCTTGGCGCTCCATACCACACCACTTTTGCCACCTGCTAGGTAATTTAAAGTAGTCCGTAGATGGGTGGCTTATGGAGGGGGTATCTCTGCTCGCAGTCGGCGACATCGAAACCCGTACCAGACGAAGGCCCTCTCTAATACGCACCGAGTATTTATTATCGCGTCGTCTATACAATACGACTTAGCAGTCGGCCGCCCAACACCAGGAAAGGGCCCGCAGCGCGACTTCCGTCTGCGTATCACGACCCTAAGCCCAGGCAGTTACTCGGACTGGTACCTACATCGTACCTTCTCTGCTTCACTCTGTCACCACGCAGGTACCTTAGGTAAGATTCCTGCGCAAACCACCCGACTCTCTCATTTCCATCTTTCCTCACTGGATGTCTCCCCACCAGCACCCCCGCCCCGTATCCCCTCCCGCCTCTCCGGAGGGGGCGTCCGTGTTCTGCCGCCCACGTCAACCACCCGCTCAGTTAGAGGATCTAGGCCCGAGACACATTTCCTGCACGCCCTATGAGAATCGATATCATGATAGTCCCTCAATTAGGCAGGCTCCGCGCCTATATGCGTGGACGGGGCTCTCGGATGTTGCCTTGCGCTAGTACATCCCGCCTATCTAGCAATCCCCTGGGCCTGGGAATAGCTCTCGGTAACCCGAGGTCTATGAGAACCTGGGCGTGTCGTGCCGATCGCGTCAGGCCCGACCATCAAACGAAGCAGGGTGGGGGGATGCCGGCATCCTCCGGGAGGGGCCCTCCCCTTGACCAGTTGGCCACCCTGACGGACCCCGAAAGGCTGGAGTCTGCCGTGCGTGTCGGCGTTAGGTTACTGGAGGATTTGCGTCGTGCTCTTCGCGCCCCCAACCACCCCGGCCGGGAATGGGCAGGGGAAGTCAACGCGCTCCTTGGGCGTGCGAAGCCAACCCGCACCGTCATAGGCGTGGTCGGCAATACCGGGGCAGGCAAAAGCTCCATAATCAATGCTGTCCTCGACCAAGAGAGGTAATACTCAAACCACCCTTCCTGTTCTTGAGTATTGGCTGCGTATGGGTCTGGCGTGCCTATGGGATTCTACTGACGAGAACCTAAAGACTGCTCCCTACCAGTTGTTTGCGTGCCTGTACTGCATCGCCCAAAGAAGTTTCGTACAACTACTCGGACGACCCCGCGGAATTGTATCGGGCGGAAATCCAGTTCCTCACCGAGGAAGAATGGATCAGCGAGCTCAAAATACTCCTCAGCGACCTATCGGATGAACAAGGCAGAGTATCCCGAGAATACGCGAGAGCCGACAACAATGCCGAGATTGCCTATGCGAAGCTGGAGGCTGTTTACCAGCAAAGGACCAAGCAGATGATCGCCCAGGGCTCACCCGAGGCATTCGCAAATGAGACCGCTGTCAAAAGCGTGTTGGGTTCCGTCGAGATACTTAAAGATGTCTCAGCGGAGGGCCTGTCTAGTCGCCTGCAGCGTTATGTGGACAGCCAGGGAAGGATAATCGGCTCCGACAACAAGGGCGACACCGTTCCGATGGAATACTGGCCGCTTATTAAATTTGTCCGGGTCTACACCAAGGCAGATGTCCTCTCTACAGGAGCGGTGCTGGTCGACTTGGTGAGCCATTTCGAGTTCCCTGACCCCTGATCACTCTTCACGCCTGTTAGCTTTGTTACACAGGCACCGCTCTAATACCCAAGAACTGTCTGTCTGCTAACGGACAATCCCAGCCCGGTACGCAAGACGCGAATCCCGCTCGCGTAGCTATCGCAGAAAAGTACATGTGAGTACGGAGTATTAATAGCTGTGGAATCCGTCGCGCCCTCCATGACTCGAAGCCCTCTTCACAAGAAAATTTGCCTAGTACTAACCTATCCTATGAAAGGGGCTCCTGCACGGGCTACTTGATCGTCGCACCCATTACTCGAGCTATGGACGACAAGACAGCAAAAACACTCCTCGGCGACGCATTTAAGCGCCAGTTAAAATATGACGGTGCATACTCTGCAGTCACCTTCGTCTGCTCCAAGACGGACGATATATCTATCACCGAAGTTTCGGATAGTCTCAATCTCGAGGAAGTGATCTCGAAAGCCTGGGAAACAGCCGAGAGGTTGAAAAGCTCCATACCAGAACTCGAGTCCACCTTGGCACAACTGAAAGATCGAAGAGAACGGTGTATCGAGCAAGCCGACGATCTTGATGCCAAGTACGAGATGTGCGAGGATCTGCTCAACCAGGCCGCGGACACATCAGACACTGACCGCGGTTCGGAGACGTGGAAGCCTGGCTCGAGGCTTCAGGAGAACCCGCAGCCGACGGACGATCTCCGGCTACTCCCAGAAGGCGACATTAGGCAGATTCTTCCGTCACTCAAGTCACAGATGAAGGACATGCGTAGAGAACGACAAGAAGTCGACAAGGAAATTGATGCCGTCGACAAGCAGATCCGGAGCAGGGAAGACGAGTACGAGGCAACCCTGGCTGAGATTACATTGCGCTGCATCCAGGAACGCAACAACTACTCACGTAATGTAATCAAACGAGACTTTGCCCTTGGAATCAAGGAGTAAGTCGTCCACACCAGAAGCACCCGGAAAACGCTACTCCTCAAGTTCCGCATATAACAATTCAACGAACCCATACTTTTATTGAGCGCATCCGATATATTAGCTAACAGAACTTTGGTATAGGCTGGACGAGGAAATCGCTACGGGAGAAAAGGGATCGGCTTCTGGCTCGTCACAAGACCTTAGAAATTATGACGAGGTTGCTCGTCGACTACCTGTGTTCTGCGTTAGCAGTCGCGCGTATCAACAGGTTAGCGGTCGGCTCCAAAGGGATGGCTTCAAGGGCCACGGCTTCAAGCGTTTAGAAGACACCGAAATCCCGCAGCTACGAGCACATATAAAGAAATCCGTGGAAGGGGAGCGAGCAAGCCAGTGCCGCCAATTCCTAAACGAACTGTCCCTATTGACCAACTCGATAAAGCTCTTGGTAACCAACGCAACACAACCCCGCGCAGCAGAGCAGCAGAGGCTCCAGCAAGAGATTTCTTTAAAGGGTGTCCTGAGGGACTTGGAAAAGGTATGTACCACATCAACTCCTGCTGTATATCGATGAGTGTTGTTGGCTTGGTGGCGACTGCTCGGTCTCCTGTATCGTGGCCCGTGTACTGAGACAATGCTATTGCCGTCGTAGTATGAATCGTGCGGTAGTTTTCAACTCTGGAATCCGTGTTAACATGGTGTAGAACCTAGATGCATTAGTCAAGGACACCGCACAGTTGGTAAAAAACTCTGTTCGCGAGCTCATCTATAGCGTATTCGACTCATCCGTGCAGAATGCGGCGGCCATAGCCCCGAAAACAGTAGAGGCTTGGGGCCGTATGTCCTGGCAAACTTACCAAGCGACCATCGTGCGGAACGGTGTTTTCTCCGGCGTCAACGGCCCTTGCGATTTCAACCAAGAACTGTTTGATCCAGTCTCTCGCGATCTCGTGACGGGGTGGGTGAAGGCGTTCCAATATCGCTTGCCGGAAATCCTCGAGCAATTCAGTCGTAAGGCGCAGGAGCACTTGGGAGCGTTCCACAGGATAGTTGGAGGTGAAGATTACCAGAGGCGTTCGAGTGCGGAGGAGGTGGCCATTTTATCTCAACAAATCCAAACTCATACTCGCATGCTAGACCAACTCCCATCTCAGCTACGTGGGTCCATGACAGAGGCTCAGAAGGCGATTAGTCGGAGATTCACTCCCTTTATTCGCGAGGCCATGAGGCCGGCTTACCGGGCCTGTCTAGAGGAGAAGGGACCGGGTAGCTACTTTCGCAAGAAGATTATCATGATGGATCATGTCAACAAGGCTCGGCTCACCATGTTCAGTGAAGCTACGATGGAAGCCAGGTCTCAACTGGATAAGATGTGTCTCTCCGTCGAAGGCCAGATGGCGAAGAAGGTCAAAGCCACGTTTGGCAGCATCTCTTCTGAGTACATGAGGGTTTTTGGCAAGCAGAATTCCACACCCCCCCTTCGTCTGCAACTAATTTGCTAATTGCTAGGGTATTTAGCTGGCACTTGGGCTAAGCGTCGCATGGCCTTGTCTCCCGACGACCTTGCAATGCTGGGAGAGGTCTCCAAGATTCTGCAGCACAACGACTCGATGTTCGCATCCATAGTAAGCAAAGTCGACGAAGGCAGCGCGCAAACTACAGACGGCGCCAGAGGAAGGGTTTCGTCGGCAGATCCAGCACCAGTAGCGCTAAAACGGCCGGACAGCGCGATACGCAAGACGCGAAAGACGACCGCCAGCGTACCCTAGATACTTCTGCACCAGCGGACGCCGGTGAGCCCAAGCAACCCGATACCAGCACCCAGGCCCCAAAAAACGATAGTGAGTCGTATTCACAATTTCCAGCAACTCATGAAGAACGATTGGCCGGGTTCTTACTATGTAGCTGTCTTGACGATCCCTTCCCGTCGCCCGCCACCCGTTAGGTAACCCGAGATCACGAGCTAATTTTTATTACATAAAAAATTAGTCCATGCGCGAAGAGTTCCCATTCAAGTGTTCGCCAAGGCGTCACAAGGCTAAGAGGGCGACGACACGTTACAGCAATACGAGTCGTGTGTTAATAACGTATTAGGTACAACACTATGAGACAATATGGGGGTTGCGGGCACGGCTAGCGTTTGTCTATGCACGTAGTAATAGGTAGGTAGTAGTCGTGATGTATAAGAATGTGCGTTGGGTGGGATGGAGAAAGATTGGCAAGTCATAGGGAAGCTAGAGTGGATTGACCTGTTGAACTACTCGGCGCGGCGAACAGAGCACGGGTTTAAGTTAATTATAAGTCGTTGGTAGGCTCTCATTATGAGTTGGTTGGTTGTCGAGTTACTGAAACATGTCAACAGAGAAGTTCTACAGAATAATTTCGTCGACATCTTAGCAAAGACGTGATCCGGCGTCGAGCGTGAAATATGGCTATTAAGCAATTATCGCATACGAACCTATACACAGGCACGTAAACCTTCTTATACCGAAAAGACGGTCCGCGATAGAGGGGTTGAGAAAAGGAGTTGTTCGCTTAGCCGATACGTTGCCCCTTTTTGTCACGACGCGGCGGCGGTACGAGGGCGTCAACGCCAGGTCCCCTTCTCCCCCTACGTGGCCAAATCTTGTGCAGCGACCAGAAAACAGGTAGACGCGGATAAGAAACGAAGGTCTCGGCCAACCTCGCGCAAGCTTTTAGCTCCCTGCCCGTAGGGATTCCGACTTTGAGCACGGGGCAGGTAGGTACCTATCGGTTCGCGGCCTGATCCGGGCCCAAGGCGATAAGTCGCGCAGGAGAGCTCGCTCGCTCGCTCGCCGCGGACGCGCCGCGCAAGGCTACGCACGACAACGAGCGCTGCTAGCCCGATCGCGCCCGTCGCTGTCTGGGTGCCTGCTCACCTCGGGTGCTTATCTACGGCGATGCTCGGGCCCGGGCGGAAGCGCCGCTGTCGACGAAGTGCCGGAGGCTAGCAGCGCGGAGGCATCCCAAGGAACGGGGTGCCCTGAGCAGGCAACAGGCGCCCCCGCATTACCCACGACGGGCTGGGCGAACTCGCCAGCTGTTGTATCTTCTCGCCGTTCTCCCTCGCGCCTCTTCCCTTTGCTTCCAACGAACACCACCACCGACAATCTGTCGACTCGCCCCTTTGGCTAGGTGGTGGGCGTGTGCTCGCGGACGCGTCGACAGAGAGGGTGGCCCGAGGACGAAGTCGTCGGCCGGGCCCTGGTTGGGCCTTGTATCCCGAGCAAGCAGCGCCGGGAACACACACGAGGGCGCGGACACGCTGGCGACAGCCCGCCGCCTGATTCCCACACTACGTCCTCAATACCTACGTTTGTTTTGAGGTGAATCCTTGCCACGTCGGGAGCCTAGACGTATACCGTAAACCGGCGCCGAGCTAGCCCCTCTCTGCGTCCCGAGACAAGTTGCGAAATCACCGGGGGAGCGTACGTGCGATGAACTAGCGGGCAATGTCCGTAGCGCGAGGGCACGCATCGTGATAATGCCTAGGCCTAAGCACGGTCCGCTCGGAACGCAGGGCTACGATCAGGAGCCAGTCCGCGATACACTTGTCGTGCGGCGGCCCTGGGCAGAATGAGACACCCCGTCCTTTCGGGACGTGATATCAAACGCCGGAACGCGGAGCTTCTACACGAGAATACGCTGTCGTGGAGGAAGCTAAGTATGTATATATATATAAAATAAGGCCCGAATTATTCTACTTCGTAGAATAATTCGGGCTTATTTTTAACGTAAACGCTAAAAATAATAACCTATCCGGAGGATAAAGAGATATAAAAAGTATACTTAGTTTATTTAATACCGATTTTTAGAGCTACGAACTTTATTTATTATAGAAAACCTAGAAAACGTAAGAAATTATATATAAAAAACTTATAATTTATACGAAACTATCTTTTATAAATTCGAAATTAGTTTAAATTTTTACGTTAACGTATATTATATTAAGCAAAGCGTATATTATTTACGATAAAAAACGTATATAGTGAAACGAATTTAAAAAGAATAAAATATAAAAGAAATCTAGTATAGAAAATTTTTTTTAAAGTTAAAATTACGTAGGTACGTAATTTCTATATTAAAAAAGGGCGCTATGCCTAATAAAACTACGAAACCCTTAAATTTATATCTTTATTACTTCTTTTTACGTTTCTTTTCTACTTTTTTCTATATACCCGTATTTTTTTCTCGTAATATACGTAGGATTTCTCGTAATAATTCGTTACTAGAAAGAGCGTTAATATCTAATCCTTATTACTTTATAACCCGCTCTTCCGCCTTCCGGATTACCTTTCTAGTTTTCTTATAAACTTTATTAAAAGCCTATTTTAAATTAGAATTTCTACGCTAGCGTACTTTATTACGTATTAATATACCTTTTTATTAATTTTTTTAAAATCGAGAGCTTTTTTTAATTCTATAAATTTAACGAGCTCTAGCTCGGCCTTCCGGGGTATCTTAACGTAGGCGTAGTAGCCCTTATAATAATAATAGTAGCGATTATCTTTTATACTTATTAGTTATCGCGTATACGTAACTTTCCGCGTTTTCTACGCTATTTTATATACCGGTTCTTTTTACGTAGGCGTTCGCTTATAATCGATTAATTCGTTTAAAGTATACCTTATAAGGTAACGCTTTTTCTTCGTTACCGTCGTCGTCGCTACCGTCGTCGCTATCGTTATCGCTACCGTCGTCGTCGTCGTCGTCGTTACTAATAGAGGAACGGACTCGGTTTATAGGTAGATTTTATATAATAAAATTAACGCCTACGTATATTATTACTTAATCGCGTACTTTTTTTTATACCATAAAGTTCGTAAAGTATAACTTACTTTATAGGATATACTAGGAGAGGAAGGGTCGCTACCGCCGCCGGCGGCCGCTAAGCTGCTAGTATTACTTATCGTAATATTAATACTAGTTACGCGGTAGGCGTCGTTAGCCGATAGCTAATCGAAGCCTAGGTTAGCGAGTTCGGTAGTCGAAATCCTAGATACTACTTTAATTAATTAAATCTATCGCGCGCGTATTAAATTTCTTACTTTTTTTAATTATTTTAATCTTATTTCATTAAATAAAAGACTACGAAATATCGTTAGCGTTTATTTTAAGCTTAATTAACTATATATAAAGGTTTAAACTTACGTAATTATAAAAGGGATAGGAAGCGTAAAGAAAAAGAAAAGGAAATAATAAAAGTAATTAATAATAAAAAATAGGTTATTTTATTTCGTAAATAAGGAAGCGTTATAGGAAGTCGCGATTAAAGGAAGGTACGGCGCTAGTTATTAAGGAAGTCGCGATATCTTTATACGTTAGGAAGGAACGGCGTACTTTAGGAAACGCTCCGTAATTAAAGTAAGAAAAACGTACTCCTATATAAAAAATGGTATATCTACGCTACTTTTATACCCGTACTCTTTACTTCTACGCGGTTTAGCTATATAAAGATTAATTAAAGTATTATAAACTATATTCGCTCGATAGAATTAACGTATATATATTACTTTTATTCGTTATTTATAACGCTAAAGTACGTTATTTATAAGGATATCGTAATAAGTATAAAGGTTAAGTAAATAGCTATATACGTAAACGGAGATCTCTATCTTTTAGCTTAGCTTTTATACCTACGAAATATATATTAATTTAAATATTAATAAACGTAAAAAGAAACTTATTATTTATTAGCTCCTTATATACCGCATTCCTATGAAACGATTCGTCGAATATTAGGCCTTATAACGAGGTAACCCTAAAGTAAGCGACGTAATTTAACCCTAACGCGAATTCCTTCTTTATAATTCTAACGATAGCGTAAAGAATAATAATACCTTACGTTTTATAAACGGTTATTACGTATGAAATAGTTAGGGGGAATTATTTTCGTATATAGGAGATACCTTTATAATCGAACTCCTAGCGCTCGCGTAATATTAATATTACCTTTTTCCCTCGAGAATCGCGTAACTTATTTCCTTAAGTATCTTTAAACCCGGGTCCGTCGTAATCGTCGAAAGCTATTATAATTATTATTAACGGCTTACGTTTAGGATTAGCGCCTTACGTTTAATTTATATCGTAAATAAAGCCTTAGGAGTTATTAATAAGCCGTATTTCGGAAGAGATATTACGTAATAATATTACTCGAGCGTTTATATAGAGTAATAGCTTAGAGAAGAGGTTACTAGCTAAGTCGCTAGGCGCGTTTAGCGCTCCTCGGCCGTAATAGATAACGTACGTTTAAATAATTAGCGAATTAAGCGTTACGAAATAGTTAAAATTATATTAAAGTATCTCTTTACGCGTAGAGTATATACGTATTACTTCTTTAAAGCCGAAACGATCCTACTTAGTTAATACCGCGGTTACTTTCGTAAATAAGAATTAGAACGACTCGGCGGAGACTTACGTTAAGCGTAATTCGTTTAGCGCTTTTCGAAAAGGCGCTTAGTCCTCGCTTATCTAGCGTTAAACTACCGATAGAAATACCGACTTAAAAAAAGCTCTATACGTATTATAACCGACGAATTCGTTTACCAAAAGATACGTCGAATTAGGAATATAGATAGGCTTTAATAATACTAGGGGTAACTAAAAGAAGTCGCCGATTAAAATTATATTTACGTTATTAAAAACCCGCGAGTTACGCGGGAATATCTACCGTAAACGGCGGTTAATAAACCTAAATATACGTAGCCTTAATATATTCTTTTCGTCGATAATTAAATAGTAAAGGTTAATAAGGCGTCGTTATACCTTAGCGAAAGCGTTATTAGAAAGCGGCTTAAAGTTACGCTCTACGGGTAAACGAAGGAAAGAATATATCGTTTTCCCGCGAATATTATTACTCGTAGCGTTAGTTAAGATAGTAAGGGCTACCGAGTCTTAAGTAAAAGCCTAGCGAACGTAGGAGGCTAAAATCTTAATTAGATACGATTTTTTAGTACCGCTATTACCGTCGATTTAAAACAGGAGCTAGTTTTAGTTACGACTTTATACGTAGCCGAGAACGGTATCGTAAATTAGCCTTTATTTTAGATTTAGCGTATTACGGGTATTTAAGGGAACGATTTCCTATTCCGGCGTATCCGTAATACTTATTATTTCGCGTTAATAAGTAGAATCGTAAAAGTAAGGGTACTTATATCGGGCTACGTATATAGCTTAATCGTAGTTTACGTCGATATCTTTATTCCTAAGTACGTTAAATATTTCTTATATAGGCGCTTAATTCGGGAGTAAACGCGTTAATTTAGCTTAGTCCTCTTCGTTTAAAGCCTATTCTTTTTTCTTTAAGAGTTCGAACTCCTTTTCGTCGGGTCCGGAAAGGTCGCCGTAGTAATTATCCTCGTATTAATAGGTTACTTAATATCGCGTATACGTTAATATATACGTTAGAAATTAGGTACCGTTAATTAAAAGTAACTCGTCCTTATTAATATACGAATAATTTAATATAAACTTAACGCGATAAAACGACTTTAGTTCGCTAGGGCCTTTATTTACGCGGTAAATAGGATAATAATTAAGTATACGTTCTTTTACGTTACGTTAAAAAGGGCGTTAATCGCGAGTATATGGCTTATTAAAATTCTAGATCGATACGAAGCGAAAGAAGCTTAATTTAATAATTTCTAATACCTTTAAATCGCGCTAGAGATACTTCTTATAAGTATTACGCCCGCTAGAAACGTCGCTAGAGCCGAGCTCGAGGCTATAGTCTTATTCCGCTAAGGGCCGGTAATCTACGTTACGTATAATACGCGAATTAGCTTATAAGAGTAGCTTATATAATATATAATAGACCTCTTACGTAAAATAATCTCGCTTTCCGATTAATTTATTTATTAACTTCGATATAAAAAAAAGAAGAGGATTTACGCTAAAGACCTTTAGGAAGATTTATTTAGTAAGGACGTTATAATTATCGGTTTTAATTTCCGCTTTAAAGTAATACTTCGTTACGTAATTTATAATAGCTTTTACGCTAATATAAGGCGAAATATTAATATTAGCTAGCTAAGTAAAGGTAATTATTCGATTATATTAATTTAATTACTCGTTATTACGTTACGCTTTAAATAATTATTAGGTTTTATACGGCCGTATAATAATCTCGGCGTAAGCGCGGTACGGCCGCGGGAAAAGAAATCGGCATTCTAAAGGTAGTAAAACGCTATTACCCTATTCCGCTTTTCGCGCTTTACGCTTATTAATACGAAGGTAATATACGGGAGAGTATTTATAGCGTTAGTAACGATTAATAATTTAAGAGAGCTAACGAAACGACGGCCGCGCGTTTAAAGGCCGTAGTACGAACGAATTACCCTTATTTTAATCTAAGCGCCGGCGCGGCTTTAGATTAACCGTAGAAGCGTAGTAGCTTTAAATACGAGCGTAATTTTAGCGTTATTCGAAAGAGGTTATATTAAATAACGGATTACCTTTAAATTAAAATAACCCGTAGTAATACGTACTCTTACGCCCTTAAAATTCGTATCGATATTAATAATTACGTAAGCCGAACTTCTTAATTAAAACGATATTACGGAAAAGCTAATTCCGAGCGTAAAAATATTACGCGGTAATATAGGGATTAGTTTTTAATAACTCGCGGAATAAGCGCATACGTTAGATTTTAAGGGAGGAGAGCTATTCCTAAAAGCGTAATATATATTAAAAAAGGCTCCGCTAATAAAGATTAATAAGGCTTAAGGTAAAAAAAGCGCTAGGAATCCCGAGGTATTTAATAAAAGTAACGTATTCGCGTTTTCGTTTAAATTAAAAAAGCCGCGTATCCTTTAAATGAATTATAACGCGCGTAATATTCCTTAATAACGTATTAGCTTCGGTATTCTTAAGGTTTTCTAACGCTTACTCGAGATCCTACCGCGTAATTTATTACTACTAGGCGTCTTTTTTCCTTACGAAATATTTACTTATTATTATCGCTTATTAACGCATAAGTATATTAAGCGCGATAAAGCGGAAAGTAAGGTATTACGCGAATCGATTATCGCGTTAACGTATAACGTATTATACTTAATCGTCGAAATCGATCTTACGTTACTTTAGATATATAAATTTAGCTTCTTTACGCGGAAATAAGGTAGGAAACGCTAATAAAAATAACGTAGTTAAACGCATAAACTCGTTAATAAGGGTTTAGTAAATAAAAGGTATGAATAAATAATAGGTACTTATAAACTTAACGGAATGACCTTTAAAAATAAACGCCTCCTTTAATTCTAATTCTAAACGTTTTATCTTAATTTATTTTAACGTAACGTTTAGTATAATAAATTTATCGTATTAAGCCTTTAATCCTTCTAGGTCGCCTTCCGTAATTAAGCTAGCCTAGAGCGCTTAACCGTTATCGACGAAGTTTTAAATATTAAGCTACTTAAAAACATTACCGTCGTTAGGTAGCTCTTCTAACGCGGCGCGATTTCATTTAAAGTCTTTATAACCCGGGTAATTATATCTTAAATACTTAAGCTATATTTCGATAACGCGCCGACGTATTCTAAACTTAGTTCGAAACTAGGTTATTTACTCGGGATTTTACGCTAGTTCGCGTAAGCGTAATAAAACGATATTAAAATACTAAGGAAAAAGGAAAAGATAATCGTATACTTTATTAACGTTACGTATAAAATATACGACGTAGCCGCGATATTTATACTACTAATCGCGGATTATAAGTATATTTATTATTACGTAAACCCGCGTAATAAGTAATTCTTCGATTATTATTGGCTCTAATAATAAATTAAAAGAAGGAAGGATATTAAAGTTAAGATAATTACCTACGTTAAAAAAGAAAGGCTTATCTACGCGTCTCTTTTAGTCTTTATTACGATAACGCTTATAGATACCCGCGGTATTTAGATCCATATTAAATTAATATTCTTTATAACGACTATAATATTTACGTCGTTTTTACTTTAGCGTTAATTAAAACCGTATTAAAATCGCATAATCGGTATCGCTAATTACGTTAACGTCGAGGTCTTCCTCTTACCGTAACGGCTTAATTATAAACGAACTTTAACGATTAAAAACGCTACTAAGTTCTTAAAAGTAAACGGTATTTAGGGAAAAGGTTTAATTAAAAGGTCGGCCTAAGCGCGGTTACTCTCGCGTTAGTTTTAACGTAAGGGGTTCTAACGTAAGGGGCCGTAAAGGTCGGCCTCGACGTACTTATACTTACTTTAGTATTAATTCTAACGTAAACGCGCGTAGAGGTCGGCTTCGACGAATTAGCTCTAGCGCTAGTTCTAACGTAGGCGTACGTAAAGGTCGGCCTCGACGAACTAATTCTTACGCTTATTCTAACGTAAGCGTACGTAAAGGTCGGCCTCGACGAGTTAACTCTCGCGTAAGTACTCGAAGAAGTCGTCCCCGGGGCGTTAATTCTAGCGCTATCGTTAAATCCGTTAGTTATAATTATATTATTAACGAAGAAAGTAAAGGAATAGGAGAAAGGTTACCGTTATTACGTCGGGTTACCTTATACCGTCTTCGAATTTACTATCGTAATACGTTACCTACGCGTAAAGCTACTTTTTTAACGCTTAAATTATATACCCGAGGCTACGCGGTAATAAAATATAATCGATAATAAGTAATATTTAATCGCGGAACCGGTTAAAGCGTTTTAAGCGTAGGATCGGATCGGAAATCCTATATAGAATTAACGGTAAAGTATAAACTATTAATATAAAATATTAACCTAAGTAAAACGGCGTATATTTTCGCGGTAAGAGAGATAATTTTTTATAAATATAACGTAATTTCGTAAATTAATAAATTACTCGATAGCTTAAATTCTTCCGTAAGTACGATATTCTTTAACTTAAAGCGACTTTATTTTAATTAAACTAAGGATAGATTATAAGAATAAATTATAAGATACGGAAAAGAGTAGGAATTATATAAATAGAAGTAGAAACGTATAAATAAACGCGTTAGTAAATATACGTAAGAATCTTAAGGGGTAATAAGGATACGTTAAATAAGAAAACCTTTATTTATCCCGCCGTTTTTATTAGGTATACGCATTTTTAGGCACCTATAGCGCGTTTTTTAGCTAGTAAAAACAGAGTTTCCCCTAAATAACACCCCTTTATAGGGTTATTTATAGGGTTATTTATAGGGCTATTTATAGGGGTATTTAACCCCGTAATTAATTAGCATAACAGGGGGTTATGCGTATTATAACTATCCTCCGGATAGGATAAACCTATACCTCGAAACGGGGAGTTATCAAGGGTAGATCTACGTTCTCCTGCAGCTAGACACATTTTATATAACAAGCCTACGCCCACCGTTGCGGGTAAGAATACGGCCTTTCTCGTGCTTCCGGCCTGCCGGCCCCGCCCGAGGCGCTCTTGTAGGGCCTCATCTCCACGTGGTCCCCTCGCGGGGGCGACACACTCACAGTCCGGGCGCCGTTTACGGGGGTCGGCGTGTAGGGGGGCGTGGGGTCGTCGAGCGGAGCGCGGCCGTGGCGCGGACGGGGGGCGGGCGGGCGCGACGTCGCCGCCGCCGCCGCCGCCGCCGCCGCGTCCCCCCTCTGCTTGCGCGCGTTGCGGCAGCGCGAGACCTCGGCGTAGACGGCGGCGGCGAGCCACAGGCTACACATGAGGACGGCGAGGACGACGTAGGTGGTGGTGTAGTCGCGGCCGGCGTCGGCGAGCCGGATGCCGAGCCCGCCGTTGATCACGCCGAGCACGATCGCGCCCCGCCCCAGCCACAGGTGCGCGTGCGACCACCCCGTCCGCCGCCCCAGCCGCTTGAACAGCGCGTGGTGCGCGCCCCCCAGGATCGGCTGGACTAGTACAGCTGCTAGCACCACGAGCCCGATGCCCATGTGCGTGCTCATGCCCGGCATGTCCAGCTGTCCGTTCCCGACCGGGGTTAGCAAAAGGGCGTGGCTTCTTTCGGATGAGCGTGCAAGGGGGGCGGAGGAGAGCGAGCGGGGGCCGCAACAGCGTAGGGGAGAGGAGGCAAGCTCACCAAGCTTCTCTCGTCAGGCGGCAGCTTGACGGTAGCTACGAGCGTGAGGCCCAGGGCGGCCGCGGCTATGTAGGTGATAGTGGCGAGGATCTGCGTGCAGGCGTGCCACAGCCAGGTATGGCGGCCCGGGACCATGCGCATGATGCAGGCGCCCACGGGGAACAGGGCCACGAAGGCGACGAAGGCCAGCGCGCCGTGGGCCCTTCGGTATTGCATCGCCAGCTCGAGGTCGGAGCCGGCCGCCGCCGACCCCCCTCCGAAAGGGGAGGAAGACCCGTCGTTGCCGCCGTAGGGCCCGCCCGAGTTGCCATTTGACGGGTCCCACGACGTCGCCCCCGAGTCGTCGTCGTCGGTGCTCCAAGGGCCCCAGGCGTGCACCCTCGCCGGAGGGTTGGCTGGGTTCGCGACGAGTTAGTATGGGCCGCTACGACAGACCCTTCTGCATGCGCGAGGCGAGAGCTGGAGGGGAGGGGGGAAACGGGATTTGGGCTGGCTGGCTTGCTAGGAGACGGGCAGATGCGCGAAGTGTAAGGGACGAACGGCGTACCTAGGAAAGCGAGGAGGAGGAGGCCGAGAGCAGAGCGCGGCACCATGGTATGATGTCACTGGCGTGTCTGGGCTTGGGGTTGGTTAAGGATACAGCGGACTTGTCACCGCTGCGTCGATACTGGTGCTTGCAAGGGCCGCCAGGGGGGTGACAAGACGAGAATGCTTTGGAACCGGGGGCCGACAGGATAGGTAGAAGCAGAGGCGAAGGCCATCGCGGCCAGGATCATGCGAGCGCCGGCATATAAAGTGAAAACGAGGTAGGACGTTGGTCGCCTCGCTGACGTGCTTCCGGGCTCGCACCTTTGCCCTCTCCCTTACACTTACACTTGCGCGTACACACACATGCGACTTCATCAGCCCCTCCTGTGTCCGCCTCCCCCTCCCTCACTCCCGCGCGCGGCGCCCGTACTTATAAGGTCCACGCGAGGAACCAACAGCGAGAGCGCGGTACAGGTCGAGGTAGGCCAGCGCCCGCTCGCCCAGGCCGTCTGTCCCACGCAGCCCGTTACACCCCCACCACCACTACCACGTAGCCGCGCACTCATCCTCCGCTCGGCCTATCACGGGGCCTTCTTCTTCCCTGCCCGCATTCTCTTCGCTTCTCGTCTCGACGCGTCGCCTCGGACTCGGACGCCCGGGCTGGGGATCTGCGGCGTGTGGCCCCCTACCCCCCCTCTCCTCCTCCTCCTCCCCCTTCTCTCTGCCGCCGACCTAACACCTAGTTACCAACCTACATTATCCAGCCCGTCAGGCCCACGTACCTAAAAGCGACGGGCCGGCGCCGCATGGGTTTCTCGAACAAGCGTACGCGTACGTAGGCCTCTCAAGCCAACCAACAAAGGCGTCTTGTCGGGGCGGTCGGGAAGTCGGCGAGTCGGCGAGAGGAACGGACGTGGCAGAGGGGGAGGGAAAGAGGGTGGACGCGATAGCCCCCAAGCTTCGGGACCGAGGGGCACACGTATGTGCGTGACCCCACGTTTATCTGTATATGCCCATATCGAATACGTATCTACCTACCGGATCTATGTACGTACGCGTATCTATTATCCACTCTACACACCTTCTCGTACACGAGCAACGACCTCGTTGACGCCAGCACCCCGTCAGGTATGCGCATCCCGTATACGCACCCACGCCCGTATATATAGACATACCCCAGCTACGTCGAAACCCAACGTCGACTCTTGGCTTGGCATAACCGTATCCCGATACGAACGCACGCAAAACAGCTACCTACCTACCTTCACGGCACCGCACTGCCTACCACATCTCACCTCGCGCCGTCTCGACTCTAATACCGCACAGCTGCGTCAGCGCGAGCGCGTCGTGACCGCATCACGCCGCCGGCCAGCCCGGGACGCAACTCTGTTTCCGCACACCCCGGGTGCCTTGCCCGCACCCGCCTCTTCTCGAGCTCTCTTTGGCTTCTGCCTCTCTTTCTCGTCCCTCTTTTCCCTCTTTCGTTTCTTTCTGGCTAATCCTCTCTCTTCCGTCGTATATGTGTATACCTACATATACGCAGGTCCGTGCCATCCCGGACCCCCCTTCCCAGCTCCCAACTCCGCACATGTGTATTATGTGACAGATAAATCGATCGACGCCGGGTACTATATTTGTATACATATACATCTATTTATGTCCGTGTCTGTGCCCGTGCCTGTGCATTACCGAGACCCCCGTCCTAGCCATTGCCGCCATAGGTGCTATCCAAATATCCCGTCCGTCGTTCGCGTCCGCTCCCCCCCCTGTCCGTCACCGTGCACCAAAAGTCTGGTTTCATTACCTACCATGAATCCAGCCTCGGATAACCTTCGTGTGCCTACGTACTTACCCAAATTCAACATTATATGATTACGTCCCTACCTACCCGTGCTAACCCCGCCAGACGGCCCGTTACGAGACCACAAGACCAATACGAGCTCGCCGTATTTCGTCTTTATGGGACGCTAACTGCTTCATCAAACACTCATGGCGAACTGATACTTCGAGACACGCCGAATGATAAACGCGTCTTCACGAAAATACGGGGCCGAGATGAAGGGTGCCTGGGGGGGAGGGGGAAGAGGAATGTAATGTATTGACTAGGAAAACAACTCGACCGCAAAACTAGCTTTGCACGCGCACAACAAAAAATAGCTGAACAGCTGCTCTCAAAGGCAAGTCCAGGCAGAGAAATCTGTTCCACCACGCCGCTGAAAACTCGAAGGTAGCTTGACGTTCGTATGCTAAGAAACGTAGCCGAACAGGGGTATCTGGCGAGGAACGGTTGCCAAGGTGAACCAACTTGATGGCACGGCATGTGCATGGGAGGCATACCTACGTGTTCGAGATGTCTCCGACATGCAAACGAAGGCATATGCGGTAAAGCCAGTCGGGCCGGCATTGCCACGCGTTCGACGGCTCGAAACTATCTGTCGTCATGATGCGGTCGAAGAATAATGCCAGGGAGACTGGCCGAAAAGTAAGAAATCGTAAAAAAGGAGAAATCAACGTCGTGGTAGATGATGCAAAGCCGCACTCGCGCGACCCCCTCCTCGTCCAAGCGCCGACCGTAAGCATCAGTCGTAGAATAAGCCATCGCGAGACAAATGGGCCGGTCGCATCATGATCCCGGGGCCTCGCGTGCACCACCCGTTCGCCGTTCCGAAATTCGCCAACGCCAGCAGTGCTATTACACTGAGAGAAGGATGATCGAACAACCGTGACAGACGGGAACGCGCGCGCGCGAAGTGCGGCGGAGCAAAAGAGGCAGAGACCAAACAGCCAGAACCAGATAGACATGGATGCAGAACATGATAGGGAAGCATGCCGAAACGCCAGAAACGCGGGACGCCGGTTATGCTGAATCGTTGCGAGACCGTTCACTATCCGTGCGTTAGCCGGCTCGTCCCGAATCACCGCTTGAGCAGAGCGCTACGAAGCTCACCTGAGGACCCAAGCTGCCAGGAGGAGGGCCTTGATGACCACTACCGCCAAAACCTGGGCCGCCGAACGGGCCGGGACCGGGCCCCGGAGGGCCAGGAGGGCCCGGGGGGAAGTAATGAGGCGGGGGAGGTGCGGGTCGGTAGGGAGTACCCACGCCAGAGTTGTTCTGCGAACGACCCCAAGAGAGCCGGACCCGAGAGTTACCAATCGGATACCCTTGCATTTGGTTAATCGCCATTTCGGCCGCATGGCGGTGAACGAATTGAACGAAACCACATCCCTTACCCGGCGGGATCTTGACGTAAGTGATCTCGCCGAAGCCCTGGAAGAAGGAACGGAGTTCGTCTTCGGTGACGTATCCCGACAGGCCGCCAACAAATACCGTTGTGTTGTTGGGATCTGTGAATTGGTTCATCGCCAGGGGGTTGAACGTCCCCGGCTGCTGGTAACCGTACGTTGCTGGTTGCTGCTGCACCCATTGGCCGCCCATACCGGCGTGAGGAGGGGGAACTTGAGGTGTTTGAATCATCTGGTGACCGCCATACTGGTTAAATTGCCCCGTCTGATGGTTGCTGCTGGAGATGTTAGCTTGATAGTACACTCTGATTCACGTCACTGTACTCACCGGTTCTTCGGGGTTGCCGGCGATACTCGCATAGGGCGATTGCCGCAGTAGACGCCCTGCATCTCGACCAGTGCTCGTTGCTGATCCTGCTCATCCGAGAATCTGACAAACCCATAGCCGCGGGATTGTCCCGTTTGTTGATCGGTCATGATCTTAGCCGATTTGCAGCTAGGGAATCGCGCCTGGAACAGGGCCACCAGGACAAATTCATTGACTTCGTGGCCAAGGTCTCCGACGAAGATAGAGTATTCGGGGGTCCTATCATCTCGGCGGTCAACGAGACCACCTCCCGAAGCCCAGTTAAGGCGGAACACACGATCGGTGTTTGGGATAGGCGTGCCATTCAATTGAAGAGCCTTCTGAGCAGCTTCAGGGGTCGCGAACTCGACGAAACAGTATCCGGCACTTCTACACATGTATCAGAAACCGTAGAACTTGGTAGAGGTCTGGAAATTAGACATAAAGCAGACGGAATTCATATATCTTCATACCCGGAGTGGCGGTCTCGAATTATCTTGACCTGAACGTTCTCATTTAGCGTCGTCTGGAATAAGGAGCGGATAAAGCTCTCGTCCATCCAACCGGCCAGCTCGCCCATCCTATTTGAAGTATTAGCCACCCAGCCTCGCAAGAATGGGTGTATCGCATACCAAAGAGTTTGACGTGCGGAATCTGAGCCGAACGCTGGCGCAATTTCAGCACCGGCCTGTCCATTGGTTGGAGGGATGGGAAGACCAGAGGGAGGCACACCAGGGGCGCCGCCAGCACCTTGCGATCCAGCATCACCTTGCGAGCCGGAGCCATTTGAGGGAGGCTTGCCGTTATACGGGTTAAATCCATCCATGGTTGTCTTGATGAGTATATGTCAGCTGCAAGCGAAAAGACAGCATTTGGGGATTGAAATGATGATGGAGGGAGGGTAGATATAGCATATGGACTTCTCAATATGCCGGGGCTGTCGGCACACAGTGGTCGTCAAGGGTGATGCTTACGACGTTGTATGGATTGAAGGTACTGCAAATACGAAACCGTAGGTTTTGACTGATTACGGCCAATGAGTTAGGATAGTTGCGACGTTTTAGGTTGGCCGGTGAGTTCACGGGAAAGGGATAAGGTGTGGGGATAAAATCGAGATTCCGACCTCTAGAGCAAACTTACCTGAAGGTGACGAAATGCGGTGCGTCTTCCCAAGGTGATTGATGCCTGCAAATTCTCGTTAGAACATAGAGCGGTTTTTAGAGAATTCAACACGCAAATAGAAGGACGCGTTGGGAAGGAAACCAACGAGAACAGGACAGTGCCTAGCGATATCGAGGCCAGGATTTGTATGCGTTGATGGAAATGTGATATTAGGGCTTATCGGAACTGTCTCAAGGGAGCCATGGCCCTTCAGACAGAGTCCTCGTCCGGCAACAATGAAACGTACCAATTGAATTGGGAGTATCGGACTCGGAAAAAAAGTTCAAGGGGGGTCAATGAACCTTTCGAGGAGTAGAGAGAAAGCTTATGTGGAGGGATATGCGATAAAGCCGAGTCAATGGAAGAATTCGTCAAGCGGTATGGCTTTAGTGAGGTCCTGGCAGGAAGTCGAACTAGTTAGTCTTGAAATTGATGCATAACAATTCAGGGCCTAAAGGCGGCGATTGCAGGAGAATGTAACAGTCTGTAGATGAGCCAGCTCTCATAGCCGCTCTTCATAGGCCATGAGGAGAATCATAATCGTAACTTGATACCAGGCAGGTTGTGAAAATACGCTGCAGTACCTTCACACTGTAAAGACGCTTGTGTTATGACTGGTACTAAATTCCGGGAGCGCTTGCTCAAAAAAAGCCGAAATGTATCGAGTAAAAAAGACACCAGTTGCTAAGACGCTGCCGACAGAAAAATATGCGCCGTTGAAAACTGCGAGAGTATAGGTGCGGTTATGCAATGGGTGACTATGAACTGTTGCCAGTTCTTGTCAAACGGGAAAAGAAGCGCGTGGGGTTGGGGGCTGGTTCGGGGCTGAACGGGACCGAGAGCAGCACTGAGCAACCACAATGCTCTTAGCTTTCAGCATGGCTTGCCGTATGTCGAAACCGCTCGATAGGGGGGAGCCTTTCATCCCACTTTCGACTACCATGAGGCTCACTTGTCCCCATAGCAATATTGTGCTTGTGCTGGAGTGATATTTTTGGGGGATGGGTAGGAGGAGGTTTCGACCAGCTGCGAAGAGAAAAAAGAATTGTTCGGTAATAGGAATAAAGGGATCCTACCTGCAGATAACACCAGGCCAACGTCTGGATCCCGTAAATCAGAGACCAAGGGCCAAACACCAACGCCTTAAGTGTCGCTGTTTGGATACCGGCAAGAATGCAAATGCCGAAAACTGCAGCTGTATCACGAACCTCCCGTTTTGTCGACCGTGATATTAAGGGAACGCCTGATGAACTGAGAGAACAGTCAAGCCTTCAAGTCGTGTGACAGGGTCTAATGATGATACGGTCAAGATCCTGGAAAACCTATATTCAAATACGTCTGTAAGCAGAGGAAGACTCGAAAAACTCAAGTTATTAAGGGTCGTTAGTGTCTTCGGCATTCGAACTCCGCGGCACAGTGAACGTCTGGTGATTAACGGAACGACGATCTCGTACGAAGAAGAATAGGCCGTTGATAGAGATTCATCGAGTTTTATTCTGAGATAATTCGGGGCTTCCGTATGGCATCCCAGTAGAACCCAAGCGCAGATACGATTGGAATGTATCCCAACAGGCTATTTTGGTGGGCATAGGAAGAAATCAAGACAGAGGAATAAAGTAACCCTTAGCCTTAAAAACAAGAAAGCTACGCCTCGCGATGACGGTCGTGAACAATCAAGTCTAAGCATAACAGTTCTTGAGAAGCCTGGGATCGAGAGGTATGAAATGAGGAGCTGTGACTGCGAGGCGCGCCATCGGATTTCCCTAGACTTGCAGGTAAGACGGCTGAATAGCGTGTGTTAAGTAAAACTCGGGGTAGTTGAACAAAATGTGTAGGAGGGACGTCAAACCCTACGGACCCACGGCCGCAAGCCATGCCCCGAGAGTAGATGGTGCGTCAAGAGCCCTGAGGAGGATGAAGCTACACGTGTACTGAAAAAGAAAAAAAAACTACTCACCAGGGAGAATTCATCGCCTGCCCGGAATGAAAAAGGGTCGAGGCCTGTCACAAGCTTGCTTGCACCCTCAGCTTGACTTTCAACAACTATCGCCTTCCCAGTTGCACCGTTTCCCCTCTCCCATCATAAGCTTCAGATATTCGGGTTTCGAGTACTCGTGTTTGTCTCTTGTCGCAAGAGTCGGGGGATGTCGTAAAGATTCTCAGAAGGCCCCGGGGATTTGTCGCACTCTGAGAGGACAGGGTATACCTAATAGCCTTCTCTTTTGCGTCGGCTAAAGGATTAATCGTACCCTCTGCCAATTGCCCAATACGAGTTCACGTTCTTGAGAATGTCGATAATGAATGGTATCGGGTGGCCATATTTCGATGCAAAGGTGGCTCGTAGACGGCAGACGCAGGATTATCTGACAGGGCAGCGTAGTCGATGACACGAACCGTAGGCCATGAGGGGGGGGATCCCTCCCCACAAAGGCTGTATCCAAGAAGACTAAGGCGATCTGACGGAAACCAAAGGGCTTGTGCCCATGTTTGGTATCAAGGCCCGTAGAGGACGGCAAGTCGGGTGCGACGAACCGCGGTTGCCGTTGACGAAGCGCGTGTCCTCGCATGCTTGCCCGCACCCGGTCGGGTCGAAGGAAGGGCGCAAATGTCTCGATCCAACCCAGGAATGCGCAAACCTCGTGGCGGTGTATTTCGGTATAAGAACACTGGCGAGGCGGCCGGCGGGGATATGCTACCTGCTAAGGCGTTGACGTCCTCTCCTCTCTTGCGCACGCGCGAGGGAGCGCCGGGGGCGACACTCGGACATAGCGATGCCAATTTGCGACTGGTCCGAGACGTAGATAGAGGGATACCTTTAACTCGATGCAATTTCGCACGACGCTATCCCCGCCACGACAGTATGCTGCTGCCCAACGAGGGTGCTATTTGCAGTAGGTAGTCGTCAAAATTATCGGTTGACGTTGGATTTTGCGCGGGCGCAAGGCGGGGCGATCGCCAAAGATTTTCTTGAGCGCAGCCGATCGAGGCCTGGCGCGCAACTAGATGCTAAGCAATGCGGGGCATTGGACTTTTTTCATGAAGCGGCTCGCTGCCCCTCAGGTCCCACGAAGACATTGTTACCCGTCGTAGCCATGACGACGACCCGATATTTCTCGCCTACCCGGGAGAGAGCTCGGATTCCATGACGCAGCTTCGGCTCGGCGATGCAGGATCCGAGGGTCGATCTGGTTGCTGGTACCAGAGAGCGCGCAGCCGGGTCCCTCCCCTCCTATGCTGATATGACAGAGCCTCCCCCCCCGCGAAGCCACCATTCCGCAGCAGCAAACCCTCGGCCGACAACATAGGCGTATTTGAAGAGCTGGTGATACGGAGTCCAAATGCCAAAGAGCACCAAGAAGGCATGATAAAGAAAAATGCGCACTTACTTTTGGACACCGAACAACACTTTTGGTTCACACAGCAAAGCAGCAGATACGTAGCAGCACCTTTCGCAAACTCCAGCAGGACCCCGGGGGCGGCCAGGAAACGTCTTCACTCGATCAAAATGACGGAATGTATTCCTTTTCAAAGGCTGCCGAGAGCTCGAGCTGCACCGCAACAAATATTGGGGGAACCGTGATAATTGGGAAAGAAAACCCGCAGGTGGACCGTTGCGACGATGGGATGGGACGAAAGGGTATGAGATACCGAGCAGGCCGCACGCACAGGAGATGCTCTTTTTAGGGGAGGCAGAACGCAGGCAACCGACAAATTCGAGTGGCAAGCCAGGGGAGGAATTGGAGCCCGGGCGTCGCGTATTAGGGTGAGGGAGAAGAGAGAAATAGAAGGGGAAGAAAAGAGAATGAAGGCGGAGAGTTAGAGAGTGTGCGAGGGAGTGAGAAAGTCAGAGAGGGAGAATTAAAAGAGCAAGCAAGAAACACAAAAGCAGACAACGATAGTGCTGGTTTGGGTTTGCGTGTAGTGTGGATGTGTGTGTGCGAGTGGGAAAAGGTGGAATGGGATTGGGTTGGGGCCCTTGCGGTGGAGGAGGGAGCGAGAACAATCCCTCCCCCCAATGGATGGACCGAGCCACGGCCGCCAGAGGGAAGGGAAAGAAAAAAAAAAAAAGACTCGGCCAATTGATAAAGTGGAGCTGCCAGACCACCCAGGTGAAGGAAGGTGCACTGAGACTTCACCAACTCTACAGATTTTTCCGTCTCTCTTTTTTTTCTTTTCCTTGAAGAAGAAAAGAAAAGAAAGTAGAGCACAAGGGGAGAAGAGGAAAAAGAAAAAAAAATTCAAGGAGGCTACCTGGAGGAAACACGTGTAGGGTGCGCCCACTGCCTCCCTGTATGTACCTACTTGCGAGCAGGTATGTACCTCTTTGACTGCCCAGGAGGCAGACACTGACCAGGCTGGTACATGGCAGGTACCGGCCTGTATTACGTCGGTAGTACGTGCACACATTCCATTATAAGGTATGTAAGTATGTACTTAACGTACCGAATTTAGATATGTAGGTAGGTATGTATGTACCGAGGTACGTGTTGCAGCAAGTCTCAGCCGTCGGTACTTGTCTTGCGCGCAGACAGCTACCTAAGACGGTATAAGGCGGCACCTGAGATAGGCAACTGCTTTCTGGGCCACGGCGCTTGCTCGACGTCCTACATCATACCTCCGCCGATGCGTCGATCGCGATACCTCCTCCAGGCCGCTACTCGCTGGCCCTAATCCCAGGAGGGCTAAGTGAAGTAAAGGCAGAAGCCCTAGGACGCAGGCAGGTACAGGCTAATCAATAGCAGGCTAGAAGCAGCAGGTACCACATACATGCCTACATGCCTACTTGCCCACACAGGTAGGTACTTGCCTCTAGCTGCTTAGGTATAGGTGTACACGCATACCCGTACCTAGGTACCTACCTAGCTGCCTACCTGTATAGGTGTACACGCATATCGTACCTACCTACCTACTCATACAGACATTGCGCCTAACAAACAACCTAGGTCCTCTGCTTTGGGCACATCCAGCCTGACAGATCTCGCCACAGTACCTACCCCGGTGCCACCTCCTACCTACATACATACCTACATACATACCTGCCCACGAGCCGCCAAGTTCGAGTCAGGAGACGCGCTCAATTGGCCTCAAGGGGGCTTTAGGCTAGCGATATCTAACTGCGCGAGGTTCGCGTAGGCGCGCGCACGGAGGTCAGGTCAGGTCAGGTAGGTTGGTAGCCCGAAGGGGAGGGGTGGACCTCGCCAGGCCAGGCCAGGCGTGAAGTGACATACATGCCCACCCCAAACCCGCCGGCAGTCCCACCGTCTAAATTCAACTCCAGCCGGCCGGCCTTTAGGGCGGGCTGCGTACCTCCCCGGGTACCTAATCGGCATGCAACGAACCCATTAGAAGGCGAGAGAAGTGAAATCACAAGAATTAGAAACAGCCGTACCCCATGCCAACCACGCCAATCGAGGCGCCCGATGCGTGTGCCTAGGGCTTCGAGGGTGCGAGAGGGGGCAGAGAGGGGAGGGGGGGGCGGGTGGACAACCAGGTTATCCGTCATCTTTTGGTCAAAACCCCAAGCCTATATGCATGTACGTGAGCCTGAGAGAAAGGTTGTCGATGTACCGCTGCTGGTAGGGTGGCTAGGAGATATCGCATCCGGTGCTTGAGTGTCGTGCACGCACATGCCTCCCATGCAAACAGCTTTTTAGGGGTCATCTTAAGGTGTCAAAGTCGGGCGTGTGTCTGGCCATCGTTACGTGGTACCCGTCTATGCCGAGGGGCTGCAGAGGTACGTGCCAATGCATAACGAGGCACCTACTAAGGTGCTGAGGGTTTATGAGATTGCCCAACCCTCCAAGCAGCAGCCTCCGCCCAGAATCGCGATGGGACGGACGTAGGTGCGGTACAGCGTCTCTCCACTGCACCCAACAAGGGCGGAACCTGACATGCATGCAGTGCCGCCCGCCTAAGGTAGGGGCACTCAGCGCCATCCCTTCTACGCAGGCCCGGCCATCTTCCGTTGGGTCGACGGATGAGTTCGGTAGGTCGGGTACCGCCAACGGGACAAAGAGGACGGGACGCGGCCAACTCACGTCGACCACCCCTATCGCCATCGCAGAAACGCGTCCCGACCCCTAATTTAACCAAGCCGCACACGCAATCCCGTAGCTGGAATGGTGGCGCATGCGTTGGACGCTTTCAATGCCTGCAGACCTCGTCTACCTGAGGTCTCTGCGGCGAGGGAAACCCAGCGAAGACGGGTGCGCGTAGGTCCGTTTGACGTCGATACCGGCTGCGCAACCCGAATTGATCAATAGTTGCGAGAAGGTTGGAGCTGACATGCCCAAACAGCGACAAGAAGACGTCTCTGACTAGTGCGGCGCCTCCCCTCATCCCCTCATGGCAGGGTCTGTTGCGACACGGAGTCTGCAGGCGTTGTCGTCCAATGAGTCTGCTCTCCTACCCAGCTTCGGGTACCAAAAAGGGCTCGATAAGCGTATGAGTGTGGTCGCAAACACCGACGTCGAACCGTCCCCCATCGTTCTACGCCCCGAGAAGATGACACCGCGGCCCTGTTTGCTTCCAGACGCGACTCGCTTGGGACGAGAGAAGAGGGAGGAGGAGGAGAAATAGCGCTGCAACCATCCCGTCAGTCGGGGTCGATATCCGTCATTCCTCTGCAGGTCTCGTTCTGAAACACGTTTTCAGGTGCAAATAACATGCAATTTCTCCTCGCCGTGCATCTCGCCGCGTACCGCAATCTGAGCCTGGGTCTCGTCGAGGCCTGGAGAGCCGAGCCTGGACCGGCCTTGGGAAACATGGCTGGAGCCGGTGAAAAAAAGCAGCTAGCCCCAAGCAAAGCGGTCGCGGTGCCCAACCAAAACCCTACGCGTCGGTGAAGAGGGCGCTGCTCGTCGAGGGGACTAGCTGCCGTGGCGAAGACCCTGCTGGTAGGGTGTGCTCCCTGGAGCCCGAATGGACAGAGGTGTAGGGAGCAGGCATGGCTACCCAGGCCCCGTGTCCGAACGGACGCTGCCGCGACGAGTTGAGATTGGTTCGACGAGTCGAGATTGGTTGTGCGACGATGCAATAGCACGTGTGTGAGGGGGGAGAGGAGGGCCAGAAAAAAAAAACCTGGGACCAGATCTCGAATCACAGAATGGCACTCGCCCCCGGGAAATGCGACGATCTGCAGCACCCCTGTCTGACCGGCGGTCCAAGTGCAGATTGCCAAATGACGAGCTTTTAGTTACAGCGCCTCCCGTACAGCGTACAGGGGACTTGGTGAACTGGAAGCTGGAGAGAGAAGAGAGGGGGAAAGGGTCGGCCGGCCTTGACGTACGAGGCGGATCGGCGTGAGCCCGGGTCGACCGGGACGAATACACACCAGGTACGTAAAAGACCTAAGGAGAGCGGAGGCGTTATGATGTCTTCACGGCATGCGGGCTGCGTCGACCGATTGCATGCCTCGCCTCCTCTGCTATGTAGCCGGTTTATGCAATCGACCCTCTTCGCTGCATGTCACCTTAGGTAGGTAGGTATATGCGGGCGCATGCCAATCCATATATCCTTCTATGTAGGGTAGGTTATGTATGTATTGGATGTGTACCTCCGGGCGGCCGCCAGGCCTTCTATGCAATCCGCGCCCCGTCCACTGAGGAATTCGCTCGGCTGCTATTGGCAGGTCTCAGCTGGCGGCGGCAGGGGTCGGGGGTTGGAGCAACGGTATGATATCGCTCATGTACCGTGCAGGGATGCGAGTCATTGGGCAGGGGTCACTCTAATACCGCATGTATACCTCCCACCTGCCTACCTACCTGCCTACCTACCTAGGTACCTACCTCTTGGTGTAGCAGGTACCCATATATAGGTATATATACCTACACGTATATATAGGTACTTCGGTACCTACGTAAGGCGGTACGGAATATAGGTGGACTGGTAGGAGGCACCTAACCTACCTGTAAGTACGCAGTACAAGTACCTACGACATATAGTAGTACCGCCCCTTCGTTTCGTTTTAGCCCAGCAAACTTTTTCTTTTCTGTTTAGCTTCAATTATTGCATTTTGAGCAATTACTCGCATGCGCGTAACCACCTGTGCTTCGGTGCGGTAATTGGTATTGTCTTGGAGTCCACGTAAGACCGGTTTCCGCGAAACCTGGTGCCCAAAACCCAACCCAGATTCGAATGTTGCTTCAAAACACCGCAACAACTTCAAGCTTATATTGCAGCGTCTAGCAGTGCTGAGAAACAGCTAGGTACACCCAACGCAGAGCAAGCGTGGACCGGCTCGTTGACCCAACGGCTTCTCCGATCTTGCCAATGCTGCTCAGGATTCGAGCACCTCACCTCACCTCACCTCACCGTTACTAAGCCACCCCGGCAAATTAGTGCCTTGGGCTCAGCTCGTCCCGCGATATAGACACGCCTAACGGCACAGTGCCCAGGCTCTGCTACGGCGACTAGAGAGTGTCTACCGCTGACCCCACCTCCTCTTTTCCCTCGTCAGGTATGGTCGGGAATAGGCAACCTGTCGGGGAGAGGCAGCCCAGACTAGGTATGTAAGCCCGGCTAGCTGAACTCACCTCCGTCCTCAACATCGCCTGCCAGGTTAACCCTCCCATCTGACTACTTTCGTCTGGGGCGTGGGTCAGAAAGCACTAGCACCTGTCATGGGACTGTAATCCAGACGGATCTTTCAAATTAGAATTAGGGTTAGATCTCTCCAGTGTCCACCTACCACGCGACCTAAACTATTAGTAATATGGCAAGGGGGCAACGACTTGCCAGCGTCGAGCGAGTCAGCTCAACAGGTCGCAAACACGACACAGTTAACGCCTAGAGATAATATCATTATGTGGTACGTACGCAGTCCCAAGAAGGGCACCTATATAATCTCTAAGTCGTCACTTTGCCAAACCCCGATGAGATCGGGTGTGGATGGATATGTCGGTACTAAAATTTCGCCTATGTTTATTGTGTCTCCGCTGTGGCCCAACGCCTCGTGTCCTGCAAATAACAACTTCTCTCTTTCTCTCTCTCTCTCTCTCTCTATATATATATATATATATATATATGTATACTATAAACCTTGACAGGATCTGTCTACTCAAAAAGCCGGCGGATACGGTATAATTCGTTAAAAGGGATTCCAACGGTCTGATGCTGGCAAAGTTGCCGCACTGGCCAGGGATAATGCCGACAATAAGCACAAATTATAAGCATACCAAACCCTTCAAATATTACGGTAGAGAATATATCACCTAAACCAAGGCCAAGTCCATGGTATTTGATTTAATAGGTACCTACGTCGGCGATCAATATACACTTATACACCTAAGTATTTACGGTGATGAGATGAAGATACCCGTATACCGTACCTGTAGTCCAGAAATGCCTCAGGCCCGTGGCTGGGTTACAAGGTAAACCAGACAGGACATCACCGTGAACATTGTTCCACACAGAATCGACGGAATGGACCAACCCGCTCATCAATTTCCCAGGCGGTATATTTTATAGAAACGCCACAGAGGCGGTGCGTGAGGAGGTATCCTCCTCCCTACGCGGTACCTGTGTACACGCATGCGTACGCCGCGTGTGGCGTTGATTATGCTTACAGATTCCATCAGGTACTTCTCTGGCGTACGCACACTCCCTGGCCCGATCATGGGCATCAACCGCCACCCTTCTTTCTGCTTCCCTCTCGCGGATAGCTGACGTGCGCATCTTGCCGGCTGATCAGCAGTTTGGGACAATTGGGATGGAAGCAATAGGAAATAAAAGGCTGCAAACCCAACCTCACCCATTTCCACCCCAACTCAACGGCTCCGTCCCCGAAGATCAACTGGCGGTATGCGGCGGGGTTTAGACACGATTTCCCATTTCGACAACCGTTCAACATCACTTGGGCGCTCTTCAGGGGCAACCTTCAACAGGCGCTTCGTCGCTTGCGGCGATCCACCGCCCGATCGGGACCATTCATAGCGTTGATATCGCTTCCACCCAGCATCTATTCCGTCTGCGTCGTCTCTTGCCCCCTCTACTCCACCGCCAACTTCGCGGTCATGGCCTCGCCCAACGAGGGAGCAGAGCTCAAGTTTGTATCCTCGATTCGGTACAAGTTCGCCAGTGTCTCCGGCGACGAGAAAAAGCTTAGCGACGCACTACATTCGCACCTCATCCCCTTACTTGACAAGGCCGGTAGCCAGCATAAGGCCGTCCGAGATGCCGTACGGATCCAATCTTCATGCTTCATCTACAGGAGCGATTTGCTAAGTTGTTGGGATAGGTGTTCCAAGCCTTCATCAGTGTTAATAGTTTTGTCAAGCCCGTAGGGTACGCTATGGGACCTATTGCATGAAATCTCACCCTGCTGACCTGTGTGCTAGCGTTCTGCTTCCCGTCGCAGCTCTTGTAGATCAATACAAAAAGACCAATTCGCCCGTTGTCAAGCAACTAGACTTGAGCCTCATAAAGCAGGGCATCCTGCGGCTAGACCCGCCCAGGCGCCGAGAATTGCTTCCCGTCGTCCTCCGGGCAATCTCGAAGGAGACCAGCTCGGCTGGCGTCGCAGGATTCTTCAATATATTCTTACGCTTACTCCTGGACATCAAACTACCCAGCCGAGGTAGTAAAGAGGACCTTGCACTTCGAGAGAGCACTGGGCTTTCGGATCCAAAGGATGCCAGTTACGTCTCCCAATGGCTTGGGAAGCTCTTTCTCTTGAGACAGGACCTGGCCTTGGCAACGGAAGAGGATCTCGGCGAGAAACTCGCAGCTTCGCCGTCAGGCCTAACTCTCGAAGACGTAACGTTTCTGAGAAGCAATAATCCCCAAACCTGGCGTCCGGGGAGTCCAAATAGCCTAAGTTTGCCGGAATGCAAGACCAAGGCTATCGGCTTCCTAGCGAGTGGTGCCTTCACAGACTACGAGCGACATATCCCGACTATATGCGCCGCTGGTTCTTTGGATTCGCGCATCACCTCAGTGGCCGACGATATTCTAAAACGGTCAAAAGTTGACCTCGAAAATAAGGACCTCATCCAATCCTTATATGATGCTCACGGTAAATTCCCAGCCGCGCACCGGATTCAGGTCCTCAGAGTCCTCTCCAAATCGGTCGTCGCGTGCGGTTTCAGAGATGAGGCCGTGGAAGCGGTCAAACAGGATTTCAACCTTGCGTCTGGTGACAACGCTTCTGTGGTCGGCCTCGAAGGCCTGCGATTAAACAAGGCGTTATTAGCATTCCTAGGCTGGATTGCCAGAAACGGCCCCGATTCTGGTGACGAGAGCCCTGGTATGGGTCCGGCTCTTGTCCTCTTACTCAAGGACTACATTCTCAGTCAAGGATGGCCGGAACCTAACCCTCGCGGGACCCAGTCTCAAATCCAAGACGAGCAAAGATTAAGAGCCAATGCGTACGAAACCATCGGCATCCTAGCCAGGGGAAGCCATTTCGAGCATAAGGCAAAAGATTCACTCGTAAAGTGGCTCTTCGACTCCCTTATTTCCGACCCCAGCCCTGATGTCGTGGTCTACATCGAAAGCGCTCTATCGAGCATGATGGGTCTCTTCAAACCGTCTGTCGCCACCGAAACTCGCGACCTAGAAATATTGTTGCTTGAGTACATGACGTTACCGGAAGGCCAAGGGAGAAGGACGGCACGACACGTGGCCGCGCGTTTTGCGAACAACTGTCTCCCTTACAACAATTTACAAGCCCGCTGGATTAATATTCTCGCTCTAAGCGGTAGCTCCTCGGAACGACGTGACGTTTTAGAGGAGGGGCAGCGAGGTCTCGATCCATGGTGGGCCACCAAACTACATGCCGACGATGCGCTTGTTCTCCCTGACTGGACAAAACTGGTCCACATGTTTTTCGATGTCGGCGACGGGGAGGTCGAACAAAATCAGATGGCCGTTGACAAAATATCCAAGTATGCTCTATTTCCCGACGGCCGTCTCCGCGCATTTCCAATAGCAATACGATACGTCAAGCAAGTGCTGTTCCTTACTGCCTATGGCGAGGATAAATTGGAGATAGATTGGGAGTCGCGGCTGGAAAGAAGCCTTCAGAATGACCTCAAGACCCGCGACAAACTCAGGCAGCACTTTGCTGCTTCAAACCACGAGGCTCTCCTATCACTTCTCAACGCAGCCTTCGATGGGCTTCGAGACCACCCGGACCTGGGCTCGGAAGATTGTATCGGCTGTCTTGCAGAGATATTATCATTTGCGCCCTCAGCTACCATCATATCCCCCTTATCGGAAAGAGCCGAGGAACTGCTCCCGTGGATCAAGTCGAATAACCAGAAGGTAAGGCAATCGGCGTCTAGCGTCTTCGGGATACTCTCACCCTGGAACAGCCAATCTGCCCAGTTTATTTCCCAATTGCGAACTTTCATCGAATCTTGCGGCGGAGCTCCTTCGGCCGCCCAGTCTGCAGAATACCAAGGATCGCTTGCTTGCTTGGGGAGTTACTTTTCTCGAGCCGCCTACTACGGGAAGATTGCGGCTCAGGATATATCCGATCACGCCCGATTTCTCCACAAGAGATTCTCCGACGCGTTGCAGCAGGGAAGCGCTGACGTCACAGCCGCGGCCCTAGATGCAATCGCGCAGTTATGGACTTCGAATCTTCACTTCCCCGAAAAGGAAGATGATTTAGCTGCGACTTTGGAGCCACTTGCCAAGCTTGCAGCCTCAGGTAACGAGAAGGCCATATGGGCATTGGGTAGACTGGCTATCCCAACCCTGGCTGACGTCTCGGGAGGGGAGGCGGACCCTGCAGGAAAGATTCTAGATAAACTGTTCAGCTTATCGGAGATAAAGAGGACAGAGGTTCACCTGGCAGTGGGCGAGGCGATCGCGTGCGCGATCGCTCGGTGGGACTCTGAAGCCGTGCAATTAGGTCTGGACGTCGAGCCGTCTGGGCCCGGAAAGTCCGATATCATAGAGGCGCTCAGGAAACGACCGGCAAGAATCAGTACCACGCTTGACAAGCTCATCAGCGACTGCAAGACCACTAAGCCATCACTGTTGAAAGCCTCTGGCATATGGCTCTTCTGTATAATTCAGTACTGCTCAACTCTCTCAGAGGTTCAGTCTCGCTTGCGCGAGTGTCAGGTTGCCTTCATGCGACTCCTTACCGCGCGCGACGAGCTCGTTCAGGAGACTGCCTCGCGCGGCCTTGCGTTGGTATACGAGAAAGGCGACCAGTCACTCAAGGGTGACCTCGTCAAGGACCTGGTAGCAAGCTTCACTGGTACCAAGACCCAACTAAAGGTCGACGAGGACACCGAACTCTTTGACGCAGGTGCCTTACCCACGGGCGAGGGAAAGTCAATCACCTCGTATAAGGATATCATCAGTCTCGCCAACGAAGTCGGTGACCAGAGCCTCATCTACAAGTTTATGGCTCTTGCCACCAACGCGGCAACGTGGAGTGCCCGCTCCGCCTTTGGTAGGTTTGGGCTGAGCAACATCTTGTCTGACGCGGAGTTGGACCCCAAGATCTACCCAAAATTGTACCGGTATAGATTTGACCCAAATTCCAACGTGCGACGGTCTATGGACGATATCTGGAAGGCGGTCGTCAGCGATCCAACAGTCGTGATCGACACATACTTCGATGCCATCATGCAAGACTTGCTGAAAAGTATCCTCGATGGGAGGGAATGGCGTGTACGGGAGGCGAGCAGCGCGGCGATGGCCGATTTAATCTACGGCCAGCCGTTTTCCAAGTACGAAAAGTACTATACGGATATCTGGAAAGTGGCACTGAGGGTTCTCGATGACCAGAAAGGCTCCGTTAGAGCAGCGGCCCTCAAATTATGCATGGGCTTGTCGAAGACGCTAGTCACACAGCTCCAGGAAAACAACTCTTCCGCATCTGCCAGAGCCATGATAGCCCAGGTTCTCCCGTTCCTGTTGTCGGACAAAGGCATTGAGAACTCGGTCAAGGAAGTAAAGTATATGTCGATAACCACGGTGCTAGACGTCGTTAAGAACGGGGGCGAAGCGCTGAAGCTTTTCATTCCGACTATCATCACACGCTTCCTGGGGTTGCTTAGCACCGTAGAGCCAGAAGCGGTGAATTATTACTACCAGCGCGTTGGAGAGGAGGACCGTGAAGGGCTCGACAAACTACGGAGTAGTGCGGCTACAAGATCACCAATGTTTGAATGTATCGTCGACTGCCTACGGTCTGTTGACGAAGGCGTTATGCGAGAATTCGCCCCCCAGCTGGTGTTGACCATCAAATCTGCTATCGGAATGCAAACCAAGATTGGCTGCGGCGAAGTTCTCAGTACCCTGGCTCTTCGACACAGCCTCCTTTTACCACCATACAATGTGACGTTCCTTAAGGTCATGGAAACACAGATACTTGACAGGAACCACGAAACGAGCAAGGCCTACGCGAGAAGCTCTGCGTATCTCCTCAGATCGGCGACCTTGGAGGCCCGGGAACGGTTCACCTCGAGGCTTCTGGAGTTATATTTCGGGGCGGAGGATGAGACCACCCGACAGAAGGTTGCCGACGCAGCCTTAGCCATCGCCAAAATCTCCCCAGATGCATTTACGGATCTCGAGACCCGTCTCTTGCCTTTCGCTTACCTAGCAAAACACGACACTGACAGTTACGTGTCGGAGGAGTTCGACGCAGTTTGGAACCAGCACGCCGGAGGGAGCCATACTGTCAAGAGATTCATCGACGAGATCACGCAAATTGTTTCGGAAGGTCTTAATACGTCGAAATGGGCCCTCCAGCATGGCGCCGCCTTGACAATCGCATCCATGCTAACGGCGCTCGACAGCGCCGTCGGCAAAGACGGCCAATTCGCCGCCGTCGATCTGCCGAGATTATGGCCGGTCCTTGAGAAGGGGTTGTCGCTTAAGACATTCCAGGGGAAGGAGAAATTGGTTAGTGCATATCCCCTCTTCATCCAACACAGCAAGACGCTTTGGAGCACGGACTCGGCTTTCGCGGCGCAGACAAAGAAGATAGCTATCCGCGAGGCGAAGCGAAATAACGACGAGTACCGGCCTCATGCCTTCCAAGCTCTCGCCAAGTTTGCCGCCGCTCGCGACGATTTGGACATGTACGCGGAGGCGGTAAGTCTCGTATCGGAATATCTAAAACCTGACGTGGAAGCACACAAGGTGACAGAGCTTGAGCGGAGGACGTCGGAGGCAGCGCTCGAGGTAGTCATGACGGCGTACAGCCGCAAGAAGATGCAATCTACCCCGCTTGCGATCCTTGAGAATGTGGTCGCTGTCGCGGAGGGGGCGAAGGAGGCCATCTCCCTCGCCAAGGACACCTGGTTTACGGGGGTGGCAGAAATCATGAACCAAGCAGGAGAGGCCCCAGGAGGTCCTGGCGACTCGGCCGCGGGTATCGTCGCGACCCGATGGTTCAGGCTACTAGTGGCAGACAGGAGTGATGTCATTCTAGAAAGCCAGCGCTCGATCAGAGCCAAGGCCCTGGGTGCGTTCGTGAAGGCGTGGAAGAAAGGCACCTTCGGGCCGGTTGGCGAGCAGGGTCCGCTGCACGAGGAGGTGGAACAGAGGCTGAAAGAAATTATCGGGGCAGAGCGGTCTATCGACGTGCAGAAGCTGCTCGACCAGGCCGTCCAGCAGCTTGTGTCATAAGCCATCTCTGCCTAGATGTTCTCGGAGACCGGTGATCCTCACGGCTTCGGGGTTAGCTAGCCGCGCTGTCTACCAGCGATGGTTAGAGGGGAGAAAGAGAGGCACGGATCCCTAATTTCTAGCTTCCAGTCTCAAACCAGTGTTTTTTTCAAAGCGTCTACCTATATAGATAGTATCGGCCCGTCCATTTAACGATCGAGTTGCCCTTGTCATATTCCGCCTCCATCGGTTGCCCTCTACGAAGAGCTACTATGTAGATAAGTACTTGTCACACTTCTCAAGAGGCACTATAGAGGCAGGCACTCTGGTAAAGTGATGCTGAATCGTGTTACATAAGCATAGTTAGATCTATTTACATATAGTTATACTTAGTACTTGGGGTGCTAAGAAATAAGAGAGTAAGTTTATATATTAAAACCTTTATAGACTTCTAGAAGGTTGTATTAACTTAATTAATTTCTACTTGTATCTTATCTTAACTTTTAACTAGATTTAGTAAAACTTTACTTTATATTAAACTATATTTTTATTTTATATAAAGTTTTTAGAAATTCTCTCTTAATGCATTTCTAGCCACTATACGAAAGTACATTTAATTAACTTTTTTTTTTCCACAATCAAATGTTGCTATAGAAACACATTTTAAAGTATTATAAAAATGGTGGTGGTAGAGGTGGTAGTGTAGCTGACTTAATGGTGGTGGGGTATGTATGAGTACCTATCTAGAGGCACTCCATTGATAAAGAGCTCGCAAGGAAACAGAGGTCTGGCATCATCCTCCGTTATAGTTTGTACCTAAGTATATGTACATACAACGTACTCATAGTACGTCTTTTTCCGGTCAGCATAGGTACTGCTATAGGTACCTTGGATACCCCACATCCTCATATGTACACCTCGCCTTCTGGCAGGTCGGGATATACCCACATTAGGTACCTAAGGTTAGGTACCTCTTACCTTGTAGGCCCCTACACCTTCCAGGCCATGTACCTTGGTACCTATTGTAGGTACATTAGGTACCTCCAGGTATGTACTAAGGTACTTCCTTATCTGGCTTATCGTCTGAGAAGAGGTCGGCAGCACTGCGTCACGGTAACTGACCCTAGCCGTCTTCACAAGAGCCACAGCCAAAAGTCATCTGCTGGCTTCCAGCTGCATCCCCCTCCCAACAACCACCGCCGCCTCTACCACCACCACCGTCCCGCCCCATCATACTCCTCCCTTTTCGTCCCAGTTGCGATCATTTTCTGGCGTCCTCTCTCAGCTAGACCACTTCATCGCGGGTCACGCCGGAGCCAAATCGCTCGAACCGCTCGTGGTGACAAGTAGGTACAGACCTACTCCGGCTGGTCCACCATAGATTTCCGTCTTTTCGTAATATCTCTCCATTTCGAGTCGCCTCGATCTCCCACGGCTCCGGCGTACGATCTCCTTTTCCTCTTCGCCTTGTCCCCACTTCCCTCTCGCCGTACTTATCTCAGCAGTCCGAACCAAGTCGACCCGACCGAGCCGTTGCCGGAGGCGTAGGTATATCCGTCGAACCAGTTCTCGTATTGCCGTCGCTCTTCCTTTCCAACGTCCGCCTCTCCGGGCCTCTCGCCAGGCCAAGCTGCACAAGATGAACGAAGAAGTGGATCAGTTCATGGCTATAACCGGCGTCACCGCCGAGCGTATAGCTCGCGGTTACCTGGAGATATCGGGTGGCGACCCGATGCAAGCCATACAGCTCTTCTTTGAAAATCCCGAACTGCAAGCGAGCTTTAATGAACGAACGCCTGCTGCTTCTGCTTCAACTCGGCCGCCCGCCTCATCGTCCGCCGTCGACCCGAATCGGGGGTTCAGTGGTCGCGAAGACGCGCAAGGTGTCATCCACATAGATTCCGATGACGACAGAGACGTGTCGATGGCTGACAACCCGTACGTTATACCCGACGACAGCGAAGACGATGATGTAGTGGCCATCGCGAGGACTGCACAGGAAGAGGAGGATGCAGCCATGGCGCGACGATTGCAAGAGGAGATGTATTCGGAGAACCCGACGTCCGCTGACGGTGTGCGCGCCCCGATGCCGCAGACAACCGAGATGCTCGCGGCTCCTGACCCGACATGGACCTTGGATGCGGATCGAGAAGCGGCCGTGATGGAACAACTGCGTCGACGACACAGACCTCTGGGTGGGTTGGCCCATCTACGCGTCTCACCCCCCACGCCCGGCTCGCCCCCATTACTATACTATTACTTCTGCTAACTCGTGGTCGCAGGCCCAAGCGCTTCGAACCCTTTCAACCAGTCCTCGGTCGACTGGTTTGACACCGAAGAAGCTGTGCACGCGCCTGCCTCCCGAGCGCCGGAGACTGCTTCGGCTAGCAGTACGTCGCGGAGATTAAGAGACCTATTCTCCCCGCCGACGAGTTTGATTACCCGCTTACCCCTAGACTCGGCAAGAGACGTCGGCAAGGAAGAGAAGAAGTGGATTCTGGTAAATCTCCAGAAGTTGGACGATTTCCGATGCCAGATCCTGAACAGAGACCACTGGAAAAACGAGAATATCGCATCGTTGATTCGCGAACATTTCATATTCCTGCAGTACTCTCTTGACGACCCTCTCGCCCAGTCCTACACTATGTTCTACTTCGTCAACCAGTCGCACGAGGATGCAAACAATTACCCCCATGTCTCCATCATCGACCCTCGTACCGGCGAGCAGGTCAAAGTATGGTCAGGGGACTCCTTCCCTTCCCCCACAGAATTTCATTCGGACCTCGTCGAGTTTCTCGACCGCTACAGCTTAGCAGCCAACAGCAAGAACCCCGTCGTCAAGTCGAAGCCGAAGACGAGATCTGTGGATATAGGTCGGATGACGGAAGAGGAAATGCTCGAGATGGCATTGCAAAACAGCCTTAACGAAGACGGCGGCCCATCGGAGCCTAGCGTTCACGACCCCGACGCGCTCACCAAGTCTCCCGACGCCGGAAAGGGTAAAGGGAAGGCGACTCTCGACGCAGTTAGCTCCGAGGGAAGTTCGGCCCAAGCATCTCCTCCCCCTCCGCCATCATCGGGATCGGTGTTTTCGCAAATATCGTCGACGAACCCCCATGTCGAGCCCGAAAACAACCCGGCGACGACGACGAGAATACAGTTTCGTCATGCGGGAGGCCGCGTGATCCGAAGGTTTGCGGCGGCGGACCCGGTCAGCCGCATCTACGAGTGGCTCAAGGCCGAGCCTCTGGAAGGTCGGCAAGGGGTACAGTTCGAGCTCAAGGCGATGCCAGAAGGCAGGGATCTAATCGAGGCGCTTGGTAAGTCTATCGAGGACGCCGGTCTAAAGCAGGGTACGGTCATGATCGAGTTTATCGAGGACCCGTAGCCGTGGTTGGCGCGGTGAAAGGAACGGCGAAGGGGACGGGCCGTAACGTGTGCGTAATAGGGGCAAAGAGGGCTACTAGAGGGACACTGGTCCTTTTCTTACGTTCACAAACGGCCTGTTATAGATTGCGCCACGTACGGCGTGTTAAGTCTGCCGTTTGCCTACTTGAGTTGTTAGAGGCCGCTCCCCCCCGGGTAGGTAGCAGCTCCGAATTAGCTTTGCATTTCATACAGCCTCGAGTGCTTGTGGTCTGGACGCTCCCGCTGGCAAGACAGGCGAACCAGTCGCGGGATCCGTGCTGCGAGGGCTCCAGACCGGAAATGCCACGATGCACTTACCAGTCTTGCGTGACATTCCGCCGCCAACCCTCGCGAGTCTAGGAGAAAGCATGCAGCCGTTTACCTGCGTGCTCACCTAAACGTAGTGCTAAACTGCAGAAGCAGCACGATGCAACGAGTGCTTCCAACCGAGTAGTAACCATATCCTATAGCGAGTCGGGTCCGAGAGGAGGACCACCCATCCCTCTCGGGCCCTTGCTTATCAGGAGTGGTCCCAGGTAGAGGCCGCCAGACAAGCAAGCTCCAATGCGGGACGCGCCCCCGCACCGAGCCCGAGTGCCGGAGCCAACTGCTTGGCTCAGTCTCGGGTGTCCCAAAACGGCAAGACGGCTAGGCCACCAGGCACCCGACCGCCTCCGGCCGGTCCAGCCGGGGGTGGGGGAGACGGTACGAGCGGCCCAGTTCTCCCACACCGAGCTCGGAGACCGTATTTTCGGACATCGTCCGCGGACGTCGTTCCAGGCGTTTGGCCCCTTTTCGTCTCCGGGAACCGCAATTTATCGCGGTTCCTAGCGTGCTGTCGTCGCTGGATCACGTGCTGCCCATCCTCGGTGTACCACCCCCTGGCACTATCCCGTCGACCGACTCTACTAAGCTGACTCTGGCAATGAAAATCTGCTGGGCCACTGGCTCTTCTCGTCGGGGGCTGTTTCGGCGAGGCACTGCGGACGGTCTGCGTCCTTCGCTTTCGTATCGTAGAAAACCCACTTATGTAGGCCTACCTACCCAGGCCGGCATCCGAAGGAGGGACATCGAAGTTACCTACGGCTTCACGTGACAGCGTCCTCCTTATCCTCACCCCCAATCCCGAACCCGAAGTCGTGCACAGGCGGGGGAGCTGCCTCTCTCTATCTTCTCCCCCGCCGTTACGTTCGTCCGACATGGGGCTGCGGGCTGACCAGGTTCCCGGCTTCTGCCTTCGACGCGCAAGGACATGGTGGGGTGAAGGGGGGCAAGCATCGCGATCCTGCGAGATGCTGAGAGGACAGTGGGACGGTGCGGGTCATCCGTAATATGCGATGCGCCTAAGAATAAGCAGATCGATTTCTTCGGAATGAGAGAGGGGGGGGGGGGACGAATCCGAGCGCGGGTTTTCACAACGTCAGACAGACAAGCCATGCCCCCTCGACTAAAGCCGGCCCAAGGCGCATCAGTCGGCGGGGCGCCACGGTGGATATCCGAAGATCGCCACGACGCCTCCGGCCCGCGCATCGGTTGGCTCGCCACTACTCGCGCAAGCCGTGGCTGCGGCGGCGAATCTTTCTCAATCGCTCGGTCGCCCGCATCTCGCAGGTAGTAACAGGGCCCTATTTCCCCCGGTTCCTCGGGGGCGAGAGGGATTTGCGGGATTGCTGTTGCCACGCTGCGATCTACCTAGGATCAGCACATGCATCTTCGAAAATGTAGGAGAGAGGCTTGCCCCCCCCCCCCCCCCCCCTGCCGGACTGCCCTCATGCGAGACTATTACGTTGGGTCTCGAGGGGCCTACAGCAGATCGCCGATCTCGACTCTAAGGCAGGTTTTAGCGATACCTTCTGCGCGGAGCGGGGGATAAGGAGGAGGCTTACCACCCTTTTCACTGCCAGGGTTGGGCTTTTTAGGCCGTCTCCGGCGGTGGAGGACCAGTTTCTCACTCTTTCTCACCCGCGCGTCATCGTATTGAACCTGCTCTCGCGTCCCGCCGGCCAGCGATTGACTAAAGACGACAGGTCCGGTTGTGGTTAGTCCGCGGGGAAGACGGTCGATGTCAGACTCGGGATATGGGTAGAAGGGCAAACAAGGCGGAATCCGATGTAGGTAGTCCCTCCCCCTCCCCCCTCTGTGTGGATCACCGCCAGCGGATAAGAGCGAATTGGAAGGGCGGGAACGGGCAAGCGGGAGGAGTATAGAGCGATGGCACTACCTCGAGTCTAGGAAAGAATCGCATAACCGGATTGGTTAGGCATCAAGTGATAAGGGGGAAAAGAACGAGAAACGGGTGCAGAGTTATAACCCGAAGCCAGAGTTTTCAGAGGTTGCGAGACTCGAAGCGCCATCAACTCGGCGGCCATACGTAGGAAATTAAGAGAGGTATGCTTCTCCCGACATATTCGCCCAGTAACTGGATCTTGGCTACTTGTAGCGTTCTCCTACTGTCACCGTCTGGGCCTGCCTCCAGCGGCCTTCTCACGGCTCCATCCGATGCGACATCTTGGCCGTTGTCTGCGTAGGAATAGAGAAGACTAAATAGGCACAAAGTCTACGACAGCAACGAACCCCTCGTATTCAAGGTCGGCGATAACGTTTGCCCCACGCGCTCGCCGGGTTCTGTGCGCGGCCGCCGCCGCTCCAGTCGACGTCGGGCGAGGGGGAGGGGACAGGCGCTACTCACAGACGGCGGGCCAGATGCCACCCGGCGGGTGCCACGCCCGGCTTACCACCGTCGTCGTAGCTCGTGTTCTGAATGTCCCCCCCCTCCTCTCTCTCCTCCTCCGGGGGCGGTGCGCCGTATCGCGTCGCCAGCGCTGACCGGTATCCGCCCCCCCGCTCTTGTGACCGAATCTGCATGCGACGCGGAGCAGATAGAGATCGAACCAAGGCCGCAGCGCCCCCAATAAGCCGCGAGCTCGGCGGGCTACCCTACGTCAGGGCACATACCCACCGCATGCGGGAGGGGGGACGGGGCCAAGTGTGTGGTGTGTGTCTGTCCATTCCGCCCTGCGCGAGCGCCAGGGGGTTGACCCCCGTACGATTCTATTGGGAGTGGGGACTGCATTGCAGATGCGGCCAGTCTGGTCTGCTGTCAGATTGGGCCAGGTTAGGGCTTCAAGAGAGAGAGAGAGAGAGGCGGTAGCGAGGCAGGCCGCTGGCCGGCCGGCCTCATGCTGGAAGGCTTCCACGTCCTCGGGCGCGGTAGGCAGCCCAGACGCAAACGGAGAAACGGCTTGGCCGAGAGGAGGAACAGAGGACGACGATCGTTTTATTTTATTTTTTTATTTTTCATTTTTCTCCTGCCTGCCTCCCTCTCTATCTGACTCGGGACATGGTCCTCGCAGGAGGCCCACCTAGAGCACGCCGTCGCGCTTGCGACCTACCTACCTACATAATGCGATGCATCCATCTCTCGAGAGGATCGGCGCATGACCTCGCAGGCTCGTTCGACGCCCGAGCCGAGGAGTGCCGGCTGGCTCGCATCGCTGGACGGCAGAATCTGAGTGCGGCGCAGGACGCAGATCGAACGAGCGCCGACGGTGGTGGTCGGGAGAGGGGAGAGGGATGGCTCTGTGCGCCGCATACATGCGTAATCTCCACGGCTCTTCCCCCCCCCCCCTCCCTCCCAAGCGGTATTATCACACACCTCGACGTAGGTATACACCCACTTAGTACATCCACCGGCACGTCCACTTGGCGCATCCACCACGGCAACTTACCACATCGCCTCTTCGCGCCCTGGCTCGTCGTCCTCGCCTTTGCGACTACGTCTCCCCACCTCGGTCCACTCCCCGCCGCACGTCGTGCTCCTGTTCCTCCTCCTCCTTCTTCTCCCCTCTTTCCCCCTCCTTTGGCGGGGGTCACGGCAGAGCCAGGAGCTGAAAGAGGGCGAAGGGGTGAGCGAGACGCTCTGGGTGGGATGGCGGCAGGCGAGTGGAGGGCCTCGATACCGACTAAGAGAGGATCATCGGCCTGTTAGCCTCTTCGGGCGCCGGGTTATTACGGCATCGCACCTGCGTCGCTAGGCTCGTCCCCGGTCCGAGACATTGCGAGAGCGCTGTCATGTAATACGCAGGTAGGTATTCTTCTCGCCCTCCGGTCCGCCGCCCGCGCGAGCAGCAGCAGCAATGCGTAGGTACAAATATCCTTTTTTTTTTTAACTCTCCTCGAAGCAGTAAAAGTTCTACTTACCTATCCCCTTTCTCCTATCTTCTCTCCCTTACTTCTTTTAATGAAGAGATAAAATTAATCATTTTTTAATTAAAAAAAAAAGAAGCGCAGTCCAACGGCGAACCGACACAGTCAGCGAGCTCGTAATTCGTACCTATTGTTTGCCCTGTCTCTGTCTGACGGGCAGTGCCGAGACGGCGTAAAAGAGATGCGCCCCCGGCCGGTACACATACATTACCTACGTACGTATCTGCCTGTTCTTTGCATCCGGCGGTCACATATGAAATGTGATAAAAATTATATTTACATACCTAAGAACGTAAGAAGGGGAAAAAACCCCCAGAAAAAGATAGGGCCCAACGATGTGTCTGTCCGCAGAGGTCGAGGTCGGACAGTTAGCCGCTGAGGTGGCACTGGCCCGGCTGGATCGGGCATAGATCTCTGGGGGGGGGCCAGGATGGCGTCCGCGAGGGCAACGTAGGCGATATCGCCAGGCCGGCCAATGAGAAAAGTCAAGATTCCGTCGCGACAGAGCCCTACTCGTACTGAATGCGGTTCCGGGAAACTATTATGTCGACTAGCCCCGACCCGGAGCTAGCGGGCAGCTGGTTGATGGACTGCCCCCATCTACATGTAACGTGGATCGCCGTATATTACCAGGCAGGCATCGTTGGCGCGAGACTGGGTGCTAAGACACGCTCAGATCCCCCTCCCCGGCCGTGCTGCGCTGCACCCCTACCACGCTGCCACCAGCCTTCCCCTAGCTCTTCTACTCTACCGGACTTTCTAGCCATGTAGTGCAACTCGCCATTGGCCCTGTCCTCATGCGCCTACAGGGCGAGAGACTCGAGCAGACCGTTTTCGCTGGCCACCGCCTCCCGATCGACAAGGCGTATAAAGCCTGACTCGCTCCCCGCCGTCCCTGTCGTCATATAGATGATCGTCCATGCTAGCGAGCTTCGACCCTTCTCCCCCTCTCACCCTCTTCTGGTCGAGCCGCAGTGACGTCCCCCCTTGCGCCCGACGATCGGCACCGGCACCGTACCAGAACCTCGTCAGCTCTAACTTGCCAACCATGGACGTCCCTACGAGCATTCCGCCGGGGTTCGGCTGGGAGCAGTGGCTCTCGTCGCTCTCAGCCCGGCCCGCACCCTACCTGCTCGTCTTTGCCTTCCTCATCGTTGCCATCTCGTACATGCGCGAGCGGTCGAGGGACCAGTTGAAGCGCATTCCCTACCTTAACGCCCCACAGTTCTACTCTAGCATAGGAGCCAAAGTAAGCAAGACACCCCTCGAGCTGCCTCTCGACCGAAAGCCGTCGCTGACCCGAGGCCGCGGCGCCCGACAGAAAAAATTCTGGCAGCACGGCGAGGCCTTGATTGCCCAGGCCCGCCAGAAGTATGCCCGCCTACCCTACCGCTTCCTGATGGACATAGGCGAGGTGGTGGTCTTGCCCCCCGAGTTCATAGACGAGATTCGCAATGAGCCCAACCTTAGCTTCGGAGAGGCCTTTAAAGAGGTATGGGCCACTCGCCAATCTCCCTCCCCCTCAGGCACCTTATACCCCGAGTCATCTTAACCAGAATGGGCTTCCTAGGACTTCCATAGCAACATTCCTGGACTTGAACCCATGAGCCAGTTAAGCGGAGACCAATTGGTGCAGTCAGTGCTCAGGAAGTACCTAGTCAAGGTTACTCGTACGTTGATAGCACCCCAGCACCGCGGTCAAGTCACGACGGGGGAGGGCCATGCCTACTAAGACTCTTGTGTGTATCAGCTGAAATGACGAGACGCGTGTCCGAGGAAGCCGCCTCCGCCATCCCCACCATAATAGGCGGCTCTCTAGGTGAGTCTGGCCAGCCTTTGCATGAACGCGCGATGGAGAGAGGTGGAACTAATCAAGTAAGAAAGATTGGCACGAGGTAACGCTGCACCCTACCCTGCTCGCGCTGGTCTCTCGCGTATCCTCGCGCATCTTCCTCGGCGATGAGCTGTGTCGGAGCGAGGAATGGCTGCAGGTCATCAAGACGTACTCGAAGGCCTTGTTCGTCGCCGCGGCGAAGCTGCACATCATGCCGCGACCGCTCCGCAGGATCGCGAGCTGGCTGATCCCCGAACTCAAGGTGCTGAGGGCCCAGATCAAGGAAGCGGAGCGGATATTCGCCCCCGTGATCGCGAGGCGCCAGGAGATGAGGCACGCTGCCATCGCCAACGGCTGGGAGGTCCCCAAGTTCGACGACGCCCTCGGGTGGCTGGAAAGGGAAGCCACAGCCAAGGGCTTAGTCTTCGACGCGGCCCTAGTGGCCAAATTCGAGATAGTCGTAGTCGCCGTCGCGCTCCACACCACGATCGATCTGGTACAGCAGTCCATGATCGAACTGGCGCAGCGTCCGGAGACGATGCAGCAGATTCGAGACGAGGTCATCTACCACCTCCGCGCCGAGGGGCTGTCGAGGGCGTCCCTGTACAAGATGTCGATGCTGGACAGCGCTCTCAAGGAGACGCAGCGCATGAAGCCTATCGAAACCGGTGAGAAACGCGCCCAGCTTTCCCTTAGGTGTAGGGGAGGAGACGGCAGCTGATGTGATTCTTAGTTATGCTCCGCCGTCGGGTGATGGGAGACGTGCACCTGTCGAGCGGGCTCACGCTCAAGGAGGGCATGCGCACCTGGGTCAGCACGTGCCGGATGCGAGACCCGGGCGTGTACGAGAACCCGGACCAGTGGGACGCGAACCGCTTCCTCAAGCTACGGTCGCAGCCGGGGTGGGAGAACACGACGCAGCTGGTCTCGACGAGCCGCGACCACTACGCGTTCGGCTACGGCGAGCACGCCTGCCCCGGCAGGTTCTTCGCCGCCAACGAGATCAAGGTGCTCTTCTGCCACCTGCTGGTCAATTACGAGTGGAAGCTGGCGCCCGGGGTAGACGTTCGGCCCAAGATTTTTGGCATAGCGTGGGTCGCAAGCCAGGATGCGAAGCTGTCGATGAGGCGGAGAGAGAAGGCCGAGTTCGATTTCGGGTCGGTCTGGGATGCCGAAACTCCAGGCATAATGGAGGTGTGAGAGGCGTACGGGTAGGGTAGGGTAGGGTAAGGTAGGGCGTCACCGGCTGGGAATTGTCCTTCTTCACCACGTCCCCGCGGGACCGTAGGGTTGGGCGGTTCTGTCTGGGATTGCTGAACCGGGAGTTATGACACGTTGGGAAGGGCGCGAGGGGTGAAGGGCGACGTGTATCTGTCAAACGGCAGCGGGGGGGAACAGCAGCCTCATTTGCCTAGGTGCTTTTCAGTCTCCGGCTGGCGGGTTTTCTTCCACGTCCCGCCTCTATCGCTCTGGTCACGTAGCTGAACCAGGACGAATATGGCGGGGTTCTTATTTCGACTGTCACCGGCATATCAACGCTGTCCCTGGCAAAAAAAAACAGGCTAATAGCTCGATGTTGGGGTTATCAGGTTCCGGGTAGAGTGGGTTCGAATTTCGCAAGCCATGCATATGCATACCTATGTAGACATAGATGCGTGTATTCGCATGTACGTAGGTAGGTAGAAAGAGGGATATATACCTCTTGCCGACGGAATCGAAGACGACACGGCTAGAATTCTCCCACACATCTCGCTTGGGGTGGGGGTTCGGCGTTGGGTGACCGGGGTTGACCTCGGCCAAGAAGAGCGTTAGGGGTTACCCCGGCAGCCGGTCTTGGACTTTGAAGATGACCGATGAATTGGTGGTGACCTGGCCGGATGTTTCGCAGCGCCGATGGTGTGCTATAGATGGGATGGGATGTTTTTGTTTTGCCGGATCCGTCTCACCTACAGAGATCGGGTGTCCTACGTGTACTTAGCTACAGGGAACACCGTAGGGCTTACTCATACGCACATCATTCGACCACCCTCAGGGATTCAGGGGCAGATATAAGTTGGGCACGTGACGTGACGGTGCGATAAGGCACGTTAGCGCGCCTACGGCGCGCCCTGGGCCGCGTCGCCGCTGCAATCGGCTACGGCCGCCTACTCATAGAGGGGCCACATTACGTATGAGTAGGTACCCCCTAACCTAAGGCAGGTAGGTACCCGTGCTGCCTAAGCTATAGGTATGGACGCCGCTACATCCAGGTGGTAGCATGCACTACAGGTGCCTAAATGTGAACCTGGCAGTGTACCTAGAATACAAGGAATGCCCCATCGTCTCACCGCATGGCCTTGCCCGCGAAGCCTACTACTACTCATATACGTGTAATCGACCTACCCCACGGCAGGGCAAGGCCGGCGCCAACCCAGGAGGGCTTATGTACGCCCATCCCATCCCGTGCATGTACCTAGGTACCAGAGGCAAGTTCCGTACCTGTGTGCCTGTGTACATCGGAGGCATGTATCGCAGACACATCCGCATCGCCCGTCGACCAGCACGGAATTGCGCCCTGGGTACGCGTGCTGCCCCCTCCCGAAAGTACCTATAGTACATCCGTCCACCGTAAAATCAACAGCATCAGCTCGCCCCCAGGCGCCCGCTGCTAGGCAGGTAAGGTACCTGCCTTAGCGAGCTACCTTGGGCTGGTTGGTGTCACTCTGCTCTGCTCTGCTCTCCCCATCCTCCCTCCGCCCTCTCTCCCTGGTTATTATTCTCTCTCACTCGACTGTCACAACAATAACAACAACAATAACAACGACGACGACGAATTGCCTCGTGTGTCTCGTCTTCTCCCCGGCTCCCCCGACTGTCCGACTCGTCCTCTCGAACCCATAGGCCAAACTTGTATCGATTGCCATTGCCGCGCTTGTTGCTAACATCAGGTGCCCCGATCGCCCTGCCCCATTAATGCATCAGCATATGCACCCTCCCGCATCGTGACGGTGTTGCCAACGCCGCCCTTCCGCTCGGCGTGAAGCCCGTATAAGACACTTCTTGTTTTTTCTCCTTCTTCCCAACAGCTCGGCCACCTCTACTATCCTCTGCATTCATTCATCCATCCATCCATCCCTTTGTGTTTTGTTTCCCGCCAGCCAATTGCATTGTTCTGGCCTCGATACTGCTGCTGTCTGGTCACCGATAACGCGCACCAATAAATATCTATTTGACCGCACCTCTTTCCCCCCCCCCCCTTCTTCGGATCGTCGTGAATTCGGCCCTCACCTACTTTCCAGGACTACCCCAATCCTGCACTTTCCCCCGGGGGCTTAACTTCTTCATCCCCTCCCTTCTCTCCCTCGGCCAACTTGATCGGTCAGATACCGCGATCCCGAGATAGAAGCATGTCCCTCACTGCCGGAGCCACATAGTAAACATGGCCGAACGAGATTGCGAGGATCGGAACGAAGCATTAGACCCGGAGCTCCTCTATACCAAGGAGTATTGCATCGGTTTGGCTCCCGCCGAGTTTCGGAAACGGGGTCCCTTGGCTGACTTGGCTGCGCTTTAGGTGGTGGCAGCTTCGGCAAGGTCTACAAAGGGTTTGTGTGCAAGGTTTGGCAACGCCCCCGGTGCGCCCCCGAAAGCTAATTCTGGGGCCAGGGTTGAGAAACGGAGTGGGCAAGCTGTCGCCATCAAGATTATCGACATCGAAAGCGCCGAGGACGAAGTCGAAGACATCATACAGGAGATCGCCATCCTATCCGAGCTGAGGTCGCCCTACGTTACCAAGTACTACGGCTCGTACGCGAAAGGCGCCGAGCTATGGATCGTCATGGAGTTCTGCTCCGGCGGGAGCTGCGCCGACTTGATGAAGCCCGGCATGATAGGGGAAGACTACATCGCCATCATCATCCGAGAGCTGCTTTTGGGCTTGGACTACCTGCACGCCGACAAGAAGCTCCACCGGGATATCAAGGGTAGGCAGCCTACATCCGAGCCTCGTGGCACCGATGAGATCATTAGCTAAAAGCTGTCGTAGCGGCAAATGTCCTACTGAGTTCCAATGGCCAGGTCAAGCTGGCCGATTTTGGCGTGTCTGGGCAGCTCTCGGCAACCATGACGAAGAAGAACACATTCGTCGGAACTCCGTTTTGGATGGCCCCGGAGGTCATTAAGCAGTCCGGATACGATCACAAGGCGGACATCTGGTCCCTCGGTATTACAGCCTTGGAGCTCGCCAATGGCGAGCCGCCTTACGCCGACATCCATCCCATGAAGGTTCTCTTTCTCATCCCGAAGAACCCCCCGCCCAGGTTGGAAGGCAACTTCACGAAAGCCTTCAAAGACTTCATCGAGCTCTGCTTGCAGAGAGACCCGAAAGAAAGGCCGGTGGCTAAGGAGCTGCTCAAACACCCGTTCATCCGAAAGGCAAAGAAGACGACCTACCTGACGGAGTTGATTGAACGCTTCCATCGATGGAGCGCAACGCACAAGACGGAAGACGACGAACCCCAAGACGAAGGAGAGGCCCTTACCGAACGAGAATCCGTCAACGAGGATATGTGGGACTTTGGTACCGTTCGGCTGGTCGGAGACAGGGGTGGCATGGCAAATCGGCCGGGGCTGAATCCGACGGACGATTTGGCGAGAAACGCGAGGGCGCCGCGGCCGCTAGAAGCAGACTACGGAGAGAGCCCGAGGGCGATCTCGCCGGACAAGGTCCAGACTCACGATTTCGCCGACTCGTCGCTGTCTAGCACGATGAAGCTAGCTGGCCCTCCGACGGGGGGGACGCCACGCCAGCCTTCCCCCCAACGAAGGCCTGTCCCGACCGGGACGCCATTGTCACCTTCGAAGGTGCCCTTACCCCCGTCACCACCGAAGCACGCACAAGATCCGAGCACTCCACGAGCCCCGTCCAAGCAAATTTCCGTCGTCCCTACTCTGACGTCTCCCGACTCCGACCGGGCGTGGAGAGAGCAGATGCAGCACGATATGACGTTGCTCAGCATAGCCCCTCCCTCTCAGCCGTATTACGCCAATCCGCCGCAATCCCTGGCGTCTAAGAATTCGCAATCGCATCTCCAGCAGCAGCGAGGAATCGTAAAGCCGAGTCCGTTCAAAATACCCGAGATCCCGCCGTACCGCGGGCCCAGCTTCCACCAGCAGCCCCCAGCGCAAAGAGCGACGACGCAGCAACCGTCCAATCCGAACTCGCAAGCCTTCCCGTCGAAAGCGCAGCCCAAACAGCCGGCGCCGGCGCCCGACGGCTTCCCGCCACCTGGGCCGGCGAATCCGAACGGCGAGCTGGACGCGCTGAACGATGTCATCTTCCCCGCGCTCGAGGAGGCGCTCAAGCGGCGGCAGATCCGGCTGCAGCAGCTCTACCGGAACGAGAAGGTGATCACGCCTCAGCGACAGCGCGCCGAGGCGGCGCACGACCGCATCCGCAAGAACGTTTACAAGCTCGCCAACGTGTGCAAGGAGATCGACCGGCTCGACAAGAGCGAACCGGTCAGTATGGGCAAGGATTTCGGCACGTTCCTCGAGGGCCTGCTCGAGGAGATCCTCGTGCGCGTCGAACCGCTAGACGAGGAGGATGGCGCGTGTGAGTAGGGACGAATGTGGACACACGGAGGCTGGGTTCACGGAGTCGGGCGACAACGGCAGCAGCCGCGGCGGCGATGATGCACAGTAATACGTGGTGGAGCAAGCCAGTTGGCACCGAATTGGGGGAGCACAGGGAAGACAGAGACAAGTTGCATTAGAAAGGCGTTTCCACAAGGGGGCGTGTGTGGCATATGTGTAAGTAGATGGCAGATGGCTTTGTATATCTAGTACGGGAGCAAGGGAGGCGAGGGCTACTGGGAGGTCTCTCGGGTTTTGCCCATGGTGTAATGAGGTTCTGGCGATCGCTGCCAGGTCTACTTGTTGTCTGCCCGCATATCTTGCGTGTTTTGAGGTCTAGACGACAGGATTCCCTGCCACCGCATCTGGTTCATTTATACCTAGGTGAGGGTTACCGAACCAACCCCACCCGTCTTGACTGCGCTGCCAACTTGAGGGTGGACTGGAAAAGGAGAAAGAAGAAAAAAAAAAGGAAGAGGGACGGGAACGGTGACGAGGAGCTGGAAAGGGGTCTGGAGTCAACGTGTGTATATACAGGATGTTTTTTTTTTTTTAAATTCTTTGGTTGACGACAAGAGAAAAGAGGAATATATAATTGAAAACAACCATCATGAGTATTGCCTGAATTGATAGATGAGGAATGGGAAATGGCATTCTGTGTACGTGTGGCCCGTGCGTGGGCTTGGCCGTCGGGGTCTTGCGGTGCTCTCCCGTTGCGTTGCGCCTGCCGTGTCTACTACTAAACCTCATCTTTTTTTCTGCCGCCGGTTCCTTCCTCGGTTTTTGTTTATTGCCTGCGGCCGCGTCACCGCCACGTCGCTGCCTCGGAAACCGCAACAGGGCACCTTCCATGTACGTACGCACTTTCCTTCCGAGTAGAAGCCCGCTCCTTCCCGGCCGGCCGCGGACCCCTCAGGCGGTCGCGACTGCCCGCGCAGGCATCGGGGGTTGATTCCCGTCTCGCCTCCAATTAAGTATCCGCGCCGCCTCCCGTCTCTTTCCCTCTTCCTCCCTCCCTCCTTCACCTCACTTCGCAACACCACAGAGCAACTCATCGCCGTTCCGAACTGAGCTTCCTTCGCGTTCGTCTCGAGAAGAACCGACAACTGCCACCCGCACATCCATCGATCATCACGGCTACCGCCGCCCATCTGCACACACGCAACATACACACACACAGACACACAAGACACCGCGTCGTCCCGAGTCTGGCCAGCAGCAGCCACCACTCGCGAGACCCCAATTCCTCCTCGGTCAAGCACCATCACAACACCATCACCACCACCAAAAACAACAACAATACAGCCTTCAAAACCCACCACCGCCTCCCCTACCGCCTTCCATACACACACTCACACACCCATACACATACCCGCCATACACTCACGCACGTATACACACACGTATACACGCATCTACGCGCTATCCGTCATCGTCCCCATCCTACCTTTCTTTGTCTACGCTCGCCCTTTCTCTTCCTCCTCCTCCTCCTCTCCCTTTGTCTGCTCTAGGTACAAGAAAGAAGTGCCTCGCAACTTACCATCCACAATGGATTTCTCTCAGCAGCTCCACGATTGGCGCTCGCCCAACCACTTCATCAATTGCGATATCTGCCGCGAATTCCGCGAGCAGATGATCGAGGAAGCCGAAGTTGATGCACAAATCAACGCCATCGCCGACGCTGCAGATGTCGGCGCCCCCACCACTGCCGTCCCTTTCCACCAAACCTGCGTCGTTGGACACTATCGTGTCCGCCACCCCGTCACCTTTCAACTACCCCCCACGACAGTACCTGCTGCTTCTCTCGAACCGCCGACCCCTCCGTACCGAAAGCGAGGTCGCCATCTGCAAAGCACCAACGGCCCCTGCGATTTCACCCCCTTCACCCCTAATCTGAACATCGTTGGACCGGTAAGTGGAGACTCGACCGTCTTTGTCTCCGCTGGTAGCGTCTCTGCGTAGCTTGCCCTTGCTTGCCTTGAATCTCCTGCCCCGCCTGTTGCTCACATCGGGCCGACGGAGGCGTGTTGGCTAACATCTGCCTCCAGGCACCCCAAGCTGTGGTTGGTTAGGCACCTCCTCAGGACAACCGGCCAACACGCCACGAATTTCAGTCACGACTCCGTCGATACTTGGAAAAGCGAGAATATTCTCGTCGTCACCTTGTCGCACCCCTCCTTCCTCCTCGCAGACCCCTCTTCGAAACCCCAGCACGTATCGTAAACCTAGACCCAGAGACGCGACGCCGTCTCCTGCGCCCAATCCCGCCTGCCGGTCTCCGCATGAGCGAGACGGTAGTTGGACCCCAGGCAATCAGACCCGAGGTCGCAAACAGGGACCCCTCCTCGCTACCGATACCTGGAGCTTGGCCGTACCAGCCGGACGAGCAGGTCGCCCCTGTAGTGGCAGCAGGTAACGACATAATGGCCATACCTCTACGCTTCGGCGCCAATATCTGGGGCGCCGTTACCTATATTCGTGATTCGTCTTACGGCCTCTGCGCCGCCCTGGGAAACAGAGTATTCCGCAGCAACCGCCGGACCCCTGCTCCGATCCCGCCACCTCCTGCTGAAGATGAGGAGGAACCGACCCCCAAACGCCGCAAGTTCGATACTGAATCGAACCGCGAAGCGGCTGCGTCCCCGCCCTCACCCTCGCCCGCGCAAAGCAGTGGCGATTCCATGGACATTGATAGCCCCGATGGTCGACTCAGGTCGTCGCCGCCCGAATCTCCTATTCTTTCCCCGAACTCGGCCGCCGCCGTCTCAGCAGCAGGTGCAGCAGCCGCTAGAAGAGCTGCAAAGCTATTTCCCAAAGGCAAGAAGAAGACCCGAAAGTCGAGTTGGACTCCTGTCGCCACGCCTCCACCTGAACCCGAGCAGACGGCAAAGAAGCCAGAGAAAGAGTGGAGGCCTCTGCCTCCGCCGAAATACGCGAGCATCCAGGAATTTTTCGACCACGAGGATGAACATTCGCTACCTGGCTTAGAGGGCTTCCGCTTGGCACCCAGTCATGCCAAAATCCAGGAACTGAATTCCCAGCGGGAGGAACGCATTCGTCTAGAAGAGGAAAAAGCCGAGCAGGAACGCCAGGAACGCCTGCGAATCGAACGAGAACATCTAAACGAGACGCTTCGCCCTCTTGGTTTACGCAAGGCTAATGCCGCTCTTATCACTCCACTAGAAAGCGAGTGGGAGCAGAAAGCCCTAGAGGCGCCAACCGACGGCTACGCCGAGCAAAATAAATGGCAAGGGGCTGCCCACCGGGATGGCGTGGAGCTTACGCCCCATGATTTCTCTAGATTAGTGCCTCCGACGGCGTGGCTAAACGACAACGCGATCCAAGCGTCGCTGGTCCACCTCGCCACGTACGTCAACGACGCGGCAGGCGTCCTCCCCAAGAGGACCACTCCGAAATGTGTTGCCCTGTCGTCACAATACTGGTCGAACTACTGCAGCGACCCGAGAAATAACCTATACCCCCGAGGATTGGCGCGAAACTGGGGCATGACACCGGCCAACTTCCTCGACATCGACACGGTTCTTCTTCCTGTGAACGAGCACAGCCATTGGACCGTGATCGTTATCCGCCCTACACGCCGAACAGTCGCCTACGTCGACTCTTTTCATGGAAGCGAAACACGCCATCTTCAGCTGGCTCATGCCTGGATGGAGCGCTTCTTGCAGAATAAGTATAATGCTAGTGAGTGGAGCACTACGCATTATACAGTGCCATCTCAGACAAACGGCTATGACTGTGGCATGTTCGTAATTACCAATTCGATCTATCTATCGCTCGGCATCGATCCCAGCGACTACTCACAGAGTGATTTGCCCCTGCAAAGGCGCAGGATCGCCGCGATGCTTCTAAATGGGGGCTTCACGGGGCCATTCGACTTGTCACATCTGTAACCGCAGGGGGGGCACGCACAGATGTACAAATCGCATCCAGAATTCCTATACTCGCTGTACGATACCCCCGGAGGCGTCACGACCAACCGAAGGGCAGTCACACCATCGCCCTACCACCCTATACATATACATGTTTGCCCGTTCATCATTGCATCGAAATGGAGTTGGGAGGAGTTTCGGCATACAAGTTCGGCCGTTTGCCATTGGATTTCCGCAAAAAGGGGGGAAAGGCCGAATAGAAGTATACAGATGACGCTTTGGTTTTCATGAGAGGTTTCCTGTTTTTTTGTTTGCGAACTTGGTCGGTCGTACTGGAGATATCCTAAAGCATGGACGGCGTAACAAGAAGGGGTTTGGTTAGGAAGAACACGGCCAGAAGCATCATGTCTATGCTTGCTGCTCGCTCCCGGATATACCTTAATCGGGAGAGCTCGCAGGACGGCTGTTGGCGTTGGTACGTTGGACATTTTCTAAAAAGGACAACGGAGAAGGAGAAGCATCGCACTCACAAGACGTATGTGCGCTCCCTGGAACTTTTTAAGGGAACCAGGGATAAAGCAAGGGCAGAGGGGAACTATAGGGATTACGATCAGGGTCGACAGGGACCGACCGCATGGATACAAAATGAACACGGTTGAACCAGTGGCGCGTGTGTCTAGGTGTCTAGGGTGAAGATGCCATAGAGCGTCACGAATTGTACTGTCCTCGTCTACGAGGGGTGTATATCGCAAAGACGTCTGAATTGTATTCTACACGGGGTTACCTTGACACTGTCTCCCGCCTCGAGTGACTAGAGTGACCAAGTAGCAGATGCGAGTAGGGTTCGTGAGGTATATACACATACCTACCTATAGTTACGTAGAGGACCATATGAGAGATTCTCAGGTAGGCACTTGAGTAAGGTAAAGGAGAGAAGACGGAGAAGAAGAAAAGACAGGGGTGCAGGTGCGTGGAAGCTAGCCAGCCAGAGAGCCAGAGCTCCCGCCCCCCGGTCCTCCTCCGCATCCTCTCTCCGCAACCCTATCGCCGGGGAAATGGTGCAGGGACCTAGGAGCAGGCACTCCCCGCTGCCCGTATATAGATTAAGAGGTAGGTAGTTATCGACGTTTCCGCGCAGCAAAGCTACCTCGCTCCCTACACCTATTCTCCCCCCACACCCGGTCCCCAAGCCCCCCTTGTCGCCTCTCCACGCGACATAGCGATGCCGGGAAGCGCGAGGAGGTACATCCGCGCTCGCAGCGGAGCAACATCGCCACGTCCTCCCCCCCTTTCTTTGCCGAGGACACGGATCCGAGCCCGAGCCACGGCCGCGAAGTACACCAGACACAGAGCCCCGGTGCACCTCTCTACGCGCGTACAGCGGGTATTCCTCGTCGCGCCGTCGCTGGCGCTCTCGCGCAGGAGACGCGGAAGGCAGCAGAAGAAGAAAAGGGGACAAAAGTACGAGCTACCTAAACCTTAGGTAGCGAGGTTAGGGGGGTAGGTACGCAGCGTCTGCTGCAGGGTATGTGCACATTCCGAGGCTCTTACTCGCGTACAGGCGCGCGGATAAGTACACGTGTGTATTTCTTCAGAGAGAGGGGGAGGGGGAGAGGAGGCGTACCGGACCCTTCTCCCTCCCCCTACTAAACGTCTCTTATCCCTCTCTCTCTCTAAGCCCGTTGATATTCCTCACGGGTAGGTATCTCTCTCTCTCTCTGTCTCTCTCCTCATTCCGTGCCGTGTCCAACCCATTCGGCGGAAAATTATCACGCCAGTATTAATATCTCGCAGAGTCGTCGTACCGCGACCCGAGGAACCAATATGCGTTTCCCCCCCTCTTGCTCTCAGCTAACTAGCGCCCTGTCCCTCTTTCTCTTACCGGGCCCCCCCTTTCCTCTCGTCACCTCGCGGTTGCGGTGGGAAAAACCCCTAGTTCAAGTGCAGAAGCCGTTTCGTGTTCTCGTACACCATCCACGTGATACTAAGCGCGGGTGCGACTTTGAGGAGATTCGGCATCAGGCCCTTGTACAGGCCCCGGACCCCCTCGTTCCGCACCGTCTTTTGCGCCACGTCCCATATGCCCGTGTAGCGCGCCGGGTGCATGCTGGTGCCCTGGGTCTGCAGCCTAGTGCGCAGGACGTTGAGCGGGTACACGACCGAGGCCCCGAAGGCGCCCGACGTCGCGCCCATGATCCCCGTCGCGAACGTGCTCGGCTGCGCGTCTTCCTCGTGCACGTGGTCGCTCCGGGCCCTGTAGGCCACGTAGTTCGTCTTCAGCATCTCAAACGTCCCCATGTCGATGGCCGAGTAAGGGAACATGCCGATTAGGCCCATGGTCATGCCCCTGTAGGCCGCCCGGACGCCGCCTTCCGCGAACATCTTGCGTGCGGTCTGGAAGAGAAGAGCGTTGCCTCGCGCGCCGCCGGAAACATACTCTGACTGTAGGCTGGTGGGCTATGTTAGCTACCGATTAGGAGCCGAACGCTGTTACAGGCTCACCGAAACTTAAGGGTATCAAGAGGGTATACGCAAATCCTACATGCGGGTTAGTCCCAGATGGTCATCCTAACTGAGCGGAAACAGGCGAACGCACTGTGCAGTCATGCCTGCGACGCCGCCCGCAACGAATTTAGAGTAAGGGTTGATTTGGTGCATGTCGTCGTGGCCCTCGAGACCTGCGAGGGTCTTCTTGGCGGCCTCGTACGCTCCGAACTGTCCTGCGGTCAGCGATAGGCTCCATTCGAGGACAACTTATATAGAGAAATGTACTCTAATAGCCGTCTCAGGCATGATCTTAACCACATTGAGTCCATTGCCTGGTGGAAAACGTAAGCATCGAGATCACTCACAGCTATCCATCTAGCTGGAGAAATGGTGATTACCAGCAAAGAACCCTCGGAGGCCTCCAGATTTATACAGCTCGGCGACGGCGGTGAGCAGAGGTCTGCCGGCATGTTTTAGCGCCACAATGGGCTGGCCCTTCTTAACCATGTCGAGGACGCTGCTGGTGCTCGACGTGGTGTTTACGAGAAGGTAGACCTTCAGGCGATCGAGCGGAGCAGTAGCCGTACGAGAAATGCCTCCCGCCACAGCACCGGCAATGAAATAGCCTGGATCGGGGAGGTATCTAATCAGCACGGACTCTTTGCTTTTGATTCTCAGGCCAGTCTCCATCTCAATGCCCTGTGCCGTGGGATGTATCGCCTGCTCAGCCTCCAAGAAGGCATTGGTAGATGAGATCGTTTGAGAGCCGACTTCAGCGTATGCTTTTACTGCAGCAGAATCCATGCTGGCCGTATTACTAGGTGTTGACGGGATACCCTTCACTGGTGATGCTTCTGGTTCCTTGATATCCCCGGGCAATGATGAAGGAGGGGAATCTTGATCCGGTGACGATTCAGATAGAGAGGCGAGTTTCAAGAGTGAACCAAAGAGTGTGTAGAGAACATCCGTACCTAGGCCTTGCAGAGTTTCCTCGCTGACTACCGAGTCACCTTCCGAGTTGAGCGTGAGGATATCGGAGTAGAATGTGAACACTGCACGGAGGGTGGTGGTCGAGTCGGTATTAGGCATGAAAAGCAGGAAGTTTCTAAGGGGAAAAGCACAGCGTCAGCCAGTACCATTCCAGGCAACCCGACGTTCTTGTCTTTGCATATAGGATACTACCATCGTCCCTCCTGTCCTTGGATACCCCCTTGATACGCCTGCAGTCCAGATTCATCGTCTGTATGATAGCCTAAATATGGCCTCTGGCGCTTGGGGAGAAAGGGTCGGGGGTACGCTGTTGGGTCCTGGGGTCTACAAAGGCAGATGACGGGCCATGGGACACTAACCGCCATTCTTCGTACGTGATAAACCCATCGCAGTTATGATCAATGTTCTCAAAGAACTCATCCAACCGGCGCACTGGCACTGCCAGCCCAGCACGTTGCACTGCGTGATGAAGCTCCTCCTTGTCAATCTTGCCGTTCTGGTCCCGGTCAATAGATTTAAAAAGAAGGAACAGCTGTCGCTCGGCAGCCTGTACAAAGATTCGGAATTCTATAGCGCGACGCAGTGCTGTTAGCTGGGGAATGTTTAAGCAAGCTAGGGGAGCAGAGGAGGGGAAGATGGAGAAAGGTGCCGGGCCGGGGCAGGCCACGTCTACAGACCTTCAAATTGGATTTTGCCATCTCCATTCTTGTCCACAACCTTGATGATTGTTTTGAGCATCTCATCGGCATTCTTCATTGCTAAGGTACCAGGTCAGCAACAGGCATCCGTCAGACCTGGCAACGCCAGGGGCGGGGCGTTGGTGCTAACGATGGTCAATCCTCTTGAGGCCCTTCTGTAATCCTTTCCAGTCCAACTCGCCAGTGCCTCTGTAGTCCAGCTTCTTCCAAAGCAGCTCAACGCGTGCGTCGCGCTGGTTCTGCGACTCGGCCATCTCCATCTCGACATTGGTGACCACGTTGGGGACGGTCATGTTCAGCAATCATGACCGGCGAGACAGCCGGGGGAGCGGACGGTGACGATCGCAAAATTGCTCATCGGAAGCTATGGATAAGGCATCATCGGGGGCCGGAGAGGAGGCCGTGGTAGATATTTGAGCGGTCGTCTCTGGGGATGTCTAGAATCAGTCGCCGGGACAGACAAGTCATTATAGGCATTGGCAGGTTGTCTTTGTTGCCTGGGAACTGGGCAGGTCAATAAGGAGATGATGCAAAAAGGAAAAATGACGGCAATCCGTTAAAAAAAGCGCCCGTCTAGCCCGGGCAGCCGGCTAGGGGGGGTGGGAGCTACGTCAAGGCCCAATTAGCAATCCCGATAAGCTGATAAGGGCGGAATCTGACACCACGCAATGCCGTGGGCGATAAAGCCGGCCGATAAGAAATGGGACTTGGTGGTCTGCCCCCGGGCCAAGCCGCGCCTGGGTTCCGCCCAGGCCCCGATCACGTACTGCCCCAGGTAGATGCAAGGTACCTCAGGTGCCTCAACCAAGGGTGAAAGCCCGCAAGGGAACCCACCTCAGGTACCTAGGCCGGTACATGTATTGCCCCGAACCCTTTTTTTTGGGGGGGGGGGATATATATCCCAAGGCTGAGAGGACACAGAGCCGTCCGCTTTGCCTTGCCAGCCAACCCACCCACCATCCTGCTCCTCCTCCAACCAATCTTCACCATGACCCCTGTGTTGACACCTCCAATTCACCAGCCTCGCAGGGCTGACGTTTTCAGACCTCTGTGCTAGCTGAGCTACTGTTGGGTTTCCTTCCGATGCTATCCTCGCCGCCATCATATCCTCCTATCCCACCCAGCGTAAGCGGCCCTGCTGCTTCGCCTTATTCTCGTCGCATGGTGCGTGGAGCGGACAGCCGCCATGGCAGCCAACTACTGGGAATCAACCCAGCGCCGCTTCTGGCAGTTCTCAAAAGACGAACTCAGCCAGATGCGCGACGAGTTAGAGAAAGGCGATCAGGCTCTGGTGCAGATGTTCCCCATACCTCGGAGGAAGCACCTCTATATATATTTTAACCAGCGTGAGCGATGTCTCCTCCCGCCGGAATCGACCCCTCTCTCGCTCTCCTCTGCCCGGGGCGCATGCTAATGGAGAGCTACTCGTTACCAGAAATTAGCCGTCTAAGCAAGAGGCTCAACATCAAGCAGCAGGCAGTTGCGACAGCCCAGATTTACATTAAACGATTCTATTGCAAGGTGGAAATACGTCGGACGAATCCCTATCTCGTCCTCACCACCGCCCTTTATTTGGCCTGCAAGATGGAGGAGTGCCCGCAACACATCCGGATGTTCGTCAGCGAGGCGCGATCGCTCTGGCCAGGTACCGCCAATCCCCCATGCTAAGCTTACAAGATCTATCCATTAACGCGGGCATCTCTGGAGCCGCAGACTTGCTGCAGATCGAGGTCTCGCGCATCGGCGAATGCGAATTCTTCCTCATCTCGGAGATGAACTCCCAGCTCATCATCCATCAACCGTATCGAACCCTAACGAGCCTCCAATCCGACTTCTTCCTCACCCCCGACGAGATCAACCTAGCTCTCTCGGTTATCAACGACCACTATATGACGGATCTTCCGCTTCTGTATCCGCCGCATGTCATTGCCCTCACGGCGATGCTTCTTTCCATAGTCCTACGACCTAACATGGCGCCGGGCGGAAACCCGCCGGCGAATATAGCCGCGGTCACAACAACGCTAATCCAGGCGCATAGCCGGGCTAGTGCGAGCGGCAGCGGTCAGAACACACCCGGACCTACCGAGAAGGACAAGCAGCAAGAGGCGCGGATGGGCAAAGTGCAGCGATTTGCCGCCTTCCTCGCCGAGAGCAACGTCGACATCGAGGGGATGATCGACTGCACCCAGGAGCTAATCTCATTCTACGAAAGCCACGAGCAATATAATGACAAAATGACTCGCGAGCAGATCAACCGGTTCGTCAAGGCCCGCGGGCTAGACAAGCACTAAAAATGCCTTCATACTTATCGACAAAGAGCCAACCAACCGGCCGCAGGAAGGCGTGGGTGGCCGTCTCATTCTTCCGCAGGAATCCTTTTTCATGAGGGCTTAGACAGCATAGCGTGGCTTGAGATGTGCCGTAGCGTAACATAGAAAATATATACTCAGCCCTTAACCAACCCAAGGTCTAGGGCTCCCCGAGAATCTAGGCCGTATATATGCGCCGAGACCGGAGGATATGGAATCTATCCGGAAGATGTGGTTTCCGAGGTACGTCGCGCAAGTTGTCGAGGGCATGTTATAGATAATAGGCATGTAGTAGGCATGCACATCGCCGGCTTGGGAGCGACCGTAGCGTAATCGAGAATGCTGGTGTATGTAGATCGTCGACGGCCACGGAAAGACTTATCCATCCCCCTTTCCTTTCCACCCTGTCGGTATGCATACATCGTACATCTACAATCGTCTGGGCATATCGTTGTGCTAGACACGAGTGCAAGTGTCTATCAGATGTTTCTCGGTTTCCTGGGAATCTCAGACAATAATAGGTCCTCGTTGCCTAGGTCACCGCGATAAATCCACGTAGTTGGGAGGGCCGGGAGGTCAGAGGCCGGGATATGCTACGTGTGAGTCCCTCGCTATCGGACATCATCGGCATGCGTACCTTGCTTGCATTGGCCCAGGTGATATAGGTATTCGGTATGCAAAGTGGTCGACATGCAAACGGAGCTGCCCACGGCCACCCACCCCCCACCATCCCGTGCCGGTTCGGATTCAGACTTGGGCGGAACGCAGCCCGAGAGTGACCGGATACGTGCAATGGTGCGTGTGTGCGTTGCCTACTCATATATACGTTAGACATACAGGTCACGGAGCTCGACTGTCCACTTGAGGGTATCATGAGCGAGGCTGCCCTGGATACTGTAAATTAATCGTGCAGGCTATACTCATACGTATAACTACCTCATAATAGAATACTACCTATGCACGCACAGGTGGGAAGTAAACGCGGACGTATAACCCGGAAACGTCCTCCAAAGGGTGCCTAAGGAAGGTAATATTAGGTACCTGCGCAAGTATGCACGTACGTAGGTGTGCATGTAAGCCGTAAGACAAAATCGATACCGGCGGCTGCCACCGTCTTCCGCCGTGGACCATCTTCCAAGATATTGACCTCAAGTCTTAGCTTAGATACCTCCTAGGTAGGTAACCTTATACACATAAGGTACCGAGATACGTATGCATACGTACCTATGTACCTACTTAGCGTGCATGGGTACCTACATGCATGAGGTTAGGTACCTACACGTGGAGGGTGTTGGAATGATGTAAGACGGAGCGTATCTTTATGCACCCAACGTTTGGGTGCCCATAGCGTAGTACGTAGGCATGAGTAGATCGGAAGGCATCAATCAGACGCGCATCCCACCGCCGAGCTTTGTGGAGTCAAGTGCTATGCAAAATTTTCCGGCCTAGCAGGTACTCGATGGGATATCCCGCAGCATATCCAGCATAAGATCCTGAGGTTTCTACACTTGTGAGCAACAGGCTACAGCCCACGCCGCCGTGCATAAAAAGTACGGAGCTGTATACCTACCTTATGAGAGGTAGAGAGGCGGTGTGGAGCAAGGTTGTACCTCTAGGTACCTAGGAGAGGTAGGTTAGGTTGGGTAACTGCAATCCGTCAATTGCGCTGCGTCACACGAGATCTCCCCGTAACCTGTATCTAGGTGCATTACTCATAGAGGCAGGTAATATTGGGCGTCCATGTGGTCCGTGTCCATCATACCCTCTGCGGTCGCAAAGTCGCCTTCTAACCCATTCCCTGGAGCACCCTTACACATATAATTATATAGGTATATAGGTATGTTTCATACCTGTGATGACTGGCCGCTGCACATGAAAAAGCAGATGCAAATGCAAATGCAAATAAATAGAACGGGAACCGGGGACCTGCCCGCCTTCATCCTACCACTCTACTTCGTTCGTCTGCGATGCCATCGCACAGATAACTCCGGCCGAGCACCACGAAGCCGTTCCAGGCCCCTCTGTTTCACCAGTGGCGGAGAAGTCTACCTAGAAACATCTGATACAGCGGCCACACACACACTCGAGATGACCGGGTCAGGGTTCTCCTGCGTCGGTATACCCGCCGATTCGGGCTCGATGCGCCCGGTACGAACGCCCAGAGGGAAACGGGCATGCGCTCGATCCAACAGCCGCTTCGTCTGCTCGGCAGGGTCGGGGATATATTAACATAATAGCAGGCCAAGGACCAAATCGGATGCCGCTGTCCTCGTGCTATTATGTGCGGATGCATGTGTGTGCGATGCGGCCCCCGATTCCTAGACATGTCTACATCGCCGCCACGTCCGAAGCGAGTTGCGGGGGAGAGAGATGCCCGCAGTTTTATCAGCATCGACTCCGTCAGCCGTCTCAGAAATGTGACGATCCTTCGAGACTAGTGATGGAAAGATTGAGACAGAGGCGCGGAGAGGGATATGGCATCCCTCTCGCCTACGAGTATTCCAGCGTGCATGTACCTACCGGACTAGACTGCGTACGAGCTGCAAACGACCCGCTACTTTCGGGAGGGCAAGGAAAGAATGAGATCGGGGCGCCGGGGTGGCACGGCGTCGGCTGCCCTCGACGGTCTTCATCCCGCTGTCAGCGAATCGATTCGGCATTCGAACTACATATAGATATCTCAAGCCGATCGCAGGAGCGCAACCGCACGCTCACCTAGATTCGACCCATCGGCCGATATGCACATATTAGATGTAGGCAGATTAGGCCCGTTTCCCCCCTCCCGCTCCCCAGGGGGGGTCCGTGGTGGCCTCCACGCTCTAGATTCCGAAAGGGACCAAAGGCAGGCGTCGTTACCACCATGTGCACACGGAGTGGCAAAGTTGGAGTCTTGCCTCGGACGATCCGTGTCTGCTGGCGTAGTATAGTGCACCATCTTGCACACGACACGATGCAGAAAACCCAGCCAACAACCAACCCATCGAAGGCCGTGATGGGCTGGCGTGTTATGCAGGTGTGTGGCTATGTCTTGCGGACGCATGTAGCCAAACGGAGTTTCTCCTCTTACAGCCACGGTGATCAGCGCCACCGGTTGCACTTATTGGCCAGCCGCGAGCGCGCTTGAACCGCGAGTAACAACGGTCTTGAACGTTGGGAGCTCGAGTGGTCTGGCTACAGCGAGAAGGAAAAGGCAAACCGACCGTGGGCTCGTAGGAGGGCGGGATACTACTGGTTTCTAAGCAGGTACTCGCACTCGCCCTGGCGCGGCAGCGAGCCTAGTCAGCGAGCCAAGTCAGCAAGCAGAGCGAGCGAGCGGTCAGAACTCTTTTGCCGCCTTCGACAACGACAGGTCGTCGTCTGCTTTCGCTGCCTTGCCCGGGTGTCCTTGGGGGGGGGCGACTTTTGGGGCAAGCATTGAGCAGCCCCTGCGGTCTCCAAACCCCAAACAGTCTCACCCTGCACGAGACCAGGCCCAGGCCCACTTGCGTTGGTATGGTCGGGTTGCATCGATGGTACGCGCGGTGCAATCCTCGAGAGTCTATAGGGCAGGGGTTTGACTCCGAAAAGTCCCTCCCCCATCCCCCCCCCGTGGCTTTGGTCCCTTCGTACGGTTCACGGCCAGCCTACCAAATCACAGCGGCAACTCGACACTGTGCCTAGCAGGGCTGTATATGTTACATGCATATACACGCTCGCGCAAGCGAATAGGCCGAACAGGCTTTTCCCACTGGGCAAGCCCGCGTGGGCGATTCCACGGGCGCGGCCCCAGGCGGCGGGTGCGTGTCGGCTTCTCTGTCGTCAAAATAAGGGCCCGTCGCGGCCAGACTCGCGCGCCGTCCCAACCGTGGAGAAGAGAGATCTCAGCCAGGTCGAGGGAATGGCGACACGAGTCGACTAGACGGGCGGCAGCAAAGACTAAGCACGTATGTAACTACCCAAGCCTTTTCCCAAGGGCAGCTCTCCGGCTTGCCGTGAGGCTCAAACGGGGGGGAGGGCAAGCAGGATCCCAGGATTTGCTCACGTGTGTATTGTATGTACGTGCATACGATATACGGTCAAGTTATCAATAGGCCATCACCGTTTCCGCGTTCGCCTCCTCCTTGCCGGCTTGCCCCCGAACCTGGCGGACGCACCGAGTGCCTAGACGGCAGGAAATGGAAAAGGCGTTATGGGGTGCATGTATGTACCTACGTCGGCGAAGGCGCGAGAACGGCCAGCTAGAAGAGCGTGGAACAAGAAGAAAGTAGGAAGCCATCGACAGTTTTCCCAACCACGCCGAGCCACGGGCAGGTTGTCGGCGTGCATAAGAGGGCAGAACTCGCCTACCCACACCGGGGCCACACGGTGTCTAGGTGGGCTGCCTTTTATGTAGCCATCTCACGACAGTGGGTTCATTTTGTGCCAGACAGGTTTACTGATATGTGGGCACGCCGGGTTCTGGCGGCATGGGTGTGATGATGGGCGTGGGTTGTGCATAACGCAGCACTCGTCGGTGGCATAACCCGCCACCGCTAAGCTCCCTGCGGTGAGGTACCTGATGTACGTGTATGTATGTACGCATATATATGCATGCATGCATATATACGTAGTGTAGGTACCGACCTCCTATGTGGTAAGGTGGTGGAAGATCCCAAGGTGGGAAGTCATTCGCAAGCTAACGTCGGATCGCGAGATTGCAAGTGATTTATTTTTAATATTGGCCGGAGAGTCATTCGATGAGGTGACGCATGGTGCCTGGGCGCGCCAATACCGGTACGGCAACATGTGCATGCCTTTCCATCCGTAGCCGGTTCTCCTGACACGTCGAGGAGTTCACGATTTCACTAGTTAACGTGTACGAATACCAGCACGTACGAGTACCTAACTCATACGCTGGCAGGAGGCGGCCGCCGACTCAGATAGTAAGGTAGATTACCCGTCTCGGAGACTGGTGTATGAGATTGGAAGCCGCCCGTTCCCGTTATTGGGATCTGTTATTTGTTTTGGGACGAGGCCCGAGACCAATTTGCCGGCTCCTCGCTCCCCCTGGCCGCCGCCCCCCGTCCCCGTCCCCCTCCCCCCTTCTCTCTCCCTTCCCCTCTCCCCTTTCCCTTCACACCAGCCTCAGATCACCACAGCCGTCGGGGCGCAGCAACGTTCGCGTTTATATGTAGGTGGTATACTCTCGCTAGAAGGTGTATACCCTACGTCAGCTTGGTAAACCTGCTACGTAGTATGGCTATACGCGTCCATAAATAGCGGCCAGGGGATGATCTGCATTGTAGGTAGAATGAATGCACCTATGCGTATTCACAACACAAGTATAAGCCTGTACTAATACTGCCTACTTATACATACTGGGTTGACAATCATTTGCTGCCAGCGTTCCTAACCGCAAAACCTCTGTTCTTCGCCGCACCCCAAAGGCCAATCGTAAAGTAGCCTGGGCCCAGGCAGGCAAGCTGCTGGCGATCGCACGGCAGCAGATGTCTAATGACGGTCAACTGGTCCCGGACAGCGCTACCTGACGGGGAGGTAGGTATACTCAGTAGTATTCGTTGTTGTGTTTGGGTTGTTACAGAAACTGACAGGTGAGACCTAAACACGTAGAGAGATGTCCGCAAGCGGGCATTGTGCAGAGCAGAAGGAAGCGCAGGAAGGACAGCAACCCCCTGCCTACATCATCTTGAGGAGAGGTCTTATTTTCTCCTTACCAGCACTCATATGTATGAGTACATACAAGTGCATACATACATATATAGGTATATATGTGTATGAGCATGGATATGTGTGTGTGTGGTCTATGCGGATATGCCCAGGTACCCAGGTACCCATTTCCATCCAGGTACATAAGCTACTGGTAATCTGAGGGGGAGGAGATGAGATATCCGATTTAGCACTGTGACACTCAGTAAGAACAACGACCCCCCCATCCGACCCAGCCAGGTCCGTACTAATGCGTGGGGCTCTTTGAAAGGAAAAAGGAAAAGAAAGCCACCTACCTCTAGGCTGGTATAGGTACCTAAATACAAGGTGTGTATTGGGTATGTGTGTGTGTGTGTGTGTGTGTGTGTGTGTGTCTACCTAAGGTACCTAAGGTAAGTACCTAATGCACATACCTACAGGCATGGGTGGATGGATTGTGTGGTACGTGCATGCCTAAGCAACATAACACGGCCCTAGTACCCAAGTACCCGACTCAAACAGCAAGCAACTCTGTATTATTCGCCGGGCTCGCGCATCCCGGCTGCTACAATCTCCCAGCCGACCAATCAGGGAACCCTTTCTTGGAGGTGCCACCAAAAGCGGCCAGCACAAGCACAGGAAAAGGGGGGGTCGCACACGGACTTGCTGGTGCGCGGGCTTATTATATGCATACGTAGGTATTTGTGCAGCGCCTCGTTCGTGTCTGCCAGAGCACACTTCTTCCTCCGGACAGCGAGAGAGCAACGGAGAGAGAGAGAGAGAGAGAGAGAGAGAGAGAGAGAGAGAGAGAGAGAGAGAGAGAGAGAGAGACGATATACCTAAACAAATAAATATATGTTTAATGTTATATATAACCTTAAACACGGGCATGGGTCCGTTCCCCCGGATGCGTGTGCCGTCGTCTTCTGGTATGCGTTGCATACGACAACGGACGCAGAGGGGGGTTTTAGGTACCTGAGGTGGGGATGAAGGAGGATGCTCTCTCGTCGAAGCTTCTGCCACATACGAGTACCGCAACCGTGGCAGGGTAGCACAGTTCAAGTTCTGTACAGGCATACCTGATGTATAAAATCTGCATGCCGGCCTATGCAGAGGTACCTGGGTGTGCACGCATGGCTGGGTGCGGGCCTGGGCGGCTACGGTCTGTCTTCCTGACCCTCGACCAGTTGGAGTGCAGGGAGCAAGCCCCAGTCAGATAAAAACAACACACGCACCACCGTCCCACCCGCAGGGGTTCCCGGATGCCCTGGACCTGCTAGCGTCCCAAGCGTCTAAGCACTTGGAGCCCCAAAGCAGCGCGACCCACGTACCTGAATGTACCTCGCCTCCATACCTCCAGGCCCATCTCTCCGGTACATACCTCCGGGTACATACCTGCGGGTACATGTCTACCCTCGGCTGCGTTCGAATTGTGGTGGGACCAGCTGCTGCTGTCGCTGCTGTCGTCTAGCCCATCTCTCTGGCTCATTCCCATCCTCCCCCCCCCCTTCTTCTTCTTCCCCGGCCCAGCACGTCCAGGGTGGCCACACCCTCCTCCCTCTTTGTGTTGCCCTCTCTTTCTGCCCTTCTCTCGTTTCTTGCCCCATCCAACAAAATCCTTCGCTTTCTCCGATTTCATTCACTACCTGGTCCCGTCTCCTCTTCCCGCCTTCTTCCTACATTACCGCCCGATCCATCCAACTTGCCTTGTCCATCCATCATCTATCTATCCTGACCTACCCGGCCGGCCTACATACTTACACATCCCCCCCCCCCCTCCCTCCCTCCCTCCGTTCATCCATCCCATTATCTTACCGCTCGCCTTCAACTCTTACCCGCTCATCGAGATACAAGCAGTACATCCATTACCTTGCCTATATCGCTATCCCATTCTTAGCCCGAGCAAAGAAGCTGCTGTCGTCAACGAGCTCACATAACTGACCCTAAGCTTTGCTGGAAAAAAAAACACCGATTTTCATTGTTCGTCGCCGCGGTCTCAGCCCGGTATTTAATAGCGCAAAGCTCGGCAGTCCAATCTTTCCCACCCCCCAGCTCAGCCCAATCCAACGGAGCAACGACAGCAACGCAACGCACACTCCCGAACTGACATCACCGCGCGACACCGCCACCCAACGCTGTCTCTGCCGTCCAACCAGTTCCCTTCTCGTCTACCGGACCTGCGCAAGCGATATTCAGTAAAATCACCGCCCCCCTCCAGGAGAAGGAAGAAAAAGAAAAAAAAACACGAGGAGTCATAATGTCTGGTTATTACAACTACAGCCATCACCAACCAACAGCTACCGCCCCCTCGGTATCGCACAACCATCATGGCGGCCGAAGCCGAAGGGCCCCGCGGCTCTCCGTCTCCCAAAACTCGCAGAAGCAGTTTCGCGGTGTACGGAGCATGAAGGAGCTTAGTGAAACACCCTCCGTCTCCGCCTTCCGAACCCAATTCGAAGCGAGCCGATCTTTCGACCTCGAGGACGATGTGGAGTTCTGCCCAAAGCTGCTGACGGAGAACGATGTGAGTCCAACCTCGTCTGCCGGCGAGGTATCCGACCTCCTACCGCGTGGCCCGCGCCGTGCCGGTGTGGTTGCTGGATGTGTCCGATCCTCCTGGATATGCAGATACATGTTGGGAGAGAGACAAGAATCCTTTTGGCTAACCGTGGACGTGCGTACAGTTGGTTTCGATAAGCAGCGCTTCGTCGGATCGGTCCTCGCTATCTAGCAATTCTCCGAACGCCTCCCCGACGCAACATCCCCAACAAGTGGCTACCGCTTTTTCTCTTAATTCTACCTCTCCGGCCTTCATCCCCCCCGCTTTCCACAGCCACCAGTCGGTCCTGAAGCTGCACGCACCCGCCGCCACGCGGGCACGCAATGCCATCCCCATCATCAACCCCGCCAACGGCCTGACCATGTCCAGCCCGCCGCCGTCCGTGTCGCCCGCCCGCTTACAGCACCTCGGCAGGCGGTGGTAGGTGGCCAGTCGTTTCGCTTCCTCTTTTTGGATGATGGAATGACTCGCCATCTTCACCCGTCTCCGGTTGTCCTGAACATCTTTCCACACTCATTCTCCACCAAGCCACTCGCTACCACATCGTAATAGCTGTCCACCTTGGCGGGCGCCGGCACGGACATCGGGACATCAAATCAACCTATCGCATCTTCAGGTCGCCGCTGGGCTCGGCTAACGGGCTCATCGCCTACTCCACCCTCCTCCCTCCTGTATAAAAACATCCACACCTCTATTCGACATAACTAGTGTTCATCACCAAAAACTTCTCTTCGGAACTTTTTCGCGATGGGCGCGGTCGGCATTGAAGATAAATCGATACCTGTTTGTTTCCTGTTCGGTCTGCTAAGGGAAAGTATACCGCAATACCCAGTGTTCCCGACCTTCGGAAAAGGGGGGAAACCTCTACTGGGGTTTTGCGAATCGGCGTTCTCCATCCACGGCGGTTTCTGCATTTCGTAATTGCATAGGTGTTCACGACACAAATCGGAGTACATTCGGGTTCAAATCTGGGAGCGGTACGATAAAGAGTCATCACGGGTCATGACGTTTGAGCACAAAAAAGAATACCACTACATATAGAGCGAGTGTTTGGCGACGATTGGGGTGGCGGGAAAGGTGGTTGTCGGTCTCTCTGTTTTCTCCAGCAGCAAACAAGAACGGGGTGGTTTCTCCCGTCGGACGGGAAAGGGGGCGGTGGTGTTCTACTCGGTCCAGGTCTTACATGGGGATATCCGGTTGTTGTTTTTTTTTTTTCGCTCTGTTTGGCTCTTCTTTCAAGAGAAATCTCAACACTACGCAACGGTATTGGGTTGGCTGCCCTGGGGTGTCTTTGTTTGATTCCGGGCTCACGGCACGATATGGGAGTTAGTTGCGCGCGCTCGCGTGCGCTTGTGTGTGTGTGTGTGTATGTGTGTGCTCTGGAGCTGCAAATAAAGGGGCTCATGGTTCATGTTGATTTCATCCGCCGCGACATCTTTTTCTTTTTCCTCGTCCTCCCATTCTAACTTTGTATTACGGCAGAGAGGTTTGTGAGGTTCATTTCGCATCATTTCCCCCCGGGAAACAGGGCATTGGGCAACCGGTTTTCATACTGTCTCTCTCTCTGTGCCTCTGCTTCTCTAACCCTCCTGGCCTCGCAGCAAAAAGGGGCGCGGGAAAAGGGGTGGACCAAGGGCGAAGGGATGTAAAGGAAGTCGAGTTCGTGTGGGCATATATCACTGGGACTCTTGTCGGTCTCTTTCTATCTGTCGGGGTTAGGGGGGAGGCGGGGGTCTTGCGGAAACGAACGAAGTCTCTCTGCGTGTTATCCCGTGTCTTCTACATCGCTACCGTTTGTGCATGCTTGCGTGTATGTGTGCGTAGTTGTGCTTAGTGTGCGTATGCCACGTGTTGGTTCTGTGCGAACTCTATATCTACGAGTAAAATGGGGGGGTTGGATCTCACCAGCGCCCCCGTGTTTGAGAGGAATAGTTAACCCCGGCGCGAAGGCAAGGAAAGAAACGCATATCTAAACGTCTTGGGTGGGTGGTTATATTTTTATTCTCGATTTCGTCACCACTGCCATTGTAGTTGTTTCTTTCTACTCTCTCTGGGAAGGGTAGATTCTCCTCTACGCCCTACGGTATATTACAATGGCTGCGGTGACGGCGATCGGTGAGGACGGGGACGGTGAAGAAAAGACGAGGGAGCAGAGGGCGTTGGACGAGGGCGACATTGCTCTCGGTAGGTTCGGTCTCCTCCTCTCTTTGTCAGGTGAGAAGCTGACTTTCCCCGCCGCTGGAAACACGAAGTGTGTAGGGGTAGAGGGGGTTTAGTTAGATCATAGGTACCTAGGCAGGGATCTTGTGTTGGTACTGTGTGTGTGTGTGTGTGTGGTAGGTAGCGTATGCGCGTTCCGGATCCGGCGCGGGCGTCGGGATCCCTTGCGCGGAGCAAGGTCAGCAGGCAGGGAAGCGATCTATCGATCTATATATCTTTGTCCTCCGTGGCGAGGTGGGGGAGATAGGCGGGTGAAGGTGAGACGGGGTTGCTGCGGCGAGAAGACGAGAGGGAGATGAGGGAGGGTGTGGAGGTGAGGGGTTTGGTAGGTGGGTAGGTAGCAAAGGGGGGGGGTGGCGGAAGCAAGGAGAGAGAGAGAGAGAGAGACAAAGGAGGACCGGAGATGGTGGGACGGCGAACAGGTGGTAGGTAGGTAATACGGTATAGAGTCGGAGTATTGCACAGATAACTTCATTGTGTACTATGATCTCTTGGGTACAGGTACTTGTTGTAGTATGATTCCATGCCCATGCCTATACATCTACCTATAACCAATTACCTATGTAGACGTAGCCTTGGGTTGTTGCTATTATCGAATTGAATGTGTGTTACAAGTTAGGTAGCTCCGTCTAACCGACCCGACGGTGATACCTACGCGTATAGATTCGTAGTTTATGCCTCGGACGCAGGTAGCTAGGGAAGGGGACATTGTTTTTATCCCTGCAGATATCCGGGCGAAATCCCAGGTGAAATGCCTGTCTCATAAAACAGGGCGGCTTACACCCGAGTTACCATGCTTAAACTGCTTGACCTCTCGAGTCGGTCTCGTACGCAACGCCGAACCCGCAGTGAAGTAAGTGCCTTCTGGATGAGCGAACGAATTCGCGGCCATTGCCAACGTCCAACGTCATTGGAATCGGCCACAGGGCCCCTTACCTTTCTACGGACATTTTTGAATGCCGCCATACAGATTTTCGGATACGGTCTCAAAATATACCTAGCGAAGCTTGCCTAGAGGGACCTCGAACCAGTTATGACAATTCGCTATCGTCTGTCCCACGTAGTGGTGCGCTAGCTGCGGAGGCACAAGTATCTACGCGGCGCTCTAGAGCTAACCGACATACCTACCTACCTGTCGACACCACGTCACGGACAAGCACCGCGCGCACGCCTCGACTTGCTGCGGCTGACTGGCGGCGCAACCGCCCCGTATAGGTCCCCTCTTGGCAACGTTGAGGTGCCTGAGGCACCCAGGGTCGGGAGTTGCAAAGGCTATGATGGCTGAAGCGGATTGCCCACTTAGGTACGGCGGACGGAGACGACCGCCCCGAGGTAAAAGCGACACGGGCGAGCAGGTTTGATCAGGTCGGTTGTTGCATTGACATTTTCATAATGTGTTGACGATAGCACCAGGGTGGAACTGGAACTGCGCAACTCCGAGGAAGGGCGCGAGAAGGGATCGGGAGGGTGACGTGACGAGGTAAGCCGATCGTGTCGCACGCGTGATGGTTAGATGTTGTTGGCCCCGCCCGGTGCCGGCGTACCCCGCCCCGGCCAATCGCCTCGCGCTCCCCCGGCCACAGCCAGCCCAGCTAGGAAATCGGAGCTGGCGCCGGAGTCGTCGTCAAGGCGCTGTAGGCAGGCAGGTTAGGTACTTGGCGGTACTCGCGCCTCCGCGCATCTCGGCGCATCGCTTCACGTATCTACACCCCTATCTTAGGTACCTGCCTCCTCGAGGTATCTCTACGTACCTGCTTAATCTCACGCACGTGTGTACATCTGTGCACTACCTAGGTAGGTACCTATGTGCCTCGAGGAGGCAGACAGCCTGTACTCACATACGGGATGTACCTGCCTCGGGTTCCAAATGCGCCTCCGACGACGATTACTCGCGGGTGACGTCACGTCGCGGGCCGGCGAAGGGCAGCCACGACGAGACGATTGCCTCAAAGCTCTGCTGGACCTTCCGGAACAACTGACCTGGTCCTGCCAATGACTCGCCGCTTCTCTCAATTGCCTGATCATTCGCCAGATCTCTCGAGACCTCTCTCGATCCTCGATCCCTTTCCCATCCCATCTACACTTACTCTTCCTAATCGCTCGGTACCACAACGCCTCATCCTTTGCCTACGACTCGCAAACCCGACGACCTACCGCTAAGCTCGCAACCAAGACAGAAAATCAGACAAAAGAGAGGGAGAAAGAAAGAGACGTATCGTCCGCAATATCATCACACACGCCGCCACACCTTCACCATGACGTCCCGAATGTTGCTCCGACCCGCCGTTCTCGCCGCCACTAGACAGGCCTTCCTACAGCGGGCATTCACCGTCAGCGCCGCCCGCTTCGTCTTCAAGGAGAGCACCTGTTCGTATTGAGTGTTTCCTGCCTCCTCTCTCCCCCCCCCTCCTCCCTTCTCTCTCCCCTTCCCTCTTCCCTCGGCCCAAGGAAAGGAAAGTATGAGGGATAGAAGAGGAAGAGAAGAGGAAAAATGGCGACACAAGCTGGCAACTTATGCTGACATCTCCTCTCGCCCCTCCCGACCGCAGACGCTACCGAGTCGCACGACCCGGAGAGGCACAAGCAGGACCTGCTAGCGAAGCAGAAGGCCGGAACGGCCCACTGGAAGCCCGAGCTGGCTACCGATAGCGAAGAGGCCGTCAAGGCCGACCGACACGGCGGCGAGGGTAAGGAGGACATACACACCCTGCAGGAGCGCACCAAGTCCGCCGCCGAGGAGACGAGCAGAGCCGGCACCAGCATGCGCGATGGCTTGTAGGTCTCACGTCACTACTCCTATACAGGCATGCGCAGACGAGAGGGGCTGCGTATGTGCTACAGGGCACGGTGATTGTAAGGGAGAAGAGGAAGGTGGTCGAGGTGTGAGCTAAGAGTGGGGTATGTTGAGCAAGTCCAAACAAGAAGCAAAGATGAGGAAAAGAGAAGGAAAAGAAGTACGAAAAATCGGGGCTAACTCTCTCGCTGCTGATCATAGACTCGACTTGATGGACAGGGACGATACGGTACAGAAGTGAGGAAAGGGTGATGCGTGTAACATAGGGTGGAATTGGTCTTCAGGGGCTACGACACGGTGCGGTATGGTATATGATATTGCTTCAAGCTCTGTCTCTTAATATTATATGGAGGGGCAAGGGGAGGGAGACTTGACGACGGCCAAGAATGGGTCATTTTTGAGGTCACCAGGGCTCTCTACTGGAAAGATTGCGAGGGTGGAATTCGCTACCTGCCAGGGCAGGCATTCTGATTTCTAAATCTGCTAACATGACGACACACACACACGCGCGCACACATACATGACACATACGAAGCGAAGCAATTCTCCTCGAAATATATGTGAATAGGCGTACACGTAAGGCACCGCCTCAAGGCGTTCCGCCCAGTCGCCCAGTCGAGGGCGCGATTTGATAAAATCTGTCTATGCCCACGGATAGGCAGGCATGCCGGTGATAGTTCGATAGATAGGTATAGCACGTGTAATATCCTCCGCCGCCCACCATCCGTTGCACAAGGAGGAGGAGGAGGAGGGGTTCGATGTGTCCGAGAATTTCGAGGTTCACTGCCCCCTCCCAGCCGGTTCCCAAACGAACCGAAAAAAAAGGGGGGGAAGCCCATTAAGAACCAAGACGCCGTTCGTACGCCCACCCCGAATGCAAAATTGACGAAATGGAAAAAAAGAGGGGGTTGGGCGTGGGCTTAGAGAAACGGATGGACCGGACGAGCGTCGGGTCCGGTTGGTTGGATGGATCCGGAGTCCACAGTCCCATGGGCGCCCCTTGCCTCCCCTCCGCTCCCCTCTATGTATATCCGTCTCCAAGCGTGCCGTGCCGTGCCGTGCCGTACCCGTCGTCTATCCGTCGACTCTTCCCCGTGCTTCGTTCCCACCTTTTCCCCTGTCCTACGCACGCTTAGACCGGGGGTGCGCGCCGTCGGAACCTTTTCCCTCCCTTCTCCTTCTCCTCTCCTCTCCTCTCCTCCCCCTCCTTCTTGTTCTTGTATCGGCGTCTTTTCTCACTTGAGGACGGCGATGAGCAGGACGAGCACGACGATGAGGACGACGATGGCGATCATCTGGCGGCTCTCGCCGGCGGCGCGGGAGAGGCGGCCGACGCGGCGGCGCGCGCGGTCGAGGCGCGACAGGTGGCGGCCGGCGGCGCCGTCGACGTCGTCGAGCATGGCCACGTGCTCGTCGAGCTCGTCGCCGATGCGCAGGCTCAGCTCGCGCTGCCGCGCGATGCTCGCCCCCAGCGCGTCCAGCTGCGCGTCCTGCTCGTCCAGGATCCGCCGGTGGTACGCGTGGATCTGCACGTTGCTCCCCAGCGCCTCCGCCTCGTCCCGGTACCCCAGCGTCGCCGCCCCCCCGTCCCCGTCTCCGCCCTCGCCCCCGCCCCCGCTCGCCGGGTCGTCCCGGTACCGCGGGCCGAAGAGCTCGCGCTGCGCCGCTTCTAGGTCCAAGTCGGCGTCGGCGTCTGCGGAGGACGGGTTGTCGCTGAAGCGCACGGTCTTAGGCGCGCTGCTGCCGCCGCCGCGGGAGCTCCGGCGCGGCGCGTTGGCCGGGGTGGCGGACGCGGAGGGGGAGGAAGCTCGCGCGGCGGCGGCGGCCGGGGCCGGGGCCGTGGCGTGCTCGAAGTCCGGCTCGAGCGCCGGGTCGTTCGCATGCGTGAGCGTCGACGCGCTCGACGGCGACGAGAAGCCGTGGAATTGCGAGATCAGGTCGTCGTACTGCTTCTGAAGGGTGGGCAGGGCGTCGGAGATGGCGAGGACGCCACTAAGAGGGAGGTAGGGCAGGTTAGTCTAGTCAGCCGCGGTGGATGTCTGCAGAGGGGGGGATATCATAGGAATCTTTACTAAACCACCGCAGCCATATTCGTGCTTGCCCGTGGCAGGGTATAGGGTGGTTGTTATCAAGGGGGGTTACGGAGGTGATGCTGTCTGTGACTGGAGGATATATACCTATGTATATCTACACGGCGGGAACGGAAGATAGAAAAACAAAATAAAAAAGGCGAAAAGGAGGGAAGAACGTACTCTTCGTCGCCGGCGTCCTCGAGCCGCTTCTGCTCCTTGGCGAGGAGGGCGAGGCCGTCGCGGAACTGGTCGAGGGAGCGGGATATGTGGCCGTCGTTGGAGTCGCCGTCGAGGAGGTTGAGGCTGCGGGCGCGCTGGCGCTCGAGCAGCGAGAGCTTGACGTGGTCGGCGAGGAGGTACAGCTGGTTCGGGTTCGACATCGCGGCCGAGGGTTTTCCTGGTCCTGCGCCGGACGGGCTGGCCGGGTGTCGGTTACGGTCTCTCTCTCTCTCTCTCTCTCTGTGTGTGTGTGTATGTGTCGCGAATCCTGCCGGGGAGAAGGGGGGAAGGGGAGGGGGTTTGGCGGAGAGAGGAGGCAGAATAGATAGAGGAGGGAGCGCCGCCGACGGTACGGAAATGCTGCTGCGGTTGCGTGTTATGGCTGTTGTCGTTAGTGGTGGTGCTAGGTGAGCAGGGCGTGCGTATCTGGGGTCGGATGAATTCGGTGGGATTGAGGCGACGGTAGTGAAGGGGAAGCCAGGCAGTCGAGGCTCGGTTAGTAGGGTGAGGTTGTGCAATTGCATTCGGTAGGTTTCCGTTGCTCGCGTACAGGGTTGGACAGGTGCAGACAGCTGTGGAGCTTGGCCCGTCGGTGATAACAGCTTGTATCTCGTAACTTGGGGCTGGTAACAGATGATGGGTAACAGGTAGCGCGTAATCTTACATAAGGTAGGTGGGCACTGTAGTATTATGTAAAGATGCCCAGGACTACTCCCGCCGCCTTCCGACCTGCCCCTCCCCGGCCCGCCTCCACCCTCCAATGCCCACCCAATTCGTAAAAATCGGCAACACGTCGTCGACCTGCTCCAACCGCAACGTGAGCTTGTTCCCGTCGATTGAGGAAGCTGGCTTTCACCCGCCCATCGCCAAGATCATCGTCGTCAGCACTGGGGTTTTGCGGGAACAAAGCCCAGGTTTGACTAGGCTCGTGGCTCTGTTATCCCGACGCCCGAGGCTGGCCCTCCCCCCCCCCCCTCCCCTCCCTTCCTCCCGTTCCTCCGCTAAGAGTCTCGCGTTGAGCCCTCTGATTCAGCTAGCGACTGGCGACCCTGCACCAACGACTCTGGAGGCCATCTTTGCACGAGGCTCCTACTTACCGGCGCATTGCCCAGGCTCCCCCTAATGCTTGTCTGACTGGTCTGCGCGTGAAGGAACCAGGCCAGGCTTTTCCAACCCTACGGAATCCCCTCTAACTAGCGCCAACTCGTGGTCCCGCCCCTTCTCTCTCTCTCTCCTCGGCCGCGTTAGACCTGTCACGCCTCTCCAATGAGGATACCGTGGTATAATCAACAATAATGATGATGATGGCGGTGATGGTTGGCACTTGCTAGAGTCAACTGAGCGCGGCACAATGGCATGGCATGTCCTCACCAAGCCTGACCAGCCAGCCAGCCTTCTCGCAATACCGAACATACAGATCCTTCGCCATCCGCCGCTTGGCCGCTTTCTGTTTAGCCGCGGAGCCGCCCCCCTGGATGGGGGAGACTTGGCCCGAGCCTCCCAGAACGCTACGCTTCCTTTGGAGACACAACGGCACGAGATTGAGATTTCACGGCAAGTGAAGTAGTGTGGGGTCACTCAACTCAATAGTCACTCGATAGAGAGGCCATGCTGCGATATCACTCCAAGGGTCTCTTCCCCCGGGATCACCCCTCCCTTATCCAAGGCGCAAGGTAGGTACTAATATTACGCTCTTTGGCGGCATCTGCGTCCGTGTTAGTCCAGAAGTCCCGAATTCTCTACCTCTTCTGCCTTGTCATTTTCCTCCTCCCTTCTTCCCGTCACCTTAGACTTCTTGTGGTGAGTTGTTCTCTCTGCCTCCTCCGCTATACATCTCGACCACCTCTGGCCTGCCGGTTATAAGTCGGAGTCGACTCTCGAGTACCATTGTCTCACTCCCCCCCCCCCCATCTCGGATACCGACTTGTCATCCCCGAACTCCGCGTCCTACCGCAACATGGCTCTTCCCAACGGTGTCTACCGTGCCGACCAGGTCGGCTCTTTCTTGCGACCGAAGGCACTGCTCGAGGCGCGTCGCCAAGCGGCTGAGGGCAAGTTGACGTCCGAGCAGCTGAGGGAAGTCGAGGACAAGTACATCGCCGATGTCGTCGAGAAGCAGCTTGACGCCGGGCTGCGGTCCGTCACCGACGGCGAGTTTAGGCGCACGTGGTTTCACGTCGATTTCCTCCGTAACTTGGCCGGAGTTGAGCTTCGAGGCACCTTGAATTCGACCAACATTAGTATTGACGGTACTACGCCGCCGCGACTGGTCGTCGTCGACAAGATTGGCCACCCCAAGCCCATCCAGGTCGACGACTTCAAATACCTCGAGACCCGGATCGCAGCCGCCAGGGCCAAGGCCACCACCAAGGTCTGCATCCCATCCCCTACTATGGTGCACTTCCGTAATAGCCGCGAGACCATCGACGAGAAGGCCTACCCGACCCTGGAACCTTTCTTCGAGGATCTCGCGCGCGTGTACCAGGAGGAGCTCGACGACCTCTACAAGGCTGGCACGCGCTTCGTCCAACTCGATGATACCAACCTTGCATATCTCTGCGACCCCAAGATGCGCGCCGAGGCCGAGCAGCGTCACGGAGACGCCAATGTCCTCGCGCGCCAGTATGCGGCGCTCATCAACGCTGCTATCTCTAAGCGCCCGTCTGACTTGACTATCGGAATCCATCTGTGCCGCGGTAACCACCGCTCCCGGTGGTTCGCCGAGGGCGGATACGAGCCCGTGGCCGAGGTCCTGTTCAAGGAGCTCAACGTCGACGCCTACTTCCTCGAGTACGACGACGCGCGATCGGGTGACTTCTCGCCGCTGCGCCACCTGCCCGAGCACAAGGTCGTCGTCCTCGGCGTCATGACGAGCAAGACGCCCGCGCTCGAGGACAAGGCCGAGATCATCAAGCGCCTGAACGAGGCCGCCGCCTTCTGCCCCAAGGGCCTCAAGCAGCTCTGCCTCAGCCACCAGTGCGGCTTCAGCTCCACCTTCGAGGGCAACGACCTCACCGAGGACGAGCAGTGGGCCAAGGTCAAGCTCGAAGTCGAGATTGCCAAGGAGGTCTGGGGCGAGGACCTGTCAGTCTAAACCGAGCCTACCGGGCTCGGGATGCTTGGGAACGGAGGCAGAGGAGAACGATCGATTCATGGAGCACCGGAGTTGAGCAGCATATGTACAGCGTCTGGCCTGTTTTTCAATTTATTTCTCCCCCATTTTCAACCACATTTTTTGCGAGTAGGCGGGCGTAAAGTACGAATCGACGACGATGTACGGATGTATGTACGGTATGTACGGTAACGGTATGGTATGGCACGGCATGGCAAACGGTTATTGTGTACCTATTGTACGGCGGCTCCTTCAACAGCGGCAAAATGGGAAAGGTGGGAAATCATGAGAAGAAACGTGCGAATAGAGAAGATATATATATACACGTGGACGTGGCAGAGAAGGCGACGATGAGCTGGTACCTGGGCAAGCTGAGGAGACGGAGTTTAGCGACCAAGACCGCCGCCACCACCTCGTCTCCCTCTTCCTCTTCAAAGGGATGCCTACCGTGGGCGAGGTAGGGGTTAGGCAGGCGGCTGGGGAGCCACGCCGGGTATTAGAAAGTGAGCTTGCCCGGGAAGATGCTGCGAAGCTGTGTACGCCTCGCCTCGGTAGCCTGCACCGCATCGTGTGTGTGCGGATGTCTACGACCACGGCCCGCATTCAAGAACAGGTATAGCTAAGTTCTAGCATATCCTTCTCTTCTCAGTCTGTGGGCCTGTCGCGCCTGGGCCGCGTAGGAGGGTGCGCGGGCGCGGGGAGAGGGCAGGTAGGTGGGTAGGAGAGATGGCATGGACAGGTAGAGAGAGAGGGAGGGAGGCAGGGAGAGACGTAGATAGAAGTAGAGCCTGCCTGCCCTGACCCAAGGTAGCTTAACGAGGATCACGCACTCCGTCGCGCGCGTACGAGTGGCAGAAACAGCACCAGTGTTACGGAAAGGCTCACCTATCGGTCAATCACAGAAGGACAAGACGAGAAGACTGCACATGCACAGAGAGAGGTGCGGACGGAAAGAAAGAGAAAAGAGTCGCGTCAACGGCTATGAGGCCGCAGGAGGCCACCGCAGCAACGGCGGCAGTAGCAAAGGCTGCCGACGGAATTCCGGGAGGCGTTGTTCTCTTCTCTTCTCGTACAGATCCTTGATAGCTGTCCCAACTAACTCCCGCCGCATGATCCTGCGTATTTGTACAAGCGCAAACAAAGCATACCTCCCCTCCCTTGCTCTTCTGGACTAACTCCTCGCCGAACCGCCTGCTACGGGTTGCCCACGTGTTCTCAGTGTCAAAAGCGCCAGCCTGAGACTAGTCACCCGCATCCGCCGCGTCCCACCATGTTTGCGGCAAGACGCCCTTTTTATTATCCCTGGCCAGTTTTCCGTCCACCGCATCGCAGGTCATTGAAGGGATTATTTGGTGGGGGAAGAAATCGATCGAAAAGGGGGGATAGCCCCCCCTCCCTCCCCTTGACTGAAGCATCCGCAAGGAGGTCCTATAGCCGTAAGCGAGGGCTTCATCGTCTGCCCATGTATAGTCGAGGAAAAGAAACCGAATTGTCCGTAGCGTAACCCGATCCAGCTACCGGGTAACCAGCTATCTTATAATTCAGGGGTAGCCGGCTAGGAAGGAAAGGAAAAAAAAAAATCATATCGATGAATCGTATCAGCAGTGTCGAATTCCAGAAGGGATGACAGCGGGGTATAGAAGACTGTTGTACAAGGGACTCGACCGGATTATACAATCCGAGTCCTGCTGAAAGTAGCCTCAAACCGGTGTCATACAGATGTACGCCAGAGAACAAGATGGAAATGACGGGCGGAAACCGTGCGGGTTCCGCTCCTAAGCACCAGGCGGTTGCGGGGTCTCGCTCTGAGCCTGGCCGCCCTGCTGCTGAGCAAGGGCCTGGTACCATAACGTCAGGTATTGTTGATATCCTCCATCTATGCTCGGGTTAGATCTTTACTCGGGGCCGGTAAGGGCTCAGATGCCTGCACGAAGTTGGGTTCCACTCACACATGGCGTACGGGTCGCTGGCGCCAGCAGGAGCTGCGGGCTGTTGGGCATCAGTAGAACTTGGTTGGTGGCTAGGATTCTGGGGTGTGTAGTTGGGGTTGTCCCAATCGCGACGGTGTTGGTTGCGGCCGCCTCCGCGGCCAGGATTACCGCCGTTCTTCTGGCGCTATTGATAAAGTGTAAGTCCATATTCTCGGGCCGACGGCGCTAGGGATGGCAGGATGGTACTCACCACGGCGTCGACCTTGTCCTCAATCGCTCGCTTGGCTCGAGCAATGGCATCTCGGGAACCGACCAAACCGATCTCACGTTCAACCTCATCAGGTCCTGATGATTGGGAGACGTTGATCTTGCAGCCGGTGCTATTCTGCATCTCGCGAATCGTCTCGCCGCCTTTCCCGATAATCATGCCGACAGCTTCCGAAGGCACGTAGATGGAATCGTTAACCTTGTCACCGCCGGCTTGGCCGTTGTCGCGGCCGTGGTCGTTCTTCGGAGCGCGTCCCTTGCCGGTATCAGCGCTAGTCTGGTTGACATTCCGACTGTCGCTGTCAACAATTTCAAGAATCAACTCCTTGGCTTGGGCGGCCGCACTGTGCGGGCCAATGAGATTCACGGGGCGCAGGCCATTCACGCTCTTAGATTCGCCGACAATATTGATATGGCACCCGCTGCGCTCTTGTAGGTCTCGAATGGTCTCACCTCCACGGCCAATAATGAGGCCGACGGTCCGGTCGGGGACCATTATCTGCATGCAGTCCTCACCCTCACGCAATGCAGATTGGCCCGACGCCGCGGCGGCAGCAGCAGCAGCAGCAGCAGCAGCAGAATCGCCGCGGCGGCCGTGCTGGGGCTTGTCGAGGCCGGCCCTCGCGAGGGCGCCCATGCCACTATCCTCGATGATTCTATTGATGGCAGCCTTGGCTTCCGCACGTTTAGCACGAGGACCGGAAATCTTGCACTGGCGGCGCGGCCCAGGCTCGCCCGAGACGGACATGAACTGTACCCTGCAAGTGGTCTCGGACTCGACCCGTCTTAGATTTTCGCCTTGCCTCCCAATGATCAGGCCGACTAAGCTGGACTCAATCTCGATGATTTCAGAATCGTCATCATCGCTGCCGCGATCGCGGCCATTGGCGCCGCGAGGCGAGAAGAGAGCGCCCGACGGGCGGCCACGGTTGACACCGGGGGACATAGAACGATCGCGACCAAAGTCACGAGCATGGGTACCACGATCATCACGACGTTCATCTCGGTACGGATTGAAGTTGTCACGATACGCATCACGCCGCGCAGCTGGTGAGCGAGACCTTGATCTATAACGTCTAACATCGGCACGAGCATCATGCGGCTGAAAGGCACCCGAGGGCGGTCGATCATAAGGCGAGAGGCCCTTCTCAGTGGCATAGGCCTTGGCTTGGGCAATAGCATCCCCAAGGTTGACAGTACCGGAATTGACTGGTCTAATGGCACTCAAATCAAAGCTGGCGGGAGGACCTGGTTGCGCCAGAGGATAACCTCCTGTCGTGTACGGGGAGGGCTGGGAAGCCGGTGGTAGATTGGCGTACGCGCCGGGAGCCGGGCCTGACTGGTATCCGGGAATCGCATGAGGCACCTGGCCTTGGGATGGCGTCGAGGCACCGTTCTGGGCAGCTGTGTAGGCAGGAAGGCCGAGTCAGACACGGACTCGAAACAATGCAGGAGGACACGACTCCGGGGGAGAGGGATAAAGGGGAAGGAGGAGGAGAGCAGAGTAAGGGAGGGGTCGGCACATACCTGCCAGGGCCGCGAGGATGGCCTGGACATTGGGCTGATTTTCTGCCATTGCACCAACAATGGTCTCCCGGGCTGCAAGTCTAGATGTATGCCGGGCACGGAGCACTTGGTAACACGATGAAAGGGCTGAAAGGGCTGGAAGGTCGGGGCAGGAAGTAGGATAGCGTCGACAGAGCTCCCAGCGGTTTCTTCTTCTTCTTCAGCAGAAGTAGTAGGTGGACGATACGTATGTATGGTAGGAATGTAAGGTAGAGTAGCAGAGCAGACAAGTCGCAGAGCATGCAAATGCACGTATTGTACCGGACAAGGTCAAGAGTATGTCAGTCAGCTCAAAGAATTCGCGCAAGGGACGGCCAGAATGGGACGATATCAAGTCGAAGTTGAGTGAATTAGACTAGACTGATGGGAGTGCGTGAGGGTCAATGTTGTAGAGAAGATGCATGTGCACATCAAACCGGTCGCATCACTCATCAACGGTGGTGCCTCGGCCAATCCAAGTCGTTGCGCTCTCTCTCTTTCTCTCTCTGTCTCTTGCTTTCTTCTCTCTCTCTCTCTCTCTCCAGCTCTGTAGAGGAAGATGGGAGAGGTCGGGTGCGAAGGGTCGATCGGTCTAGGGAAAGGGAGGGAAATAACAGGATGCCAATCCTTGGGCTCTGCTGTTCGTTATTCGCCAGCTGCTCTACCGGGGAGGAGGCGAATGCGGGAGGCTGTTCTGAGCCAGATCTATTTCTCACAGAATCGCTGAGCGGGAAGACAGCAGGCGTCTCTCACAGTCTGGCGTGTGCGTCTTAGGTTATCGAGGTCGGCGAGGTGGAAGACGAAGTCTGGGGAAGGAGGAGGAGAAGAAGGATTCGGAAGAGGAGATGGAGGAGGAATTAAGTAGGTATGGAGGAGAAGGAGGAAAGGCAAGAGTGCTGTCGTAAGAAATGGGCCTAGCGAGAAGAGAGAGAGATTTGAGACAGGATGCAGCCAGGTGGTGGAGGGAGGAAGAAGGGAAGACTGGGAGACGAGAAGAAGGTGGAATTTAAAAGGCAAGAAAAGTTAACTGATGGTTTAGTGAAGAAAGCAATGCCTCGGAGGTACCTGCACGTAGGTACCTAGGCAGGCTGGGTACCTAATATAGATGCTGAATACAGGTTCCTCCTACTGGCACTTCTATTAAAACTTTACTCCGATACCTACATACCTTATCCCTAACAGGTATCTGCCTACCAGCTAAGGTTAGCGGCATCCTACCTCTGGGCGGGTTGTAGTGAGACAATACCTAGCATCAAGGTACCTATATGATGTACCTACCTCCTATGAGGTATACATACAATTAGAGGTACCTGCCTATAACAATATGTACATACAATACATCCTGGCCTCAGCTAAGGACCTCAGGTACCTACACCAAGAGACGGGCTGGTTGGTGTGCTCGAAGCAGTGCATCATCCCAACCTATGACTCTTGCTTCAGTTCCCATTTCCCATTCCTGGCACCACCCAACTGCTTTCAGCTGACCTTATTTTTTTTTTCTCTCAAAGGCGTAAAGACTTAGGTACCTACCTACCTAGGTAGGCACCCAAGGTTTGCCCCCTATCCACGAAGCTGTACATATGTGTCTACCCTTAGGTTAGGTACCTCTGTGGAGGGTAGGGAGGCGTGACAAACTTCCAAGTATATGTGTGTGTGTCAACTGGCATGGATTAAGTGGTGTGTAGGGGTATTGCTATATCTATATGAGCACACACACACACACACACATATATATACGATATGGATGTCCGTCTACCTAGATGAGGAGTGGATGGGTGGGTTTCTTGTTTTTTTCCCGTCCCTCTCTTGTGGCATCTGTAACCAGATGATCAAGGAGGTACCTACCTATGAAAAAGGAAAGAAAAAATAGAAGTTGTCTGCACGCCTCCTGCAAATAGACGGAGGTTACTTGTGCAGGCGCATGGAACCCTGCCTTGGGTGCCCAGACAGGTACCTTGCCTGTCTGTATACCTACCTACCTCTATGTAAGGAGGCATGTGCCTACATTAGGTACCTTAGGTACCTACATAAGGCACGTACCTAATGTATATCTATATGTCCGCTTCCGCTTCCGGCCGCAGCGCAGGTTATGATGGGAATTCCAGTATGCGGTATGCTGTTGGGAATAGCCTCCCAGATTTCAATTCGGAGAGAGACTCGCTATACAGATATACATATAAGTACCTAAGATATAAATACGCACATAGTTACATATATATATTAGTATAAATAGGTGCGTATGTATAGTAATCCATACCACATAAGCATCAGGTAAGCTGCCTATGTACCTCTCAGTAGGTACCTACCTACCTCCTACCTAAGGTACGGTAGGTAAATCCTATATAGGTGCGTACGGTGGCTGATCTAGCCAGTATAATATTAAACCACATAGGTGCCTCTACCTCTCATAGGTGCCTCTTAGATTGCATGCCTAAACATATGCATAACCACAAGCCACCCGAGCCGCCACATGCACCTATATAGGTACCTACCCAAGAGAGTCAGCTTCTTCTCCTTGCTGACACACCTACAGAACCTACACAGAGCAGGCGTCGATGCCTCTATTCCCACCAAAATACAGCAACAAGAAGAAGATGCGCCCTAGTATGTGTTCACCTACAGGTTCTGTATGCTACACCTAGAGATAGTTGTCTAACCGAGATAACCCTCGACACCCTACTTTACCTACTTGATTACCTACGCCTTTCCACCCTCAACCTTCCCGCCCCCTGGCGTTACCTTCTACCACCCTCCATCGCGCGACGTCGACGCCATCACGACGCGCATATCCTAACCAGCGTGCCTCCTGATGCTACCCTGTTAAGCACTCTCCTCTTGTTTTTTCCCTGTCGCTCAGTCAGTCTCTATCACCCTCTGTTCGTCAGCCCACCACCACGCACCCATCGAGAGTGGTACCGGTTTGCCGATCCTATATCTCCTTGCCACTCAAACTCGACCTCGCCACTAATTGCAGTCAGCCACTACTACGCCTCCACCCGTTTCCCATCCCATCCCGAAGGTATAGGTGGCCTAAGCCCTACCTACCTTACGGTTCGATCGAGTGTCGCCGCCCTTCTTCATCCTCTTCTCCCTCTTCTCCCCCCTCCTTGCTCGCCAGAGCTGCCGCTTCGCCCCATTGGTGCTGACCCCCCGGAACCGGCGTCCCCCACTGTGACTATCTGCCTTCGACGCGAACCCCAGGTAGGTGTAAACGCTACGAATTTCTATTCCTGATCGGTGATTCTGAGGCCTCGTGGAATCTAGAGCTTGCCAGAGACCAGCTGGGCCTTCTTTGGCGTAGGTAGATGTAGTGGGGGGGCGGTGGTTCTAGGTCTCGCAGGCCCTCGATAGCGTTCGCCACAGGTGTGAGGCTTTTACATGCGTACAACGACATCAGCCCAAGTAAGATAAGAGGCAGGTAGCTAGGCTGGCCGCGCCCGAGCTGTCTAGAGCGACCTAAGGTACAACTACCAGCACACTACCTGGCGGCATAGCTTTTGCATCCAAGCCATTCCCGAGAAGAGACTTAGACGTAAATACTTACGAGCTCGCCCCGTACATGGCCCCTGGGCTTCCTGTACGATTAGAGAATATTCCATTCTTTAGTGCCTATTTCTAGCGTGCCCATTAATTAGCCATCCTGTTGCAAACGGGGCCGTAGTGCCCCTTCCACCACTAGCTACATTAGGTGCCTCTCGTCTGTTCGATCCTCAGCACTTGGTGTAGCAGAGTTAAACTGGAGCTTCACTGACAAGATATTGAAAATTTGATGGCAGCATGAACTTCTCCCCCTTTTGTCTCACCTTACTTCCTTGGCTCTCCTGTCATACGAATTTGGTAAGTGTTCATATAGACATGATGACTTCTAAAAGCCGCGCCTCTCAGACCAGACACGCCTCCACTTACAATAATACGCCTACAACCACCCAAAGTAGAACCCGTCCCCAGGTGAGATGCCTACCTGATGTATTATTTCCTCAATAGACGCCACAGTTAACGAAGAGCCATGTGCACTAATATGACCACCACTAGCTGGATGGACACATGTACGATTTTAACGGGTGCTGTAACTTTGAACAGAGGCACATGTACCTAAGCACCCATATGGTACTTACTCTAAGTCCGCTCCTTAAGGCAGTTTCTACCCACAAGGAAACGAGGCATGGCCGGGGATAGTAGAAGTGAGTCTCTTCTTAACTCGGAAACAGTAAGCGATCGATCATCTGCAAATTCTAACCATAGTTCCTCATCATCAGCCGGCGTTTGCAAGTCCCCTATAGCTTAGAAGTCTCTCGTAATATATAATACGACTAGCTAAACTGATGCCTGCTGCCTATCATGAGACATCAACAGACTTATGATTTAAACGTATTAGAACCTTGGGAAGAAAAGAGATGCAGTAGCATGAACTATCCAGTCAGATACTCTAGAAGTTCTTATTTCACATAAAGACTAGTTATAAAGTTCCTCGATATAAATTCAGAGGGACACAAACATATTATAGGGGGCGCCTCGCCCTGCTTTAAGATCGCATTCTCCCGAAAACTACAACTTCCTAATACCTAGCAAAGGCCAGCGGGAATCCAAGCCATATCCCAAGTCGTATCCATCATCTCTCTCCTATTCCCCCCTTCGAAACATGCAAGGTCCCGGCAACCTGTGAGTCAACCAGACTATCCCGACAGCTACCACGGCCCGTAACATGGCTAGCCAGGATGCTAAGGCACCGTCAGCCTAGTAGAACTGCGAGGAAGCTCGGATCGCTATCGCAGGCACCGTCTACAGGTCAGGGACGCACCATTCTAAGGGGGTTCACGGCCTAGCCGTGGTCGTGCTTCCTTTTGACCTCTCTGACAGGTCCTCCTTCAGCAACACCGAGGACGGGGAGCGCCACGCCCTAGGTGATATGTGCGCACGTCATGACCTCAGCGGCCAATCCGCTGTATACTTATGTATGCGTGAAGAACAACGGGCCTAGTATGCCTTGGATAGCACACACACTTCGCTTTGACCGTTTAAGACCGCAGAGGTGACGGGATTCTGGCCTTCTCTCCGTTTCTCGAGAACTCACATCTACTGCTCGGCACTACATAACGCTGTGAACATGCCATCACAGACTCTCTCCACCGCCCCCATTCCTATTCGTTGCCGTGTTTCCGGTTTCTCGTACGTCCACGTTGGGCCTCTCCTATTCTAGGCGATAATAGTGTTCCTCACTAGTAAGGTTCTAGATCGTCGTTGATGTCTGACAGAAATGAGAGGCACAACATGTCGACTGGAGTTGGCCGCGTCCGGAAACGTAAGCATTTACGTTTTCACGCAACACAATTTACCAACCAGGGAGTCGGCGAAGCTGAGGAAAGGAGATGGGACGAGGGTCGGTGCTCTGGGGACCGACGAGAACGCGAGAGGCAACCGATAAAGCCGCCGAACTATCCACATTTCTGCCCTACCGTGGACTTATGGCCTCAGGTTGCGACTCTCGTAGCTTGAGCAGGCCCGGCGTCTAACACGGCAGTGCTTGCGGGTGTAGGCATGCATAGAGTGGGCATGGCACAGGTTCGGGGGCGCGCCCGATTGTGCTGCCTATTCGGGATATGTGTAGATGAGGGCCGTTTCCAGGTCTAACCTATCTCCTGCTATATACGGCTCCTTACGATACGAGCAAAGGGAGCGTGACCTCCCCACACATGCCCGGAGTGTAGGATAGAGCCATGGCGTGTGAGGCCCGCGGCGAGGAGGCCGAGGAGGGTCGCTCTGGGCATATCACTGCGCCTGATCTCCGATGGGATATCTGTCTATTGGAAGGGGATCGCTGATTGGTGAGACAGCAAGTCTTCAACTTACCAACCGCCCTACATACGCAAACGGCCTCGGTGGATTTGGACTTCTTGGCTAGGGTGCCCATCGCAGCTCTCGCCCACGACTCTGCTTCGTCTCGTGTCTAGGATGGAGTTCGGGGACGCTGGGTAACGGATTCTAAAAGAGGCGCCAGTTTGGATGAGGCAGGTGGGATGTCGGCGTTGTCGCCACCATACCTACGCCTACTACATGCCGTGTATTCTCGCAGTCCTGGTTATCGCAGCAGGGGCACACTGCAGAGTACAGCGCCGCCCCAATATGGGATGCAATACCGTCACCCGACATATCGAGAAAACACATGTACCTACGGCTTTGCCCCTCGCCTCCTCCCGCCCGGACGGCACCGAGAAGACCAGCAGTTGCGAATAAAGGGTACGATAGACCCCGGGAGGCCCAGATCCGGGCAATTGAAAAAAATATTCATCTGGTTGGATGAGGAGCGACGCCGCCGACGCAATTGCGCGCGAGGGATGCACGCCGTATCTCCTGGAGGGTCGACTCCTGGGGCAAGGTGACGCCAGCCCGCTAGGGATGCGGGGGCTAGAAGGGGACGCGGGAGGAGTGCGTGACCTGAGCGTGACGGCGAGGTATTGCCATTTCGCCACAACGAAGGTATCTGGGCGCTTCGCGATTCGATTCTACACCTAGTGACCTAGGTAGGCATGTGCGTCACGGGCGATTCCGCCGTGCCGGGAGAACGGGAGAGACTGCTCGGGCTGCCGGTGCGATACGCGCACATCGACCCAGGTACATCCGTGAGCTGGTCGTTCCATGTCCTTGACAAACAATTGCAGAGGCGACTCTTGCTCCTCGGGGAGCTGTATATACCCTAACGAAGCGCTGTTAGCCGGGTCGTCGGCTTACACGCCTAGGCTGTGAGAGGCTCGTGGCCGATCGTGTCTCGGCTGTCGTGGCGCGTACGTGAGGGCTCCCGAGACCGAGGGACTTGTTGCCTTTACCGGGTATGCGACAATGTGGGTAAGAGAGAAGCGAGAACGCGAAAGAAAGAAAAAAAGAACCGACCACGGGGTCAGTCAGACAAAGCGGTCGCGATGTTTGAAGGGGGGTTTAGGCGCCGAAGGCTCCACTGGCTGGCGGCACTCGGCGCTTAGGACGATCGATCCGAGGCGGGATAATTCTCAGACACGCTCCGCGGAAACGACCAAACTGGCGACACGGAAACAATATTACAAAGTGTATGAACAATACGAGTAAAGGCGACGGCGAGGAGACCCTGCGATGGAACGCGGCGAATTGCAGGGTGCAATTCGCGGGCGTGTAAGTGGTCGACGTCGCCGGGCTTCGATTGGATGCCAGGCGCTGATGCAAAAATGCAGGTACGTCATGCTCCTACAGGGGGTCCTTTTTCCGCCGCCCTCTCTGGGGTCTCCATTGTAGGAGGTATATGCGCTGATAGTCTACTTGTATAGGTATGTGCCTACATAAATTACCACCTACCTTAGGTAGACCTAGAGGCGCCACCTGAGGTAGGGCTTGGTACCTATTACCTTCAATGTATACCCGTAATGTATAATGTACTGTGTTAGGCAGGTACCTACCTTAGGTACCTAGGTACCTCTAGTCCGTCCACGTCCCCCCTCCGTTGTCCGGGTGGTGAAGGTCTCCTTCTCTGCCGCGTGAATTTTCACTTCTCCATCCTCTCCTCCATCCCATTTCCGCCCTCGCGCCTATTTGCATTCCGGGACAGCAGAACCCGGGCTATTCATGGCCACCACGCGCGTATCGTAACCGACACCAAGATCGTCTACCTAAGATAGCTCATACCCGATGCCCTAAGCTCTTTACCTTAGTTTGCCTTGGGTACCGAGTCGAACCCGGTGTTGATCGCCATGCAGCCCTCTTGCTGGTAATTTGGCCCTACCTGTTCTGCGAATTTGTCCTGCGAGAATGAAGCCAAGCCGGGCCAGTATCGCCGTCGAGTTCTCGCCAGCCTCATGTCGCCAAGTGCCGGCAGCAACGCCTTTCGCCTCCACCCCCAGCCCACACGCCTTACGTGCCTTATTACAGAGTCACCCTTGTTTGTATATGCAACCCTAAGGCGCATGGGGTGTTCTGGCGCGCGGGTTGCAACCTGATCTAAATTGCCATGGCCAGCCGTCGAGGCCTCTTCTCATACCTGTATCGTACGTGTCGCCAGCAGGTGAGCCGCACACACGAGTGCCGCGAATCCTGCCGTGGGTGTCGCTGCTACCTGCTACACACATGTACAGCTCTCAGCTGAGTCTCTGATGCAAGTCACGAATTTCCCTCTCCCTCTCTCTGCCAACCCCATGTATGTATAACAGGCTCACACGGTGTGAGTCTTGTTCTAACCCGTCTATTCTCTCATCTTTGGCAGGGTAAGTATGTACTCACACGTTGCGAACCGTGCGAACGCACCGTGGGCTTATACACAGCAAACCCGCCAACCACTGCAAACACTACCTACCTATATCGTGGGCAATGTAAACCGCCATACCTCTCAATGGGCCGACCGGCCAGCATAGCCATCCACGTCATATAACTTCTGTCTAGCATCGAGGACAGAGCCCCTGTCATGCCAGGTAGACAAGGTACCAGGTGTTGACGAGGTTGTGCAGTAGAACAGGATCTACTGGCTCTCAGTCACCGCCAGCGCTTAAGCTGTCTTGTCTAGTCTCCGCGCGTAACCTCCACGAAGAGCCCCAGAACACAAAGAAGCCTCTCCTCACATGTTCAAGCCGAAACAAAGACATTCATTACTTCTATTCTGAAACCTAGATGGCCCTTGTTATTCAGGGTCCTTCTATGTGCCTCGCATCTATGTATTGTTGCCATGGCATGTGCATTGAGGCATGTTGCTCTTTTAAAAACAACTGGACTCTCCTTTGTCTACCAGTCGTTTCCTGGTCATTGTTCATATCCGTCTTTCACTACTTACTCACATACATACACACAACTTCGCGACTTTTTTTTTTTCCTTGTTACCTTCCGCGTCAATAATAGAGTCATGAAAAACTGATCATTGATTGAATCAGTAGACTTGTCCCCCTCTTGCCATTCTTCTCTTTATTAGGACTCTTCTACTTTTCCCCCTATCCTACTCTCTCTTCGGTGCACATTTCTTTTATGATACCCATCTCCTCATATACCTAGAGGAAAGCCCCCCATACAGCATACCTCGCAACTCCTAGTCGAGAAACATATTTTCAACAAAATTCATTAACGAGTTTCATTCCTCCCACTCTCTGTCGTCCTGCATAACACACAGCAAGAAGCAGAGCAGCCAGACCCCATCCATGGCCATCTTTCGAGAAAAGGAGGGCTTCCCCCAAGTGCCTTCTTCACTCCATCACGATGCGTACACGACTGATGATGCCAGCCGTATGAACGTCCGCCAACTGCTATCTCAGAGCTCGGCCAAAGGTGTGACCCCTTACCTTGGACTTGGCTCCCGCCTCTCGCAGATCTGGTTCAACCGCTGGACTGTCCTCCTGCTTCTGGTCTTGGTCAACTTCCTCCTTACTCTGGGAAGCCTCAACACCAACCTGGGCGACGCCAAGGCAAAGGCCCTATCAGCATGCACGAAAGTCGAAGATATCGGTAGTGCTATGGCCTCCATGCCTCACTACTTGTCTGTTGGAGTCAACCGCCTCACTGCCTCGGGAATAACCGAGGCCGTCCACGCCCTGATGAAGGTCCTTGACATGATACTTACCGGCGTTGAACAGCTGATCCTCTTTGTCATCGGCATGATGACAGACACCTACGTCTGTCTGATTGCCATGGTCGTCCACGGAGGACTGAACGCCTCCGCCCTTGCCATAACCAAGACCACAGATGCGATGAACGAAGCTATTGACGGAATTGCTCAGGCAATCAACGGCACAGCGGACGACCTTCAGAAGCCCGTGGATGCCATGTACGACATCGTGAACGGCGCTCTAGAGGCAGGCAACCAAGCCACTAGCGTCGTTGGTGGAGCTATTGCGACAGCTACGGAGAAAGCTGGAGGCGCGATCCAGACTGCTATTGACGGAATCACTGATCTCTTCGGCCGAGCTGAACTTCCCCAAGTCCCAGAGGCCGCTGCCGAGCTCGTCCGTCGGATTGACATCCCGCCCAAGCCCGAGGTCGCAGGCAAGGTCAAGGCCATAGCCGCGAAGCTAGCCAACGTTGACATTGACACAAGCGGCTTTGTCTCTGACCTGAATTCCCTGAACGATAAGCTTCCCGACTTCGACGACATCAAGAATCTCACAGCCCAGGCCGTTTCGTTCCCCTTCAACCTCATCAGAGAGCAACTCGACAAAGCCTACGGCAACTGGGCATTTGACGATAACACGTTCCCCATCGCTAAGAAGGAAGCCTTGTCATTCTGTTCCGAGAATTCTGCCATCAACGACTTCTTTGAGGGCCTGTACGAGATTGCCCGCACCGCCAAGATTGTGGCCATCGTAGTACTGGTGCTACTCGCGATCGCTGCGTGTATCCCGATGGCCTATATCGAGATCCGCCGATGGCGCCGCGCTCAGGTCTGCTCCAAGGATGCGTATGACGATATGGATCTCGTATACATGTGCTCCCGTCCCACCTCGTCGCGGGTTGGATTCTGGATCGCTTCGCGGTTCAGCGAGAAGCGACGCCTCTTGGCACGATGGTGTATCGCATATGCCACGTCGCTTCCGGCCCTCTTCGTCCTCTCTCTCGCCCTCGCCGGTTTCTTCTCTTGCTTCTGCCAGTGGATCCTGCTGCGGACCATCGAGAAGGAGATCCCGGAACTCTCGAGTCAGGTTGGGGACTTTGCTGAGCAGGTCGTCGGCACCCTAGGCAACGTATCAAAGAGGTGGGCAGATGATGCCAACGGTGTTATCACGTCCTTCAGCTCCGAAGTCAATAACGACGTCCTCGGCCACGTCGTGAATGGCACCACGGCTGTCAACAACACTCTGAACACCTTCCTGGACGGTATCGACAAAGGACTCAACACCGCCTTCGGAGACACCCTCTTCAAGGACCTCGCCGCAAACACAGTCCGATGCCTGATTGGTCTGAAGATCGAGGCGTTCCAGCGGGGTCTCACCTGGGTCCACGACCACGCCCACATCAACTTCCCGCTGTTCCCCGATGATGTCTTCTCCGTCGGCGCCCAGAAGTCCATCTCCGGCGACTCGGACATGACGACATTCCTAGCCTCCCCGAGCAGTGTCACGACCGACGAAATCACTGGAGCCGTTACCCATGTCACGAACTGGCTGCACGGCAACATCGTCCAGAACGCGCTGGTCTCGACTGGTCTGCTGCTCGTGTACGTCATCATCGTCCTCATCGGCGTTATCCGCATGCTCGTAGGCCACAACGACGTCGCCGGCGAGACGCGCAAGATGCGGCTGCAGAACTTCAGCAACGGCGGGGCGCCTCAGGCGGACACCACAACGGGGGCAGTTCCGGCCGCCGGCCGCACAGCACCGACGCAGATGCCGCATTTCGAAGCTGAAGCGAGCGCGCATCCGGACCGCTACCAGCGCTCGCCTTTCGACGATGACGGCAACGACTATGGACACGGAACGGTACGCGGCGGAGCCGTGACGACCGAGGAGGCACCCCCGTACACCCGGAACAGCAGTTACGTGCAGTACGTCGACGTGAAGCGGTAGGAACGCCGCCGTACGCCGCCACCACTGCCGCATACCGGCCCCGTCGAGGAGAAGGAGGGCGACCAGGCGTTGGATCCGCCCTACGAGGACCCCTTCAATTGAAGTAATGCGGTCGGCCAGTCATGCAATTGAATGCGGGACGGGATTCTCATAGCGGCTAAAATTGCTGCTAGGGAAGTATTGCCCGCCATCCTTTTGACTGGATTGGTTTCTTGTTCATTTTTTTCTCGTCCATCTGGGATGGCGAGCTCTGCATAGCGTTTGGTATTCGGGAGCGGCAAACATACCCACACTCCCCTGGTCTCTCTCAGGCTCTCTCAGAGGGCTTCTTTCACAGCGCGACATATCCTTTTCCTCTTCATTCTCTGCATCCTCGTATTTCGTTTTCTCTTCTCGGCATACTCCCATGTGCAGAAGCGGCATGGTGCTTCCCAATAATAGTCATCTCTCTTTGAGAGGAAGGCGATAGATGCGTTCCGCACAGCCTATGGACGGCTCTGGAAAGGAAGGGGTGGCAGGCATCGCGAGACGGCGTCGTTATCCATCACTGGATTTATGCATGGCAGGACATCAGCGTTTGATTTTTTTTTTCGGTCGGTCAGGGGGGAGCGGAGGGGAGGTTACAGCATGAACAGCATTGTTACGGATCGGCATCCTTTAAAGTATAAGAGAAGAGAGGAGGTAATGGAAGACATTAAATACAAGGCGAGGAGAGTAGGGGATTAAGAGAGATCTGAGATCTCGGCTTACGCCAAACTAAACAACTTAGATCATCGGTCAACTTCCTCATACTTTCCCATAATATTACGTACCCCCACTGTTACTACTACTGCTGCTGGTGCTGTCGCTTGCTTATGTGACTATATAATGCCTCGACAAATATTTTAGAAACTGAGGAGAGAGGAGTGGGTGAAGCTGGCAGCTAACAGCGCCGTGCGGTGCGGTGCGCGATAAGGAATCACATTAGACGCGGTTGTCGCGGTACGCGACAGCGAAACTGTACGTGAGAATGTACAGCAAGAGACGAGAAGCACGGGGCGAGCGACCAGTCCGCCCACCGCCGCCCCTAGTAAGCAGCTCTCTCGCGTACAGCCCGATAAAAACACCGCGGCTTCAGGCCAAATCCAGCAGCCGCTCTCAGCCCGGGGAGCCGCCGGGGAGCCGCCGAATTGGGAGAAGCAAGTGCCAGGAGTGCTTCTTCATTAAGATTACCGCCCAAGACCGAACTCTACGTACACGTCCTCGCGCCGCCCTCGCCTGCCTGCCCACCCACCCGAGGCAAGACATACTATATATATCTACGCATTCATTCATTCTCTCGGCGTCAGCTCTACCGGCCCGGGGGGCCTCTTCGGTTACAGCTACTACCACTACCGCCCTGGCACATCTAGTCGGGCCCGGGTTTCGAATTTAGGGCAGTTCTTTCCATGTCCGTCTCCCCCTCTTTCTCGGCCCCCTTCTTCCCGCATCGGGACGGCGTGGTTCGCGCGTGGCCGCCGCCGCCTCCCTCCCTTCTCTCCGACTCGGGTGGGTAGGCGTCGCTCGCCCGCGCGCTTCCGCCTCCCGGCTGTGCAATCTTAGCCGCGAGGAGCGGGCGAGCAAGCAAGCCGGCGCCATCTCTCTCGTTCTCTCCCTCTGCGGCGGGCCTATCTGGCGCCCGCGGCGGCGGCCGGGAAGCTCCTCGCGCTCAGGAACATGCCCTTGACGCTGCGGATCGCGTCCTTGGCGCGCTTGACCTCGTCGTCCGGGTCCGTCACGGCGCCCCGGCCGTACAGGGAGGAGAAGTCGGCGACGGCGCCGGGCCCCCCGCTGCCCAGCGCGTCCACGTCGTCGCGGATCTCGCGCAGCAGCCCGTGCAGGTCCGCCGACGCCTCGGCCCGCCGCGTGCTCATGTCGCCGAGCTCGCGCAGCGACGCGCGCACCGCCGCCAGCCGCCGCACCTGGCTGTCGACCGAGATCTCGGTGCGGCGGGTGCTGGCGCTGCTGTCGCGGCGGCGGCCGGACGCGGACGCGGACGCGCCGGCGCCGGCGGCAGAGTCGGCGGGCCGCAGCACCGGCGACGTCTGCGTGCCGATGTCGCGGTGGAAGAGCTCCGTCGGGTCGCTGAAGGTGCTCTGCTCGTCGTAGCAATCGCCCGTGGCGTCGGAGAACTCGGCGCTGGACCGCCGCCGCGACAGCAGCAGCAGCGGCCGCCCCGCCGGGTACGGGACCTCGCTCGCGGCGCCCTCGAGTCGCTCGACCAGGTCGCCCAGCCGCTCGCCCACGTGCGCATAGTAGTCGCCCCGCGCGTCGTTCAGCGCGTCGACCATCGGCCCGACGGCGAACCGCGCCGTGCCGTAGAGCAGCGCCCAGACGCTGCCCGAGACGGCCAGGATGTTTCCGAGCCGCGACGGCGTGATGAGCGGCGGCGGCCGCGCCGCCTTCGTCAAGAACTCCGGGTACGTGATGATGGGTGCGGGGCCGCCGCTCGTCGGGGACGTCGCCGCCGTCGTCGGCGGGGTGAGGAGGTCGGGCTCGCTCGCGGACTCCGAGGCGTCGTCCGAGGCGGTGGCGGCGGGGGCCGCTTGCCGGGCCACTTCTTTCTCCTGCCACGCCTGCCTCGCCTCCTTCTCGTCGCTCGGGGCCGCGTCGGCGGCGTGCTGGTGCTGGTGCGGCTGCGGCTCGAGCTCCCCAGACAGCCGCTCGAGCTGCTCGCGGGTGAACCCCTTGCTCTTGAGGAACTCGGTCTTCTTCTCCACGCTCGCGTTCCGGACGCTCTCGTCGCCGAGGAACTTCCGCGCCTGCTCGAGGGCGGCCGCGTCGGCCGCGTCGGGGTCCCGGGGCGTGTCCTCGGGCGGCGCGTCTTGCCGGGGCGGTTCGTCGGACGGATCGGCCGCCATGTTGACAGGCAAGTCGCGAAGGGGTTTGTCGCGACTGGGTCCGCCGCTAAGTGGTTGGATGGTCGGGCTGGCGAATGTTGTTGCCCCGGATGGTTTGAACCGGATACGGCGTATAGGTTGAAGTGGAAAAGGTGGCTGTTGCAATTGAAGCTTTCCGCAGCGAGGCCGTTCAGGTGGCAGACGGTAGATTAAAGACCGATGGAACCGAGCTCGAGTTGAGCTGCCTCGGTATCTCTTAGTAGCCAACCGGGCGGATCCCGACCTGTTTAGGTCAGCGTGCTTCTAAGCGGGTAGTCGGGACCTCGCAGGCATGATATGTGTATATAGAGTATATACTCCTATAGGGGTAATCTGTACTTGGGTACTCAGGCAGGTACTAAGAGGTACCTAGGTACGTACATAGCACGTCGTGTCTTCGGTAACATCAACATGCCAGACCGACCACGTGACCTGCGCTTGGTCGCCTTCTCACCAGCCAGGTTCGCTCGCTCGCTCGACTTGGTGTTCATTCATTCCCATGTCCTATGTAAGATCCTCCTCTCCGTGATACGACCGTGACCGATTGCCGATATTTGGGGGTTATTTACGGCTAAGAAGCCTCCCCGCCTCCTACGCCCTTCTTTCGTTAGCAAATCCCGATTTGGTTTTTCTTAAACTTGCCCCCGTTCTCGCACTGTTGCTAGCCGATTCGACGGTCGCGAGCGGCGGTGGTTTGGACGGGCGGATGCTCTGCGCGAGGTCGCTCAACTCCCTATCACAAGCTGGAAATACCGGTATCCACCTGCATCACCACCGACGATCGACAGCGAGAAAGGCTCTGCTCGGCGCTCACCACATGCAGTGACCACTCAAGTCAGCGCCTGGTCGAATTTGTTGCGATTTTCTGGTTGGCTAAACTGGAAAGGACAACCCGAGTCTCAGGCTCGTCCCAAGCGTCGCCAGACGACGACGACGAAGCAGCAGCAGCAGCGGCAGCGGCCGCAGACGCTGACTCCAGTGTGAGAGCCGAGCACTCGGTGAAACCCAGCGGGCCAAGGAAAAGCGGGAGGACGGGTAGGAACAACAGAGAAAGCCGTCTAGGCTCATCAGCTCATTAGCCTGTCAGCCACAGGCAGAGGCACGAGAAGAAGGACCCAATCCACCACGTAAGTCTCAGCTGCGATCCTGGGAAAAAACGGTTCATCTCTCGTCAGCACTCATCCATCCGTTATGTATTCCCGCCCGCGTCAGAGCCTTTGCAGAGGGCGAGCAGAGGGAGAAATGGGGGCGGAAAAAGGCATAGCTTGCCTAGAGCCGCCTCACCCTGGTCGCTCTAGCTCGTCGAATTCGACGTGGCCACGAAGAAGCCCCCAGTCCGTAGTAGGATGCTGCTAGGCTAGGTGGGCTGGGCAGTTCAAGCGAACGAAAGAGAGAGAGAGAGAGAGAGAGAGAGAGACAGACAGACAGACAGACAGACGGAGAGAGGAAGGCGGTGACGGGATAAAAACCAGGGGAGAGCAGCGATGCGCAACTCAACGCGATGCGACGCGAGGTCCAGCTGGCGAGGAAAAAGAGGAAAGAAAAGGGGGGTTTTTTTTCTTTGGTTATGCGGTGTTGCGTTGCGTTGCGTCGCGTTATGCGGAGGTTGGGTTGAGATGCTGTAACCGGCGTCTTGGTGTGCCGCCTCGGTGTGTCGCCTTCTTCGAGGGGGTCATCATTGCAGAGTGAATCCAACTGGTCGAGCGTCATCCAATTGCCAATCGCAACTCGCAACGCGTAACTCGTCAACTCGCAAAAAAAAAACACCCCCAAGGTTACCTAATGAAGGTCATCCTACCGTTGCTCTCTCTTCCTCCCTCTCTCTCTCCTCTCTAACCTGGCCCTGATGTGTACGGGTGTGCGTGTGTATGTGTGTGTGTGTGTGTGTCTAGATATATACATACATACACGCACATATACGTAGATATACACACACCACGCGGCAGCCGGCAGCAGTCGCGGCGGCAAAAGACACGAGGGACAAGAGAGCGACAGTCTATGTGCCGGGTCTTGCTGCCCGTTTGCCATCAGGCTCTCCCCCTCTGCATACCGTCCCTATCCTCCCAGATCTCTCCCTCTCTCCCTCTCTCTCCCTCTCTCTTCCTCTCTCTCCCCGAGATACCCAACACCAAAAGCGCAGAACCACCCCGAGAGTCGACGGCAACCCACACAGATCGCAGAACCGCCGAGCCGGGCACACCGAGCCGCAGATCGACGTGTCACTATCACGCCTTGATACCGCACTGGGAACCTTACCTATCCCTACCTTTCCGCCGTCTCTTCCTCGCGCTTCTACCTCTCCTCTGCCTCTCTCTTCAGCCTTCCTCCTTCCCCTCCCGAGCGGCCGTGCGCCTTTGCCGCGCCACCCCTCCTCTTTTTAAATCTCCTCTCCCCCATCGCCGAAAATTGGTCCTTTATATTTGCCCTGTCTCATTCAAATTGGTCCCCTCTCGCTTCGCTCTGCCCAATCTACCCGTCTCTCTACACCGGCCAACCCCAACCCCAGCCGACCCTGCTTCCCCGTACACTACGTCACCCACGTCGTCTAGATAGAGACCAGCTAGTAGTCAAAAGAAATCAAAATGACTTCTCGCCCGCGCCGCGCAGCGGCTCAGCGGGCAAATACCGCAATCACTGACATGGTCGACAGCGACAACCACATCAATAGCCGGACGGGCAGAACCATGTCTTCGAGAGCGTCCCGCCGATCTGAGGGTAAGAGTGCCGCTGCACCGGTCGAGCACGGCCCTCTCTCCTCGCCCGCAGCTTCTAACCAGCACGTTCGTTTCACAGTTAAGCTGCCGGCGAGCAAGCTGCGCCAGGCAACCTCGAGCCGCGTCGGTCAATCCAGTCGTCAACAATCCTCGGATGCCGGCGTCGTGGAGGGCAGGAGGAACCGCCCCCAGAAGAAGAAGAGCTACGTCGTCGAAACTAGTGACGACGACGACGACGACGACGACGACGATGATGATGACGATGATGACGATGACGACGAGCTGGAAGAGGAGGATGACGACGATGATGATGACGACGATGCCGAGGGAGAAGACGACGACATAGCCGACATTGCCGAGGAAGACGCTGAGGGCGAGATCGTCGTCGACGACACCATGGAAATCGACGCCGAAGGGGACGACGACGACGACATCGGCGACGAGGATGCCGAAGGTGAAGATGACGACATGGAAGTGGACCTCATACGGCCCCCGGCTCCCGTAATCAAGGTCTCGAAGCCGCCAAAGAGCTCCAAGTCAAAGGCCCCAGCTAAGTCTGCCGCAAAAGCTGCTGTAACCCAAGTTAGAGACAGCGAAGACGACGAAGACGACGATGAGGAACTTAGTGAGCTAGAGAGCGAAGCAGACGAGATCCAGGACACTGTCAAGGTTGGAGGTGGTGACGAGGAGGATGCGGAAGGCGAAGACGAGGAGCTCGGGCCGGCCAATCCCGCTGAAGAAGACGAGGATGCCGGTAGCGAGGGCGAGAACGGGAGCCGAGCAGATACGCCCGATCTTACTAAAATGACAAAACGTCAACGCGCCCGATTCGAAGAAAATGGAGACACCCTCATGAAACTATCTGATGGTGAGTATCTACGATAATACGCAACCCTTCGACGAAAATTGGGACTGACGCGCGACCAGAGGTGCAAGCAAAGAAGCACTTCACGGCAGAAGAGCTGTCGATGCGTCGCGCCGAGATGGCTCGCCGACGACGCAACCTTAGCGAGAAGCGCAATGAAGAAGTGAAGGTACGATATTCGCATGACAAGGGGGGGAGGGGGGGAGACGATCTGCCCGTCGAGATGAACAGGGCGAGAAGCTGACGATATTTCTAACCACACAGATGGAAACCATCAACAAACTGCTCAAGAAACAAGCGCCCAAGACAAACCGCAAGTCACTGCTTGGGGATCTAGGTCCCGATGGCCATGTGTATAAGCCTAATCCCGTATTCGTGAGATGGACCAGCAACAAGGATGGCAGCCGAGTCGGTATCCCCGAAGAGATGCTTTCCGGGCCAGCCGGCCGGGTTTTTACTCCGAGCGGTCCCCGAGGCGGGAAAATGGTAGAGGAGGTGTCGTAGGGGCGACGGGTGACCGATCCCTGACCAACACAATGGCTTAGATTCTCGAAACGCGGCTCCCTACCATTGTGGGCAGCTAAAACCGTCCTCGAGTCGTCAGCGCCCCTCACGCTACGGCAGGAATCATCAGTGTATCCTTCAAGGAGTAGATTGTCTGTTTGTATTAATATTAGAAGGAAGGGAGAGGCAGACGGTTCACAGCGATAGTACGACCTCCGATGTCGTTTTGATGGCACGATATAAATGCCGCAGTAATAATAAACCAAGTTGGCAAGTATAATATTGTCAGTCAATAGTATTAGGTGCCCATAGTTACGTACGATCACAACATATAATAGCACCCTGGTATTATTTTATTTTATTTTTTTTACACATATGTTCTAGCTATAATAATGATCCATGGCAATAAGTCCGCCTAGCAGCAACTCTTTTTGGGGCTATTTGACGACCTTAGCTATTATTATAAGCGCTGTCTATATATACGGCTCAACCTCCCCAACGCCCTGCATGTAAAAATATGGCGACTTTCGCCGTTATTTCCGAAGGCTCAAATTCCTCCACGGTATAATGTGCGTATCGCCGCGCGTTCGATTCAAGAAGCTAGCCACCCGCTCTGGTTATTCCGTCCCCGTTAATCCCTGGACTGTCGTAGCTACTGGGAAACCCATGCCCAGCTTAATAGTCTTTCATCAAAGTTGGCCCGACACTGGTGTTCTACGTCCGAATGCGCTGGCCTGGAAGCCCCTCTGGTCGAATCTGCCTGTAGAAATCGATCCGTAGGCGCGACATAGGTCACCAATTGAATATATAGCAGTCACTTGACCTCCTAGCTACCTCCTAGCCAGTATTAACTGTCGGAGTTTCCGCACTCGCTCGTATCTAAGGTATAATAACTACGCCCTCCCTCCCCTTATAGCCGAATCTCCGCTACCTTAAGCCTCCTACCTCTGCCTGCATGCTACTCGAAGAGACGCAAACAGAGTGTTTTCTCAGCACTTATCAACCATTTCTTACAATGACACGATACCCTTCTCATAGCTCTGACACGGAGCCGCAGATAGCAAGTAATACCTACATAATGGGAAAGAAATAGATACTACCTACACTTCCTATTCGAGAGTATAAGTACCCGCAGCCTTCTATCTATAATATTCTACTATAGATTGCCTAGTATCCATATTCGTCCAGCTAACCTGTCAGGGGCATCATCCGAGGCTCGACTAGCATCAAAATCCGATCACATAGCAGTATATTTGTCACATATACTTAGGAGTACCAGGGATGTGTGTTCCCAGTCTCGAAGGAGAATCTCTTTGTACTCCATCATGTCTCATAGCCTATGGTGGGTAGGCCCTATGGTGTACTTATGTGGATGGCTGGTAAGAGCATCACTGGCTAGCATTGTAGCCACTCTAGGATGGATACTTCTTGGCTCTTGATTTCTAACACCTTTAGACGTAACCCATCGTACACACAAAGGAACACTGTATATTTGCCATTATTTGTCTTATTATGGGTTTGTTGTCATAAGTGGGCGCATTGTGAATTTTGTCCTCTATTAGACCTCAGAAATGCTGTTGCCCGCGACAACCTCACTCGAGATGCTCGTAGCCCACGACAACCTCACTAGAGATGCTTGTAGTTCCAACACCTCACTGTACCTAGTATATCACTTTGATTGTCCGCTTTTGATTTTGCAATATTGTTGCAACACTTGAGTTATTATTTACACTGCTGATCCAAGATCACTAGCCTTTATCGCCACTCCAGAATTGATATAAAAGACCCTGTATCCCCCCTCCCCCCTCCATTTCTTCTTCCTCCCACATTATTCACTCACCCACAAAAGTCAGCTTCTTCCACAGCCAGCCCAGACTTGAAAATACCCTCTAGCACAACCTCTTATCTATTCTCTTCCCTCCAAGCACCAATCCCATCTTCCTAACCTGGGTTCACTTAGGAGATTCAACGCTCCAGTATTACCTTCGTCATAGACTCCAGTCAGGCTCGGCAACAACATCCCCGTCACGGTGAGGGAGCGAGGCGGCGCGTCTCAGGACACTCTCTGGGGGTGATACTGGGTGTCGTACTTCGAACGTAGCCTTTGACAGGCTTAACGGGAGAAAGCAATACCTATAGCTAGATGAGCTAGGTAAGTTAACAGACCACGGAGTCCGTTGTCTCCTCCCTCTATTCTTCTTGTTTAGTCGGGGATTCGGGTACAAGGATACTCTTTGTGTCTAGCCCTGTTGGTTACGTATTACCACAGGCACAGGTCTCAGAAACAATTGGACTAAGACGCCTCCTAGGAACATGTACAGCCGACTCCTCGGCACTGGCTCAGGATACCTCCTACTAGCTCTACGCCCAAATCGTGGGCCAAAACCCCCAAACTACCGGACAGGATCAGGACTCACCCACCGCAATGAGGGTTGAAGAAGTCCAGGCGCCCATACGGGGCACGCGTGATAGTAGGGCTTCTTAGCTGGTAAAAACAACCGTGCGAGATCACCGAGTTCCTGTCCCGCGGGATAGGATATCGCTTCCGAAGTACTTGCTAGTCCTCTCGCCGTCTTTCGCATTGTGCTATCCGAAGCGATAGACGTCGTTTTGCCCCACGGACCGGAGAGGATGCTCCCATCACGACAATATCATGCTCCCAACATCATCCGAGATCTTCCACCTCTCCCACATTCACATACACTACGTTTGTGTGATATGGGAAAAAGTGCGGCCTAGGGAGTTCGTGGGGATGGTAGGATAAAGGATGAATCGAGGTAAGGTAATACTCCCTCGAGGGATAGATGAAACTAATGGCTAATAGGAAAAAAACGGAAAGGATATTACCACCTATCAACAAACCTGGAAACTGGCACAAAGGCACACCATCCTCGTCCCGTAGGACTCCTCCTACGGCACAGATGAGAGACGGAATATTTCCGACTCAGTAACCACAAAACGGGCGCCAGCAAGGCCTGTCGTACCCTCTCCTGGGACCCCTTCCGCAGCCGAAACGGACACCTTAATACGTTAGCCGAGAAGGGGCACCAGGAAAGGGTTCGCCAAGCCTTTCTGGTGCCCCCTCCAATAATACGTCGGCTAAGAAGGATGATTACAGCAATCCTCAACGTAGCCTCCCCCTTTGGCTCCGACCTGAACCACGACCTGAACCACAACTAGAAGTAGAACCAGAGCCACATCCGGGGCTAACACAGTCAGCCGTACGCGACATGAGGTGAAATATCCTTCCTCTTCTACCCTACAATCCACCTAGTCACCTAACCTTTCCCAACCTCTGGGGCCTACCCTATACCTACCGCCTGTCCTCGACCCACTCGAGGACAACAAACACAACAAACACTACGCCAAACTTTTATCTCCCTGTCGGCCCTCGCACTGGCAGGATAACAAAACTGCCAGCTACGGGGGAACCCCAAACCCTGCTCTAATAAGGGTGGTGGTGACCTACGCGATAACTCACACACTCCATTGCAGCCCTAATTCAGGGCGTAACCTGTGGATTCGATAATAGCGGTGGCGCCCGTATCTCTCCCTCTACCCCACTTCCCCCTTCCCGGGGCCCTGTTCAACTTACCGCTCGGTGTGGTCTGTCAGTGAGAGACCACATCGCAGCGCGTACGCTCCTCCAACCTCCATCAGAGCCCAAATCAAGTGGTTCCGGGGGAAAAGGGGGGGAGGGTTAAGGTGTCTTGCTAGCGAAGAGGTCCTTTATCAAGTGTTCTCTGGATTATAGGTACACTTTTCACCTTGATAATACGACCAGGCCATATATGGGTGGCAGTGGAATACGTTTTTCCTTACTTCTGTCTTGGGGAAAATTGCGGGTGCTTACAGGGTTCCGGATGGAGATTACCAAGAAAGATACGGAATATTATGGCGTACTGGCTTCGGTATTCAGTGGGTAATCAACTGGCTGTCTAGGTGATGGGAATCGGAGGGGAAACTGTGAATTCTTCAAGCTCGGCGAACCCGGATTTCGTGTGTAATACTTCGTTCGAGCGGCATTCTTCACCACGTAATTAAAGCGAATATTTCAGATGTTCGTCGTGGAGTAGCGAGTATGTTTTGGTTGGTTCTGACGATACAGCGAGCGCCTACTACGACCGAATTACTCGAGTCTGATTCTTTCGGCGGAGATCCATTCCCAGTTCCGGGTTTCTGGCATCTCATCTCGGCATCGAAAAACAAGAATGTACAATAATACACGTTTGGCGGCTAGCAAGACCGAATCCGGTCTACCATCAAGTACCTATACCCCCCGATTCCCAGGCACTTGCCGCCAATACTTGATCGATGAGGCCGAGAGAGGTAGTGAATTTAGCAGATGTCCCCTGTTAAGCTTCCTCTAACGTCGGCTTTTGCGAATAGGTCGGGGTGCTCTCCTCCTCGTCAACTCGTCGTCGTCGTCGTCGTCGTCGTCCTCTTCCTCGTCCTCATCCTCGTCGTCGTCGTCCTCATCCTCGTCGTCCTCATCCTCGTCGTCCTCATCCTCGTCATCCTCGTCGTCCTCGTCCTCGTCCTCTTCCTCTTCCTCTTCCTCTTCCTCGTCCTCTTCCTCTTCCTCTTCCTCTTCCTCTTCCTCTTCCTCTTCCTCGTCCTCGTCCTCTTCTTCTGGATTCGCTCCTGGATTCACTTCTGATTCCGGTATCTTGAGGTGTTTGCTGAGTAATTTGGCTATGGAGTACATGTGGATCTTGTCCGCCTCAAATAATCCCCTCAGAGCCTCGTCGCAGATGATCTGCATCCTGTCCTTCTTATCCTGGAGTTTGTGGGCTTTGATATATCTCCATAGCTCTTTGACCGCTTGGGGCCGTGTCAACTGCGGGTTGGATTGCTTAGCAGATCGATGCTGGACGCACGACTTGCGGGAGGGCCAAAGCCATTCTTACCACTTTAGACCCGACTAGATCCGCCAGCGGCTGGGAAAGTGCGTAAGGCCTCTACAATACCGTCAGCCTAGGTTTACCGACGCAGAGAGCCAACGTTATGAAAGGCGGCAGGGGAAATTTACGATGAAAGGATTCGCCTTTTTTTTACGGGGGGTAGCTGACCGGGAGAATGGTTGCAGCTGTTGGATCGCGAGCGGGAACGCGGTTGGTAGGCGGCGCCATAAGACCCGCGACCCAGCGGACCGAGGCGACGCGAACAATCGAAGCATCTCGCGATAGGTTGCCACGAACCAAGGGGGAGACGGTAGGGAGATGTTAGGAGGGGGGAAGAAGAAGCTAAGAGGAGGAGGAGGTAATTACATCTTGATGCCCGCAAAAGTTCTTCCCATTGAAAAATCCCCACACTCCAGCCACTTCGCGCCACACGACCCGAGCCGGCGCCACACCTCATTTGACGTCACCTATAGGTACCTAAGCCAGGTACCTCCTTTAGAGGTACATAGGTATCACGTCCATCCACTCAGGGTACCTTGCATCATCACATCATCTTACCTACCCTTAGGTACGTAGGTACTGATCTCCGGCACCTTCGCCGATGGAAGTCTGGTTTTGCTAGGTATATCCGCTTTCCGCCGGGCGGGGATGCGAAGTCATCGGATGGTAGGGCAGGTGTTGGGTTGTGGGACGGGCGGGCATTCGTAGGAGTAGAGACAATCGGGACTTGCAGTTAGGTACCTATATTAGCCAGCCTGCCGCCCGGCAGGGTAGCCCCCTAACTTGGGGCACTTGCGGTTACTTCGCCACCAAATTTGTCTTCGATGTTGCTAACATCATTAACCACGATACTCATGCCTCGATGGTATGCTAATACCCAACATAAAACAGGGAACAACAGAGGCCAATGGTCCCATTTCTAGCATTCCTGTTCCATCTGAAACCTGGATAAACACTTCAAGAAATACTCGTCTAGCGCCGCTGAAAACGAATCCGGCTAAGCTTCTGTCGATTTCCCCTGTTTCACAGGACCACGTGCCCGCCGCAGTGCCCAAGGGAGGAGCACGACGGCAACACGGAACTCACTACAGATATCTATGAGCCGGTGAAGGACGCATACTGAGAGTGGCACCTCGTGGCTTGAGCCGACGGCGGCGCTGTGATCACCGTCCAGGACCTCCGACGGGCCGTGGCCGATCCTTACGACAGGCCTCAGCCGCCACCAGGCCCCTTACAAATAGGCGACCACGACGCTTATATCATAGAGAAAACCCTGGCGGACTCCAGCAAGACGCACCATACCTCCTGGAAGCTTCCCTGCTCCCTTTTCTTCCAAATCTCCAAAGGCCGGAATCTAAATACCCAGACCTTAAATATTACTAAGATCTCTGCTTTCCAACATATAACCATCCTCCCCCACCCCCCAGGTTACCTGAGAAGCTCACCCTTTCTTATATGGTGCTGGGGCGCGAGGCGAATATACGCTACACGAGAGCTAGGAAACAGGACTAAGCTAGATGGCGAGGTCAGCGAACGGGGAAAAGGGGGGGGGGGGCACACACACATCAATACAACCGCTGTTGTCACGTCAGGAAGCCTGCTTATATAACCCTACAATGTATAATACCCCACGAGGGAATGTATGTAAGCGTCTACGTTTTCACGTGACAGCTCTTCATTCCTATCTCCGGCTGGACCCGCCAGACCTCCCGCTCGAGCATTGTGGGCAAGGTTATCGAGGTCTGGGATGAGGAGGGGTGACTGGCCCGGGGAGATTGCAAATATTAGGTAGATCACAGATGAGGGAAAACTCGGACGGCGAATAAAGCTGATCTCGTAAGATGAATTAGACTCTTCCCTCTCTTGATAATATAGCCATATTTACTGCTCCTCCTCGCTCCTACTCATAATCTCCATCCTCTCGCTCCCGAATCCCCCCTCCTTTGGTCGATCCGTGATAGCCACGTCCGCCTTTAGCTATCTAACTACCGAGCCTATCCGCATCGGCTGTGCCATATTAGCCCGGTAGCACCTATTAGCACCAACACGCGTTTCTCTCGCGCTGCAATCCCGGCCACGTGTTTCGTCCGAGTATGTCCAAGACTATCTAAGCACGTGTGGAGTTGTATTCTCGAGGTCTCTAGGTAGGTACCTATGTCGTCTGTCTGCCTATTGATGGTCGAAAGAGATGGCGCGTGTTGGTGCGTGGTCGCTGGCCAGAGGTAGTATCCTGGATACGTTAGGGTCTGGGAGGGTGGAGGTCATGGAGTGGGCGGGGGCCGCCCGATAAGGCACAGGTGGCCCGGGCATCTGGTGATGATTCCGGGACCGACCCCTCCTCCCCCGCGCCCTCCCCCGCCGTACTTGGGGCAAGAGGTCGCTACAACCCCGGGACTGGCCGAAGTGATGCTCCAGATAAGTGCCCCATTGTGGCTGGATCGTCCCACCGTAAGGTTATGTGGCTGACCACGTGCAAGGTGCCTGGGGTGCGTACCTCCAGGTAGGTAACAGGTAGGTACCTTAGGTACCTAAGGTAAAGCACCTGAGGTACCTACCTTAGAGGTACCTCCCAGGTGGTGTCTCTGTACGGGGACCTTAGTAGGAGGTACCTAGGTAGGTAGGTACCTAGGTACTAAGACAGGTTCATGGATGGTGGGGTCCATGGTTCCATAGGTACCCAGCTTAGGTAGCTTGGCCACACCTGCCTATGCGGTATAGGTACAGTTAGGCAGTGGCTGCAGCTTAACTCTCAGCACCAACCCCGAGCTTTAGGTACGATCCCCACGGTGTGCTACAGGCACCTTAGCGACTTTACCTTAGGTACCTACCTACCGTAAGCACCTAAAGTAAGTACATATACGCCCTTCGCCGGGACGCTTCTCCTCTTCTTACCTCTCCTAACCGGCGCCAAAACAGGAGAGGAAAAAAGTGAAAAATAAAAAAAATGCAACGCCGAGGCCGCCATCGCCCACCCATCGCCTACCTCTCTATCTACCTAGTTGAAGGCCGGTCGGACGCATCTACCGACTGAATACCACCCCCCCGGCCATCCTGATAGGCCCTCGCTCCTCTCTGGCTTTAATTAGATCTCGTTATTATGGCCTACCTTGTCGATAGATGAGCACAGAGCAGGACACCTCGTCGCACTGGTTCTCGTTTGCCCTTCTGCCTCTTCTCTCTCTTCCCTACCGCGAAGTAGTACCTACACCCCTCCTCGTAGGACGATGACGGAGAGGATGCGTTCGCCGTGACTCAGCCATGACTGCTGCATCCTGCCACCTCTCTGCGTTCCGAGACCGACTTGCCATGACCTGTGCCCTCGCTTCGGCGCCTCTTCTATCCGCGACGACATAGGAGGGCCGCCGCCCAACAAATACGACGCCATCTTCGGCCGAACCGCCGCCGTTTCGAGTCTGCAGTTCGCCATTGGCCGTGCGTGCGACGCCCGCCTTCTTCCTACTGGTGGCATCGGGAGGACCAGAAGCGACGAGCAGGAGTGAGACGAGAGGAGAGAGACACAGAGAGAGAGAGAGAGAGAGAGAGAGAGAGAGAACTCGACTTAATTCCCAGGTATGTTAGGGTGGAGAGAGCTGCCTACTACTTGCTGCTAGCTTGTGTGGATCGGCGCCCTCTTGTCACTCTGCTCGACCCTAGATGTCTACAGACGCTGCATGCAGTCATCCGCCCGCCCGCCCTCTCGTCACGTAATACGCCCACCACATCCACTTACTACACCACTTGGCTCGCCTACTTACTCCCTCCCCTACGATACATAGCGAATCTAGGGCGTGTGTGTATGTATGCACGCATGAGGCATAAGTATGTGTGTATGTATGTATGCGCACGACTTCGTCTCGGCATCCCTCTCGCCTTCACCAACCCCCCGGGCCCGGACGGCCAGCCCGCGTCGTGTGTGCGTGTGCACGCGATGGGTCTGACGGCTTCGCCCAGGTCGCCAAACCCTGACCCAACCTTGACCCAAACCTGACCAAACCTGACCTCGCTGGGCCTGGACAAGACCCCAAGGCCCGCCCAGCAAGACATTGCAAGCTGCGCAATTGGGTCACACGACACCGCCCTCACCACAATCCCCCGGCCGATCACCCAGCATCGCTAACTACCACCGCCCCTCCCCACCAGGCCAGGTCAAATTGCCTGGGTCTGCCTCTCTCCTCTGTCTCCTTACTCCCGTCGCTCCCCCTTGCACGCCCGTCGCCTGATCTCCCACCTAGCGGCAGCACCTCCTAGGAAATGCGATCGAGACAACGATACACCTGGTTGACTTGACTAGCCAGGTCGCAAAGGCGCATAGGCACCGAGGACGGGTAGCCTCGAGTCAGCAAGTTTGTGCCGGTCTGGGCCGACGAGCTGTGTTTTTTTTTTTTTTTTTAAAAAACTCTTTTAAATTTTTTTATTATTCTTTTAAATTCGATCGCCTGCCTCTTCGGTATAACGCACTACTCGCCCGCTCGCTCGCCGGCGCACTACTCAGCATGCAAGTCCCTGAATCAAATCCAGCCAGCCGGCCGGATCCTCCTCAGCCGTCCGGGGCTGACGACAACATGGCCGCCGCGCCACCTGCTGGCGCTCCGGACAATCAATGTGAGCATCGCTATGCCTTTTGTTGATCTTTTTTCCCCTCTGGAGGGGGGTTTCAACCCAACACCCTTCCTCTCTTTCCTCCGTCTCGCTCTATTTTCCTTTTTGTTTTCTCCCAAAAGTTGGCTGGGCCCATTCGGTTACGGCGAGATAGCTGTGAGGCTTGTCGATGGCCGTATTCTCGACAACAACAACGATCTAGGACCCTAGTTAGAGATATCAATGGTTGTATAATACTCTCTCACACACACGTATATGTCCATTTGTTCTTTTTACGTCCTTCCTAACCCCGTCTTTCTTGTCGAGTGACCCGGTCGAGAACGGCGGGAAGCATCGGTTATCCCCCCCCCCCTCCCCGACTCGTACCTCCATCGAGCTGTCGAGAGAGTCAGTGCACAACAGCGCCACCAACCCAGCTGCCCAGCTCGGCCCAGCTCGGTCCAGCTCCGTGTCTTTTCCTACTACTATCTCGGCACTGCCTAGGTTAGTAGTTAGTCGCTGATGCCGGCCCTTAGCGAATACACCAACGCTGCATGGTACCACCAGTCACGTTGATCCTCCGGGTCCCACACCGCCCGTCGATGGTCAGGCCGACGAAGCTATAACAGCACCGGGGGTAGGCTCAACTAGGAGGCTCTCCATCCCGTCGCCAAAAATGTTGTTTGCCGACTTGTTTCAGTCAACCAAGTCGCCGCTCTCGCGGCTGCGGCTTCACCCCCACCCCACCCCTACCCCCGCCGACTACGACCCCGATCTTGTGAGCAGGGATAAGGCGAAGCAGAAGGAAGCCATTAAACGCGTCTTAGCAGAGAAGGTCCGAGATGATTGGAATTTCCAATGGCCACCCCCAGCCGAGAATGAAACTCGCGAGGTTGATTTGGCCGTCGAGGGGTCTAACTCGGAAGACGACGACGCCTCAACCTATAGCACTGTGTCGGAGGATCCCACCCGCTTCCGCCCTCGGGTCGAATGGCTGTCTGATATGCCCGAGGACGAGGACGAGGACGATAATACCGAGCCGGCGACGCCTTCGGCTTACCGCTTCGACACCCCGGATGCCGTTGGCGCATCTGTGAAGGCGATAGCGCTCGCTAAGAGTGCGAAACGAAGGCGGGCGTTACGCGCTGAGATGGAATGGAACTCGGGGTTGGCTTGCTTTAGTGCTCGGCGCGACGCTTGGACGGGCGCTAGGGCGGCTCGCGTTCGTCCCAAGCGGACTTCGACGACTGCGTCCCCTACCGCGAGGCACCTCTCGTTTTGGCGCCATTCAACTACGACGTCGGCGTCGTCGCCTACCGAATCTGCAAGTATGACGGCGCCGCTCAGTCCTACCGTGACGCGCGCGTCCGGAGATACGACGGCCATGTCCTCGTCAGATGCCGAATCTAAGGAAGCTAGACCAAAAGAGGATCCATCCTTTTACCCGGTGGAGATGCTCGTCCCCGTACCTCAACCTCTACTACCCCCCGCTACCCCCATGCGCACTTCCATTACTTCAGCTGCGTATCCTACCATCTATGACAAGATCGTCGTGCAGTCTGCGACGTCCTCGTGTCCCATTAACCTGGGCGACGTGACGCGCGCCTGCGTCGCAGGCTGGAAGCGGGACGGCGAATGGCCTCCTCGACCTATAGAGCCTCCCGTCGTGGCGGTCCGGAAGAAGAAGAACGGCGGTCTGGAAAGCAAGGCTCACACGGGTAGAAGGATGAGCTTCGGTTTCCTCGGACGACGGCAGAGCGTAGGCGGAGAAGCTAGCAATCTGGCAGAGAGCACGTCTCATGCGGAAAAGGATGACGCCGCTCACGCGTCGGGGAAAGCCTTCCGAAAGAGCATACAGCGCGTCTTGGGGATCGGACACGAACGCGCCGGAGGGGTCAACTGTACCACCCACGGGGACGTTGCCGGGTGATGGGCAGGCTCGAAGTTTCCGTTTCTGGCGAAAATGACACGGAGGCCCTGGCCTTACCTGGGTTAGACATCAGTCGAGAGGGGCTCACGAAGGGTCGTGTGCCGGGAGAGAAAGCAGAGCTTCAACAGAGAGCAAAGTTCGAAACTGTCTAGGGACCTGGGACACGCTAGGGATGGTTATGGGATTGCACACGCGCGCGCAGTTGTGTGTGCTGAGCAGGGCGAGGGAATGGTGGGTTGTGAAACTTATCAGAGGCAAAATATACCCAGCATCGGCATCACGGAGTTGTTTTCTTTTCTCTTCCTCTTTTGCCCTTTCATCTTTCCGCCTTCGAATTGCGGTGCGCTCTCGTCTTCAACACGGGCCTCTATTTTCCTATGCCCCTCTATCCCTACGCTTCTCTCGCAAACGCCGCCACTCTTTCTCTGTCGATCTAATGTATCGTCGTTTGGTTCCTGGGTCCGTAGCTAGTAGTAGTAGTAATAGTAGTTAGTAGTAGTAGTAGTAGCAGCAGCAGCAGCAGTAGTAGTACTTCTCGAAAGCTGGCAGAAAGCCAGCTAGAACGGGGAAAAGATCAAGCCCGTCTGCCCCGTTGCCCCAATTGCACACCGTTTATTTCCGTGGCGCATGCATGCATGCTCGTGCGTTATTGGCTCTGAGTCACTTGGCGATGGCATACGTAAAGTCTCAGCACCCCGTAGTGCGAATCACAGACGCGCGCGACTTCGTCCTCGGGGGGAGAGGCCAAAGCAATAGCCCTCTCTCCCCCTCCTCTCCGCTCCGGCGAGACGCGGCAGAACCGACCGCGCACTACCCGCTCCGCCGCCCACTCAGTGCCAGCCAGCCTCTGACCACGCCGCTCTCAAATCACACACACTACGCAGAACGTAAACGGACCCCGCGGGCAGCGGAATCGACATAGCGAGCAGGAAAACAGTCGTCTCTCATTAGTATAGCAATACCGTGGCCCGTCCCCTCCCCTCCTCGCCCGCCGTACCATAGCATACACACAATCGTACCGTACAATAATACCATGCCGTAACAACGCCGCGCCGGCGTACCATAGCACATCACGTGTAAGGGGTAGGAAAGTTCTCTCTCCGCCGGGAGCGATTCCCGGTGAGCGCCAGATAAAAACAATGCCACTCGCTCTCTCTCTCTCTCGCAGCCTGACGAGGGGATCCGAGCCCAAATCTTACACCGTCCGTTGCGTCCCGACCTGTTTGCCACGGCACGCCCAAAAAGAAAAGGGGGGGGTGCCGTGCGAAGGGGGCAGGGAGGGGGGGCGGATAAGAAAGAGAAAGGGAGGGAGACTGCGCATCGACCGCGTCTCCTCCCGGCCCTCCCCCGAACGCCCTCTCGGCCGAACCTCTCTCTCCTCTATCCCTTGATCCCACCGCCCTCCGTCCTGCCCATGACTCCCTTGCCTCGCCTTGCCTTTCGTGGCGGCATCACCACCTGCCCCTCCCGCTTTACCCTACCCTCTTGCCGGTCCCGGTCCGCGATGCGATCGATCGACCGCAAACGCGGGGAGAAAAACACCACCGAGAAAAAGGGAGCCGCCGGTTCGCCGAAAAAAAGATAGCAGTATGACAGCGTGTATTGTAAAACAAGAACAGAGCGCCTTTTTTTCATCATCATCTTCTTTCAGGCCAAGCCAGAGCCAGAGAGCCAGAGAGAGCCAACCCGCGTGAGGCATATGGGATGTGGGGGTATCCCGTCCATATGTCCGCCCGTCCGTTAATTTCCCAAATCCGACCAGACCAGAATACACCTGACCACCTTTCCTTCTCTTTTTTTTCTTTCTCCTGTAGCAAAAAGTCACGTACGTGTGGGAAACCCAAACGGATGGGGGCGCTTGGCAGAGAAGAGTCTCAAGCAAAGCTATCTTCGCGCCCCTATCGTGAGGACGCGTCGCTCTCGTCCCCCCGCACCTGTCTTCCCCGACTCCTGCTCTTGCTCTTGCTCTTGCTCTTGCTCTTGTTCCTCCGATTCCTGCTCTTCCTCCTGTCATCCAATTCTTCTTGCCCTCCTCCATCTCCCTCCTCCTCCTCTTCCTCTCCCACCCCTCGTCCGACTTCGATCACGCCGTTCCGTACGAGCGCCCGCCACACCTTGTCTCTGCTGCCGCCGCGACCCGTACTGCCTCCGTCACCGACGACCGGTAGCCCGTCTAGCGTCCGCAGCCGCCGGCACCTGTCCAGCACCACCATCTCGTAGAAGCGCCGCCGCATCCGCGTCCCCATATCCGACCGGCTTGTGAACTTGCCGTCCCGCTCCGGGTCCGCGTCCGGAAGCACAAATGGGTCGAAGCTCCTGTCCCCGCTACTGTTCCTTTCGCTCCTGCCGACACCGCTGCCCCGGCTACCCCTACCGCTGCCGCTACCGCGACTGCTTCGGCTGTCCCGAAAGTGGCCGGCGCCGTCATCGTCGCTGTAGTCAACCGGCACGAGTGTCTGTATGGGTGCATAGAACCCGAGAGTCGCCGGATTGTCGCGGAAGTCAAGCCGCGACAGATGTGGGAACCCGGCGAGCACGTCGGCGACCTGCCCCGCGTCGGCGAGCCGGTTGCCCGCCGCGAGTAGCTTCTTAAGGCGTGGGATGTAGCGCAGTGCTGACAGGTCATCGATCGCGTTCATGTTGAGGTTGAGCGCCCGCAGGTTCGGCACGAGCTGCCCAAGTCCGGGGGGAAGCCGTCGCAGCCCGCAGTTTGCGAGCTCGAGGTACTGCAGGTTGAGGAAGTCGACCGCCGGGTTGAACCCCGGGCCCGCCAGCAGGTTACCCGACAGGAAAAGCTTCCGGATCTCGTACGCCGCGTCGAGGAACGACGTGTCTAGCGGCTGCCCGCCGGACCGCTGCTCCCGGAGCGACAGGCTGTCGAGCCGTCGGCACCGCGAGAAACCCTTGATAGTCGTCAGCCGGTTGCGATCCGCGTGTAGCAGGCGGAGCGAGGGGAACGGCGCCAGGTCGAGGGACGCGAGGTTGTTGCCCGAGACTGCCAGGTATTTCAAATTGGAGGCTGAAGCATTCGAGCTTAGGGTGAAGTACGAGAGGCGGTTGTGCTGCAGGTTCAGGTTGACGAGGGACGAGAGCTGCTCGATGCCCCTGACCGTGGTGATCTGGTTGTTCTCCAGGTCCAGCTCCGCTAGGCGCTGCAGCTTCGTGCCGTCGAGGTCTACTTCGCTGAAGAGGTTGCCCCTCGCGCGAAGAACCTGCAAGCTATCGTGCAGTTTAATACCATCCAGACTCGTGATTAGGTTGTTGTCGGCTCGGAGGCTCCTTAGGTGGACTAGATCTTTGAAAGCGTGTAGACTAATAATCTGATTATTAGAGACGTCCACATATTGTAGGTTCATCAGGTGTCCCCAGGCCGTCAACTCCGAGAGGTGATTGTGTGTCACTCTCAGGTTTCGGACGCTCTCAGGAATACCGTCTAGGTGCTCGATCACGTTATTAGAGGCATCAAGAGTGATAACGCTCGTGCAGAACTCGTCCAGCATGTGTAGCGTCCTTAACTGCTTGCCACTGATATCCAGCTCGCGCATAGACTCCCAGTCGGGCTCGAAAGGCTCAATTTCGGTGATTTTCTCGACGAGGCATTGAATGGCTTTGGACATGATCTTCTTGGAGCCGTCTCCGGTGGCGAGGTATCGGTCCCCTACAACATAGCTAACCTCAAGGCCGCAGGATTGATCCGCCTGATTCATGGTGAATTCAGAGAGATGGCTTAACGACAACGTACCGACGTACTGCCCGATAATTGGCGTTGCCGAGACCGGGGCATTCTTTGCCGACGTAGGTGTTACAACAACGCTTAGGCTCGTGTTTCGATCGTCGCCGGCTTCCGCGTAAGACAAGCTCGAGTCTCCGCGAACACTGATTTGACGGTCTTCAGATGCAGAATTCTCTTTGGTCTCGTCCTCGTCCTGCTCGTCGATCCGCGAGACCGGCCTGGGGACGAATTCATGCTGCGCCTTGGCCGACACGTTCCGTGGGAGCCCCTGCGAGCGGCTCCGAGATCCAGGCCCGGCGCCCGAGCTGCTGGATGGCTTTGCCGATTTGGGGTTTCGCCCAAGCTTGAGCGGCTCGGGGGACATATTTTCGACTGACTGATCGGTGGTATCTGATATCTGGCCAGTGTGGTCATCGTCTGATTGATGGTGAGAGACATCTTGTATGACGGAGGCGATTGGAGAAGAAAATGAGATCGTGAGGTTCCTCTTTCGCGAGGGGTTCGATTTTTGCAGTCGGTCTTCGTGGATCGTGATCTCGTGTTCTATCTCTCTATCATCCTCTACCGCTATTTCAACGGTCCGCTCAGCTCTCTTCAGCGTCTCTTTGGTATGGCTTGTCGAGCTCCGAGCAGCGAAGGACTCCTGTGTCACGGTAGACGAATCGGCAGAAGATCCCGATGGTGTCGCCTCCCGTGGCAGTTGCTCAACACCTTCTTGGTCCTCCTTTGGGGTCTTGCCAAGGTGTTGTGTCTCCCTGGTCATATCAACAGAGAGATCCGGGATACTAGCGAACGGATCCTCGCTGTCCTCGGACGGAAGGATATTTTTATCGTCAGGCGTGGACTTTGGTTTTTTCAGTTTACGCCATATGTTGTGTGCTTTATCAAACACCATGTTGCCCACCTGGTCGCCAATGAGTTGTGATACCGCGTCTGGGACGATGAACCCCCCGGAGCCTGATCTTTGCGAAGAGCTAGTGGGGACCGAATGCGCCGTCGAGAGCCCGACCGATCGCACTCCGTTCCAAGGGAGCCCAGCCTCATTTCCGCCGGGGTTTGGGTTGCGCGAGATCCTGATATTAGGTAGATCGCTTACCATGCCCTGGTTATCGGCGATACCGTGCCAAGACTTTTGAGAGAGGACGCTTTGCTGGAGAGACTCAGTAAGGCTGTTAGCCTCGTTGATAGCCTTTCTTATTCGTCCCATCGACTGCATCGAGTTCGTAATGATTTCGCTTAGATCGCTCCGCTCTTCGTACTTCTTAAGTCGGCTCAAAAGGTCCGGGTCCGCCTGGTGAGTTGGTACTCTAGCAAGAGGGGGGCCGTCTCGGCTCGGTGGCCGTGAAAATGGCTCTTTCGTCGAGTCCTGGAGTGAGCTTTCATCTCCCGCGGGCGCCGCTGAACTACGCTTCTCAGTGGTCTCGGCCTCGGATTCTTGAACGCTACTAAGGTCGTTCCTAGGGCGAGCTTTACTTCGAATCATCGCCATGATTTCCTCGGCAGCGTCGAAAAAATCCTGCGTTTTCATCGATGTCCTTCCCGACCCATCATTTGGGAAATCCCGAATGAACGTTTCAGGTTCCTGCGCGGGCTCGGATATGCCATTTTGATAAACCGTATCGACGCCGACATTGGCGGATAGTTGTCGATCGCGTGCCGCTGACGATCTCTGACCAGGGGTTGGTGATCGCGGTCGGAGAATCTGACGAGTAGCTAGCAGGCTATGGCGCGGCGCTTGATACCATTCATCCTGGTAGCTTTCCTGCTGCATCTGGCTCATAATGGATTGTATGCTTTCACGCGAAGATCGCATGGAGTGCGCCGCCGCAGGTGTGTCTTCCAAGCCGTAGGCGATATCGGATCGGTGAAGTGTCCGCCTTCTCTTCGGCGTGGGATCCTTGGACGGCGAGGTCCGCGGCCGCTTGCCTTCAGAGCCATCCCTCCGCGGCGTTGCCTGGTTGCCGCGGGGGTTCAGGTGCAAAAAGTGCGGAGCCTTGAAACTGCCAGAGGGCCTGGACAAGCCAATGCCGCGCCGGGGAGAGAGGAAACTGCTCGGCGGACGATGACGGCGACGTTGTACGACGAGGGGTGAGCCCTCGCGCGATAGGTCTTGATCTATCTGAAATCTAAGACGGCTCAGCGGAATTGAGTCATCCGCGGGAGCCACGTTCTCCTTATCCGTACACTGCGATTGGTCGCACGAGGTTAGGGTAATATCTTCGTTGAATTCGTAACCATCGAGCTCTCCCGCTCCGAAGCTGAGGGTGTCGTCGCCGTTGGGGGGGAAGGTTTTCCTGGGGCTCGATCCCGTCGCCGGCGCCTTGTTCGCGCCGGCCTTTGTAGGCAATCCCTGGGTCGGTAGGGGGGAGGCGTCGCCAGCCATCGAACGCGAGGGACTATCCGTCATCTGGTCCTCAAATTGGCTTATGCGCCGGAGGAGCGTTTGGTTGGTGAACGTGTCGTACGGGCCGAATAGCTTCAGAGGACTCCCGCTCTGGCCCGAGGGTGGTTGTGAGGGCCGAAGCGGTTGAAGCGGCTGCAGCGGTTTCGCGGGACTGGGATACGGGGCGCGCGGCACGGCAGGGCTAGCCGAGGACCCTGGAGTAGATTTCCTGTCAGCAGATGCGACGCGGTCGATCCGAACGGTCGGGAATTGTTTCGGGGTGCTGGCCTGGAGCGACGACTCGGGAAGCATCTCCGACATGTCGTTGGGTGGCGGCGGGGGGCTTAGAGGACGTTGGCGAAAAGACCCCTCCCGCGAGCGGCCCCCGCGCTGAACGTTGAGAAATCCACTGTTCTTCGCGAATTCGTCCGTGCTGTCGGCCGCGCGGGGTCCCTCCGCTGCGCCGGCCGATTCCTGCTCTAGGTAGCTATCAAACTCGTAATCTAACAACAGTTGGTTTCGTCGCAGCTTCTCGAGACGCTTGCGCAGCTGCTCGGCCGGAAGCTCGACCGGCGCGAAGCTCATCTTGCCGTCGCCAGAGTCGCGGCACGATAATAGAATAGGGCTCAACCCCTCATTCCGGGCGTCGCTCTGTCCGCTAACCTTGCGCGACGGCGCCTCGAGGTGATCGCCGAGATAAGAATGGGCGGAGGCAACGGCGGGTTCCTTCTTCTCGCTAGACTCTGAATTCGCGGCCCTCGCGCGGCCTTCGCGGGGTCCGTCGGACATTTGTCGCGGCTGCGGCTGCTCTCTCCGACTCGGCTCCTGGGGGTCGCTTTTCGTCCTGCGGAATGTCGCTTGCTTCGAGGAAGATGGGTAAGTACGTCGTCGCAGCTGGAATTTACTGGCAGGCTGGTCCGGGGGGTTTTCGTCGCGCTCGCTCTCACGATGCACGGGGCGCGAATAAGGAGGAGGGCTCGACGGGAGGGTGGAGTCGTTGGCGGTGACCTCCTCGTGGTCGACGGTGTCGTCGGCGGTGGATTCCTGAGCCATCGGGGGCCGAAAGATGTTTTCGAGACCGGTGCCTGCGGAGCTAAACAGGTCCTTCGACTCTCCATAATTCAACTCGCCGTAGACGAGGCGCCTCTTCCACTCGGGCACGTGTTCTCGAGCCTTGGAGGGCGAGCTGCTCGGGGCCTTGTTGTGCTGGACGGTGTCGTGGAGGACGGATGCGACAGTAGAGGCCGACGACGCAGATCGGCTCAGGTAGCGTCCCCGCTGTAGGAACCTGTTCTCCCTCGGAGGTTTTGCGGGGCCGCGCTGCTGCGCTCCTTGGATGTTAATATCGTTAAGGCTGCGCTCGTTCAAAGCGCCGGCGGGCGATGAGGATGCTAACGGCGGCGGTGCCGTCGTTGGCGCGGGGGATGTTGCGGTGGTGATGGCGCTGGTATTGTGGGCAGAGTTGCGCGCGGATAGCTGCAGCTTTCTGGCGACGTTATTCCCCGGACTCGGATTGAATCTGGGTATGCGACTAAGGGGCTCGCGCGCGCTTCTGTGGCTCAGGTTCGCCCGGGAACTGGAGAGGCTGGGAGATCGCTCATGCTCCTGCTCCTGCGAGGCATCAGAAGCGGGCTGGGACACCCAGTCCTCGGAGAGCGAGTCAAGCCAGGCGTGGCCCATGGTGGGCAGGATAGGCAGATAGATTCGCGCCGCGCGTGGTGTGGTGCGTGGTGGTATGGATACGGCGAGAGGCAACGGCGAAAGGTACCGCGAATGTATGGTAGGGATCAGACACGAGCGAGGGGGCCGAGGGGGCCCATGAAACCACCGGAGACCTTCGCGTCGCAGCCGACGGTATTATCTCCCAAGCAGCACCAGGACCACAAATTCGAGGCGCCGTGCGTAGGTATAGGTACCGTGTGGTTTAGGCAGGTTAGTCTGGTCAAGGCCAATGTTGACAATCATGCGTGGGGCCGTCAATCAACCGGCGCGTCAGCGATGGGCGATGCGTATGTATGTATGTGTATCCGTGTGTATGTATAGGTATGCGCGCTGGTAATGAATGCCGTGCTGGCGTCTGGCCCCCCCGTATTGTATATGTGTATAATCGGCAGAGTGGTACCTCTTCGCTGCTCGGGATGGCTAAGGCGGACTGGGGGATCGATCTCTCGACCTTGCTCCCACCCCTCCTCGCTCTCTCGCTCCCCCTGGCTGGGCGGACCTGTTTCCCGCTTCTGGGCTCGGGCACGGGGCTCGGGCCCTTGGGGCTGCTGTCGTGAGGCTGAAGGGTTGGAATCTGTCATGCACACAATATCGTTCCCAAGTTCCGGCGTTGACCAATGTTCATCGTCGCTTGCAAAGAAATAATTCCCCCGACTGCGGTATCGTGTCAAAAATAGGTAGGCTGGGAAGACCAGGGTGGGCCAGAGCGAGGGCGAAATAGGATGTGGAGTGGTAGTTGTGCAGTTGTCCAAGGTCGGATTGGAAGAGGGACGTGTGGTGCGGATGGATGGATGGGAGGTAGGGATAGGTCTGTGGATTGTTATGGGCGCGGTACGGATGTTTTGTGGATGTTTTGCGGGTGTGATGTTATGAAGTGGACGGGATATGCAGAACGAGGAGGGAAATGGCCTTGATTATGCGGCGTGTCGTGCAGCTGGTTGATTGGCGGGTGTTTTGTTACCAACGACCAGGATCGCGACCAGGTTTTTTCTTTCTTTCTTTCTTTTTAATGAAGTACCCAGGATATGAGAGGTACCTAGATATGCATAAATTCAGGTACCTACAAGGTATGCCAGTACATATCTTAGCCTTGTCAAGCGGGTACTTACTTCTATCTTCATACACTACACTGATACCCTCTGATGTGTACTAGATACCTGCCCATTACTAGGTTACGTAGAGATCAGGTACCTATACCATGCTAGTACGTCAGGTCTAGCGTCCAGGGGGCCAACGGGTACCCAGCCTAGATATGTACCTTCTCTGTATAGCAAATACATTCATTCAGCTAGGAGATGAGCTAAATAGCGAAGACTACCAAGTAGCGCTGTTAGGAATCGAACCTATCCTTCCTTAAGTAACGTACTGATCTCTAGGGAAGGAGGTGCCTTAAGTAGATCTACCTACTTCCTCCCCTCAGCCGTGTAAGTACCTACCTGCCTACGGACTCATAATATATATTAAGTGCCTTAGGTATCTAAGTAGGTAGGTACCTAGTTAGGTACCTACCTATGCACGCGGCAGCTGCACGCCTAAGGCAGGTACGGAGTGCTCCTTGGCAGATCGGGACCCCAACGGAATCGCACCTGCACAGGATTATCTGCTTCCGCCAAACACGGAGCAACACGTTTCGGGTCTTGCCGGTTTCCGTAGCAACATTTCCCCCCTGCCTAAGCCCCGATCTCCCAGCCTCACCAACAGTACAAGCCACAGATGGTGACCACTTGCGAAGCCACCTACTATACGATTACCTAACGATCAAGCCCCCCCCCGTTGTTACATAATCAACTTCAATTAACGCGCTCCAGTCGCGTCGTCGCGACAAAACCCGCGCGCCATGGTACCACGGCGGGCCTTCATCAGCCACATGGGTACAGTACATGCTATTACTACATACATCAGGGACTGTGCCCATTACTACACCACGATACTACGACAACATCCGCTGGACTCCGCTTGTACCTACAGAATTCATTTCCTGGCGGGGAATCCTAACACACCCATCTTCTCATTCCTATCTAGGCTCCTGAACGGGTGCCCGGCGATAACTTCGTCTATCCAATACATCCATACACACACACACTCGCATACACCCTCCGCTCCGTCTACCCACCCGGTAGCCGCCCTGCGACGCAACAGGTATTAAAACCAGCCCCCTCCCCCCTCATTCCCTATCTCCTCCACAACAGTCCCCGTCTTGAAATGGATTCATCAACCCATCATCACCCTGCCAACCCCAGACCCCGCCGGAACCCCGTTAATATTGATATTGACGATGTCCGATGATGGTGTCGATATGACTAATCGTATGGGCTCCTCAGCCTCAGGAATGGGATGCGATTGAAAGACCATTGGACAAACATCGTATTGGATTGCCTTTAAGGAAACCATGGAAGAGGACAGCATCGATATTGAGGCGTGGAGGCGAGTCCGCCTTGCCGACGAGCCCATCTATTGCGCTGCGCCAACACCTGCGAACCCGATCGATATTGTATGTGCCGGGTCCGACGACGAGCTCGATGATTCCGCCAAAGTCTCAAAGAAACTCCGGTACGAAATCCAGGGGCACCGATACTTGGAAGGCAAACCTATACGTATCCATTCTGCCTCCTTGCGCGGCCCCTTCGACAGACCCTCGGGATGGCAGAATCCCTGGCTGCCAAAACAACCCGCCGTCAAGCAATCCTTCCTCAAAGCGGCCCGGCCCCCGGCCAAGTCCCTTACAACGGTCGAGAAAGACCCCCGGAGGAGGTGCTCTAGTCAATTCGCACAACAGGACGAGGCGACGCCGGATACCGGAGATTCAATGCGCTGCCACTTGCCCAGCCCCGGCAGCAACCCCGAGCCCCAGCTGTTCGGCGGGCCTCTAGACGCGGACAAACATGGTCGGATACGGGCTTGGGCCAAGGGAGTGTCGGTAGAAACCCTTAACAGGGATGGCTTTTGGGCTCCCGGCCAGACTGTCGCCCGGGAGCCTGGAGAGCCCAGCAGGAAGCGAACCGCTGACAAGGACTGGCTCAAGACAAAACTGCCAAAACGTTCAAGATTAGAAGGCTTGCAGAGTACCGCCGCGGTATCTACACCCACGCCGATGCCATCGATACAGGTTCCAGTTCAACATTCCGCAGTTTGCGCCGTAATTGGCCAGGTTAAGGAGTCGGGTCCCTCCGCGAAAACGGCCAGTCAAAGCTTCGAGATGACTACCCCCTCTTCCTCTGCCGACCTAAGCGGCCAGGGACGGGTACCACAACAAGAACATGTTGATGCTTTAACGACTTCGAATGACGCCAGCAATCGGTCGCCGGTACACAGCTTGGATCACGAAGAGACACGGCCAGATTCCGAATCAATTAATTGCCCCGAGAATATTTCTTGCGATCTGAATCGCGAGGAGGAAGAAGAGACGAGCTTCGAGAGTCGCCTAGATCAGAGCTTCCATTATCGAGCCCGGCTGCCAAAGCAGACGGCTTCTCGCGCGACAACGGATCCCAAACTTCCCAGCTCGAGCGCCCGTAAGAGACCATCGCAGACTGACACTCCTGAATCCATGCGATATCATGACGTGGTGGGCGTCGCGGCCTCGGCGGTAAAAGACGGGCCTCGATCCCCCCGGCAAACAGTGACGGAGTCGGGTTCTTCTCCAAACAATTCGGCCTGTGAACAGGATATCAGTGCTAGCGCCCGAAGCGGGAGTTGCGCGTCTGTGTTATCAGCGTCGGAGAGATCGTCTGAAGGCCACCAGGATTTGAAAGATGACAAGCCGTACGAATGCGACGGGCCACCGCTAGAAAAGGCCACCACGGTAGCTGAAGCAGAGCCATCTCGGCTCGAAGCACCGTTAGATGAAGAACCTACCCTGGTCGGCGATCTCATGAATATCGACCAGGACGAGCCGCACTACATGGAGGAAACGCCCGCCAGCCATAGAGACAACGTCGCGAAGACAATAGAACCACGTGCGAGGATGGACGACGGGACAAAGCAAGAAGCAGCACAAAGATGTGCGATATCGCCATTGTTACCATTAGAGCAAGATGCCGATCATGTCAGTGACAATTCCCTGGAGACAAAGTCAAAGGTCGAGACCCGAACAGAGACCTTGTTCCCCGATGCTACGAAAGCCCCTGAGGACGATGTCCCAGCCCAGACTGCGCCTTTGCAGTCCCCCCAGCAAGTTGCGCAACAGAGTCCTTCGCTAGTCCCTGAGGCCCGCCCAGAGGCTGCTCCATCAATCGAACATGTCCAGCCAAAGCTGGCTGACAATGCGGCCTCGCCTTGTCCCTCCTCACCCAAGTCCATTCACCCAAGCTCACAAACGCGCAATCACGAAACGACCTCTATCAGGCCCTCTCAGCAGAGCCCTTGGGTCAAAGAGTCAGTGGAACCGACGAGTACACATAAAAGGCCTCAATCGGCCGCGACCGCAGATATCGTCAGTCCCGTCAACATTGCATTGGATACAACACACCCCGAAGAACCCCAGAATCCGTGGGAAACAATCGTAGACACCATGCCTCACCACAACCTCCCAGCTGCCCCCCCCACGCCCGAAGGGCCTCTCCCGTCACCTACGCCAGACGCGGCCGAGCGCGCATCTCGCGCGCACACCCCCGACGAGACCGACGTGCTGATCAGGCGATTCGCCAACTTCCAGACACCCTCCCCGAGGCGTCCGGGAGAGGCACCTCGCTGGCCGACCGGCTCCGCCGATCGCCCCCGCGGCATCCTCTCCCGCAGCGACTCCTCCGGTCAAGAGCCCAGCGCGCGGTCGAGCCGACACGTGTCCTTCGCCCCGCTGCCGGCCGAAGGCGAGTCGTTCTCCCTGTCGGGGACGCACGTGCACACCATCCCGAGGGGCGCGTCGCCTCCGCCCCCGGCGCCGTGCGAGGCCGACGACGACGACGTCGGCGAGCACTTCCAGAACCACTTCCGCAGCGCAAGGCGGCGCTTGAGCGGCGGCGCCCGCGAGCCGCTACCTCGGTTGCGACTACTCCGCAGCGCAGCGCTGGAGCCGGAGCCGGTCTCGGCCGCGAGCCCGGGGATCAGCGCGGTGGCGGACGCCTTCCACGCCGCCGACGCGCACTACGCGTCGTGCGGGGAGCGCGGCGGCGCCGCCCCAGCTAGGGACGCCAACGGTGACGCGGCCGGCCCAGTGCAGTCTCCGTGGCGCAACGAGAGCCAGACGGTGGATGACGTCGCCGACGTCATGGGGAACCTGGGCGACTTCCTCGGCACCTGGGACGTCGAGGCCGAGATGCAGCAAATCGGGCACGAATCGAACAGAGCGGCCCAGAGCCCGTGGGGCCTGGGCCAGTAAGAGAAACACTGAGATGTAAAGGCGAGAGGACGGGGGTGGGGGAGGTAAACGAGAAACGAGATTGGGCTCAAACAAGGAGAGAGGGGAGGGGCGCGAGAAAAAGTCAGCGCTGCTTGATACCCATACGTGCTTCATTTTCGGCTCATTTTCGATACGGTTGGGAGTCTGGACGGGGTCGGGCAGGTACATGAAAAACAGCCATAGTATAGCGCGGCCGGGCCGCTTCCTAGCTTATCTCATCGCTCGTTCCGTGTAGCCATGCGTGAGGAGCGATTTGCTATCCATTATATACGATGGGCTTACACTTTTCTACTCCTATATACGACTAATGCTATTCTGATGCCGTGTCCCTGTGCCCAAAGATTGAGTGCCATCGCCAACCAGGCGTTGATAGCGCCCGCGCTCCCCTCGCGAAGTGTCGAGGCAGCGTTCGTTGATCGTGAATCCAACAGGTGGTAACGAGCCCGGGCGGAGTCTGGGATGTCGAAGGACAAACTGGGACAGATCTCTTTAGTACCTCGATGTGCCCAACGCTCCCACCCACCTATCATCTGTTCGAGTAATATCTATTTTGGACGATAACAGGCTCGTATTCACACCCAAAATGCGACAACGTGGCCAGCTCTAAGAGGTGACACTACACGAGAGCCAGAGTCTCTACACTCACGGGTGCCGTATGTAGAGGTCCCGCCCGAGCTGCTGTGATATAGGAAGGGAGCCGGCATTCGTCCGTGAGTTCGTAGCGTCTGCATGGCGCCACTCCGGGGAAGCGCCGTAAACGCCCCCAAGAGTCTCTCGCCGCCCAAGCGTAGGTGGAGAAGGGATGCGTCCGATAGAATGACCGAAAATAATAAACAACATGTCGACTTGTGGTCCGCCTCTCTTCCACCAGTCAGCGCCTTATCTAACTGCCGCCCCCGCCACAACTGCGGACGATCTCGCGTGCCCCCCGCCTCCCTTTATATGCCGATAGCCACATCACCGCGTCGGGCTTGGCGAGTCGACCTGTCAGTTCAGGCCCGATCGATCGATTGGCGAGTTCTCCATGCATGTAGGTTGGATGCGTATGTATGTATGTACACGGTCCCATAGGCCCTCAAACCCGCAGCATCGTCAACGAGACCCATCGACCCGAAAGGGGTAATTCCTCGATGGGCACTATCCAGTTGCTAGTTGTTACGGAATCAGTGAGGTTGTCAGTTGGTGTTGTGGGATAACTCAGCCAGCCAGACTCGACACGTTCCCTTGGTTCCGAATTATCTGACACCTTCCCGGTGACGCCAGCAAATCTCTCCTTCAGGCCCTTTGCCGCAACAGCTCCCAGCGCTTTCAATGTCCCTGTCGCCATGATCCTCGAGGACGCTGGGCTGCACACCCAATGCTTGCTTCCACTATCCTCAGAGTCTGATAGCCATGAGGGAGTCTAGTCCGGTCTGCGCCAGTGTCATTGACGTGTCGAGGTCCTCCTCGGCCTTAAGCATGAGACCGAAGACTTGAACGCCGATTTTGTGCGCCAGGTATTCCACCGTCTGCGCCCCGTCCAACGGCTCGGCCTTTTTAGCCAGCTACCTGGGCTAGAAAAGCAGTCAAATCGTTGGGGGCCTCTTTCTTGTTGGTGTGTTTCTTCGCGGGCATTGTGATAGAACCCCATCCCCCGATCCCGCCGCCAGTTCGTGCGCGCGGTGGGGTCCTATAGATCATCTTCGGAATGCAGAGACCCATGACTATCTAGCCAGCACTAGACCAAGGATCCTAGCGATACCCGTCATCCAGGCCACTTTCATACAAGGGCGTGATGTGACGATCGCGAGGTCCAGGAGGTCCAGGAGATTTGGTTCGTGCAAGAATAGATGCCCTATGCCTTCATATTCTTCATGGCGAACATGCTGTCAGCGACAAAGCCAACACCTTCAATTAGGCAGATGATGATCACCGTTGCTAGGAGCGACTGAGACCTCCTATACTAGAAGACGGCTTCCAAAAACGCATTCGAAGCGCTAGGTATATTCTCAGTGGTAGAAGCAGCAATATCGCGAAGCACTTGGAACTTGCGTCCGTAACTGACGCCAACCTGACCCATAGCCCGATACCATCTCGATTCTGGGACGTTCCTGTTAGTTCATCCATCGAAATTCTGGGGGGTAGATATTGAAACTCTGTGACCGCCTTGATCTGTCCTTCGCAGTGCCCGGTCCACGCAGAACCACTGTAAGACATGGCACGAAATTGAAACCAACTTGGGCGAATGACATTGTCCTAGGAGTAACGAGGAAGATCTGCCAGTGCCTTTCCTGGCTGGAAGATGGATTGCTAGTTCACAGACATCCCGTTCCGGTAGAGTTATCCCAGTGCCGAAGTCAACACGTGTGAACAATTTGCCCCGCGAATTCTTGTGGGTATCATTATATAGCGGAATTCGCTGCCCAGCTCGGATAATATCTGGAGGAGCGGTCCTAAGAGCGCCGAACGAGGGACGATCTCCGAGAACAGGCATCTTTGATGCTGCTTCATTATCTGCTGGACGGTGGTATTAAAGCGCATGCGTGATGTTAGGTTAGTAATCCAGTAATCTGGGCTAGGATCGTTGCTATTGGAAATACCCTCCTCGTTGATGGAGGAGAAGAATGGTATTACCTTAGTAAGCTGCCCTCCATAGTGTTGATTTCCAGATCTCTCCTCTAACAGCGCTCGATACTCAACACCAAACTATTCTATATGGCCTGGAAGGCAGAAGTCTTCAGCATATGTTATGTTCTAGACAATAGAAGATGACGTATCCATCCGTGTTTTCCTTTGCCCAGCCGGCCCTCGTCCATTCCTCCTTCATGGAAGCCCAGATACTTACTGTTGTGGTGAGGCCATATCTACATTCAGTCTCCTCGTGGGAATTCCAGGCATGTTGACATTTATCGATTCGAAGAGTTGCTTTAGGCGCTCTCATACTGCCAGAAAGTATAACGCTACTGTGACTGTTATCACAAGCGCGTATACATCATCGGCTATTTGTATTAGGTATCACGCCCAACCCTCCACACTCTAGAACTACCTAAGCTACAGGTTACTTAGGCCTAGTATCCCGTACATAGTCGGCCTCTGTCCCCTTCATGGGTGTTCCCGTAAGCGGTTTGGCGGTGGACGAGCACCGCCAGTGGATTATAGCTAGTCTTGGATACACACGCACCATATCCCGATAGATTTCCATATCCCCGTCACCAAGCCATCTCCGAGGAAAGGCTTGGCGGGAAACCCCCCGCTAGAGCCGGTTAACCCTATAGGGCGGCAGCCCGCTGTCTTAGAGACCTCCGACCGGCGGTGTGGGCGTGGCACGTATCCGCCACCTCGCCCCTTTTGAGCCAGAACTGTCCCGGGTAGGTCACGTTGAGTACCGGGCCCTCGGCCGCCTGCTTAGCGAGGTTGCCCGTGAGCTTAGGTCCGCGGGGCCCCGGCAGGGAAACAGGTGCCTCCGCCTTCGTACAGAGGCTGGTCTTTGATGTAGATCTTAGCGCCGGGCGCGGCGTTCTGACGGGCGTTGCTGATGAGCTGCTTAACTTCCGCCGGTGCCGTATGGTCCCCACATACGGGTTCCGCCCACCGCCACGTAGCCCGGGTGATGTTCTCCGCCATGGAACATCTAATGAAGCCGATAGTGCGTGTCTAGGCCGCGCCAGTGGCGACCAGAGAAAGCAATGACAGAACTATAGAACGCATTTTGTCCTCAAGTCTGAGCGTACGGTGCCGGTTGCGGTTCGGATTCCTCGTCGAGCCGTAAGAACTGTAGTCTACCTTTTACAAACCCAGAGTCCCACAAGGAAATAGTCAGTATTTGCCGTCTGAAGAGACTAGAATCCTATCGGGATTGTAACCTTACACCTCGCCTAGAAGCCGACTTCAGCAACCGACGCAGCCGCCTTCTCTCTATTCAAGTCAGAGCGCCCCTCCCGTATTATATGAAGCACTCCATCCCTTATAGCCCAGATAGCGATGGATGATACGAATAATCAGCCAGATGTTGCTAACGATTTGTTTTCGGCGAGTTGGCTATGTTTTGGGGCGCCTTGGCCCCCTGTTAAGATACAGAAAGCAGAGAACTAGCATCCATTGTGTGTTTAGCTGTGCTATCCATAATTGTATTCGTCAGCCTAGCCCTAACTCAGTTATTAATAATATTTTAGGCGCCGTCAGTCTCTTATTCTAGGCACTGGGAGGCTGCCACGATATTCCACGCTTCAACATAACGCGATCCTCAACTCTGCCCGGCTGACCAGGTCTCGGCGGCCGGATCGTGAGGCCGGCAACCCTCTACTCTTACCGGCATTACATACGGCAATCGACACCGCCACCGGCCTTCCATTCCGGGAGAGAACAAGGTAGGATTACTATTTAGCAACCCAGATGGCTCTCGGACTCAGGTTCCGGATGGTATGTGGCGCAGGCAGTCACATTAGCCGGGTGATGTCCTGCCGCGACCTGCGCCAGAGAGGCTATAGGTGTTTAAGCACGTTTGCTATAGTTCCCATCTATATTCTGGTCCTATGACGATCCTAAATACGAAGAAGAAGAAGAATGGGAAAGTAGAAGGCCAAAAAAGCAACAAAGAACAATATGTTCTGGCCTCGGCAAGACACCTTTTCGCATAGGAGTCATCATCCCACGAAACTAACTGCCCCTAACCATAGAAGCGAGGCACCTGCAGAGTGGTTCTTACTGCGCTTCAACTAGGGGTATGTAGGGCTAATTGCTCTGCGATATCTAAAAAGGAAATAGGGGGAGGGAGTTGCTCTCGGATATGCAGATTCGACGCGGCATTATCTTCTAAAAACGGTGGGCTAGCGAGGGGGGAGACGCAGAAGGACGGAGAGACGCTCAGAGGAGTGAAACCTTTAGTATTACTGTCGCCACTCTAATCGGTTGGCCTTTGGCTTAGGTTTCAGTACCGGACCACCGCCTGAGCCGAGACAAGACAGGCTCGCAATGGCTTTCGCCGGGCTAGAACTGCAGGGAATAAATTCCACGGGTTGACCCCAATATACGATTCCATCCGTATAGCTACGAGGCCATGATACCTGATGCGTACCCACGCCAACCAGGAGAAAAGGGGGTGCGGCCCGGGTGTTTTCTTACGTGAACAGACAGCAAGTACAGCTGCGCTCCGCCATCACAACCCCACTGCAGTATATTCTAAAGCATTCTGAATTCTTATCTACTCCCGTTTTCACGTTAAGGAACAGAACGGCTAATTATATGAGCCCGTGTATAGAATGTGAGTTAATCCCTAGCATGAGACGCTGGGTACCCTTTATACCGAAGTAATATTGAACCAACGCGGAATTTAAGGGAGCGGATAGGTGTAGAGAAAGTTACACTGGCTGGGATGTATTATCTTGTAGCGATATGATCCCCATGACCCCAGTGTGTAGTAATAATTCGAAGACTTCGGCTTGGCCCAACCCGGTTCGGTTCAGTTCGGTCCTCCGTCCAGTCCGCATAATACTTCCTACCTGGCCGCCCCGGCTTATTAAGGACACAGCATGAAGGCAGAGAACTGCTAAAAAAATATCTTGAGTTTCTAGCTCTCTCTCGCTAGCGCCCATTAAGCACCACGACTTTGGTAACCTAGCCACGGCTGGCTGACTAACGGTAAAGCAGCTTGTTTAACCTAGAAGCCGGTTCGTCCATCAGCTTTTCGATGAGCTAGCTCTCTTAGACACGCATATTCAACTACTAAGCGGGACAATGGGCAGATCTTGATGGAGGCTATGCGCGGGCTATGGAGGACTAAAGTGAAGTGATGGGGCTGACAAAACCGGCACAGCCGACACCGACAGAGCCTGTAGTCAGAGGACGGCCATGCATACACCCTTCCCAGAGGATTGCCGACTATGTACCCATATAATACCAGCGCCAGTCGTGGGGCCATCGCCCCCAGCTACCCTCCTATTCAACTTCCCGGGAGCTGGAGAAGTCAGGACTGACTTGAGGAAGCAATATATCTGAGCCTGTCTCCCCCCACCCTTCATTCGTCTAGCCCGCCATTCTACTCCTTCCGGCTCACTCTCACCGAAACGGGGGCCTCCCTTTCACTCGCGTTAGGAGGGTGACAACGATAGAACATCCCCAAGAGATTATACCTATGTTAGCTTTCTTGGAGTCCTTCCCGACAGGCGAAGGAAGGATGACGACTGGCCGGGATGGCTGCGGATACACCCGCGCAACTACCGGAGAGGGGAGTGAAGATATAGACTTCTGCATCCCATCAACGCGGGAGAGGGGATTACCAACTAACTATAACCTCGTGGCCTGGATAGACTTACGGTACAGAGAAGGGGGATTCATGGTGGCCAAATAGAAAGTCGCGAGATAGCCCCTGCGAGTAGAAACCCGCCTTCGGCCGCAGGCTGTTCAAGGCGAGGTTGTAGAGGGCAAACCCCCACGACTGCATGCATGCCGCCTCGGTAATGTAGGTAATATTATAAAGGGGTCGAACAAAACAAAGCACGACCCAATCCGACAGTCTGGTATTAATAACAGTCTGCCCGCCTGTCTGCCTGCTTACCTGCACAGCTATTGGCAATAAATAAGAAACGGTAATACCATCACATGTCAGCTCCAAACAGTGCAGGGCCAATCAAGGAGACCATTGCGAATGAAGCCTCGTTACGCGGTCTAGCAAATAGTGAAGAGCGTCAGCGACGCCCTACATACATACGGAGTTATTCCTGGATGCTGTGCTCACGGCACGCAGGTAGTCGGTTTGCAAACGGATAGATCTGTATATTCCCTGTCAGCCGGTAACCGCCTGCACACACCGGGTCCGTTGCACCGCATCCGGCTCGTGGGGGTGCGAGCGTTCCCGCCGCTGGCCTAGATCTCCCTGACACGCAGGGGGGCCGATTCCTTGCGTGGTTCCTTCAACCCGTCGGGCAAGCTTATCAGTACCGAACAACATGCAAGAGGCGCAACCGGCACATGTGAGAATTGCAATCTCGTGGTAGCGGCGAGGGCACGATAGGATGGATTATGTACTACGACAGACCACATCGTCTGCTCGAGGGGGTAATCAGAGGGGGAGGAGTGCGAAGGGGAGGAGGGATACGTTTGCGGCGTGGTCGGCGCGATTAGCACGGCTCGGGCTCAAACCTACACGCATTAGCATCGTTGCAGGTGAGTAGCACCTACGTGGTGTGCCTGAACACGAAGATATCCATCTCCGGCCGTCCTAATAAAGTTGATCGCTTACACGTGGCGGCGGCCATCGCTAGTTCCGGGCTTAGCTGGGAGACAAGTTGCGCATCCTACTAGGACTAGGCAAGCCCTACGGAAGATGGGGAGGGTCTGATCGGCGCGGCGCTTCCTCGTTAAGGGTCGTCCGTAGAGGGCTGGTGAATTGGCGGCGGGATGGTTCCTCCACTCGTCGACGGTGGTAGGCTGGCGATCCTGTGGGATTGCCGTGTGCGGCAGGGCGTGCTGCGTGCAAGCAGCGGTGAGAAGTCGAATGGAGCGATAACGCAATATAGGATACCGCGTTTCCCCATGTCTAGATCTTGGGATCAGCCGCCCGAGTTGGATTCCGAGACTGGGGGGGGGGGGGGAGGGCTCTGAAACAGGCAGGCAGTTGTCGGTGGCCTCCATATCATTCGCCTTTCCCCCAGGTTCCAGGCCTCTCGACCATGCACCCTCCTCTCGTGCGGGGGGGGAAGAGGGGGGCCATTTTGTGAAAGCTGATCTGCATTTCACAATTCCACGGCAGACCTCAGTCAGCTTAGGCAGATTGACCGGACTGTACGCCACGAAGACGCATGTCTCGACGGTGCAACCCGCTAGCATCTGCACTCATTCATCCAGCCATCCAGCCATCCAGCCATCCCGACTTTCCTCCCTCCCATCCCCTACTCGTGGGCGGCACGTCCGCCCGGGCCTTCAACGACGACTCCGTCTATAGTTGGGGAAACATATACTGCTACGAGCAGACGCCTGCTCTGTCATAAGTTGGCTAGGACAATCGAAGCCGGGCCAGATGGGAAATCAGCAATACGGCGTCCGTTAAGGTGCAATGACGTAGAAATGGGGTGATGGGAGGGAGATATAGGGGCAGCCAAGGAACATCGTCGAAGCTTTACTCCGTCCCCGGGTCCAGCCTAGAGACATTCCTCCCTCTTAGCGTCCAGCGCGATATTTGAACGGCGGTGCCCCCCGCAGCCGTCTGTCGCCACTGGACGAGTTCGAGAGAGTACTCATAGTCCGAAGGAAATTTGCCTAAGATCAGCCCAGCTGCAACCGAGCCGTCCCACCCCGCCTCCGCGTGTAGCAAGATGGCCTACATATCGCCATCGTCCCACCTCGCACAGCACTTTTAGCCCGTGTATCCGGCGTCATCTATATACTGGCCCGGGACCAACTGGCTGGGCGGGTGGCAATTCCCAAGCAGGTACCTACGAGCGGATGGCACAATAGCGATTCCCAAACAGCCCGCGTAGCGTGCAGCGTGGCGAGCGTGTCACGGCCCGGACGAAGCATTTCGTGTGCGCCGTCGTCGCCATAGGGAGGGAAGAGCGGGGTGGGGGGGAACGCCAATCGCAGGGAATAGGTAGACGGCCAGAGTTGATCGATCCGGGCCACTTCTCCCTGGCCTAATTTCCAGCCAGGACTACCAGCCGGACAGAGACGGGTCCGTACGGACACGAGGAGGATCCCCTAACCCCGTTTCGCCGGCTGGACCTAGCTAGACGCTTTGGGTACTCATAGTCAATCGCTAACGTCGCTGCGGCACATGGAGACGTCGCGCCCGCCGGCTAATAGGCAGAGTTGGGGCGGGCCATGCTACGGTGGTTGACCGGTCTAGAAATGTCGGCGGACGAAAAGGGAATGGGCCACACCGTAGTCATGCTCTAAAGAAGAAACGAAGACGATATGTCAGCTTCGAGGTGGTTACAGGGGCCGCCGTCGGGTGATCTTGGTCAATCATGGATGAGGGGAAAAGGGTCCAGAACAGCATTGCGACACCACCAAGACGGGGGGGATCCGGTGTTGCTTGACCCTGGGAGAGAGAGGAAATCCGGGCATGAAGCAAAAAGGGGGAGAAACTGGGGGAGGCAGAGAAACGGCTAGGCTCCGAGCGGCTTAGCGCCGACACGGATGGGATTCAAGGCATTGGCAGAGCACGTTCGAAATTGTGGATTCCCGTTCTCGAAGCTCGCCCTTCTTGCAGGCCACGACTTCCGCCATGTTTTACCTGCATGTGTACATACCTCGCATACGTATGTGCTACGTAAGGTATGTGTGTGCGAGGTGGGCAAGCAGCTTCCTCTTGCGGCGGGTCGAGGTAACGGTATACATGGGTATCGAGGTACCTGGGCGTACATACCTACGTACTGCGGTACATAGTAATAGTCCCTACACTATAGGCCTATTGGTGCCTCCTAACTGCCATTAGTATTGTTACTATTACTGTGTAGCACGTAGGTAGGTAGGTACCTAGGTAGGTAGGTACCTAGGTAGGAGGTATGTAGGTAGGTAAGCGACCTACTACGCCCGCCTCAGGTTAGGTAGGTACCTACCTAAGGCGTCTAGTGGCTTCGTTAGGCAGGCTAACGAATGGGTTCATAGGGGATGGCTGCTTTCTGCCTTTAATTACCGTCCTCTGGCCGGAATCCTGATTGGATTTACCACTGCCGGCTGGATAAGCCGGACTACCTAGAAAACGAATAGTCCAAGATATGGAGATGCCTACCCCTGAGGTTGGGAGGTTATACTGAGTACCTACCTATATCTCATTAGTATGCCGACTCGCAGGTGCCTGGTACTCACTCCTCCCTACCTCGGGTACCGTATGTAGGTCTCTCTCCCAGGTACCTAGATACAGATGTACACACACCTGCGTGCAGGTACCCAGGTAGATACGTAGAAGGCAAGATTCAAAAGGGGAGCGCCTCGTCTGTCTCACCTCGCCTGTCTCACCTCATCTCCGGGACATGTTCGTCGGGCTGCAAAACCCATTTGTCCCCTTTCCTAGCTCGGATTGCGATCGCAGCATAAGGCATATACATATGTACATGCTCGCGGGCACCTCCTCCCTTCATCCCGGGCTATGACGTATACGTGATGCGCCCGCCTTCGGGACCGCCTTTAGTGGGTACCTGTGCTCTGGGAAGGCGTGAGGTCCCGCCAGCGTCGCCCAGTCTTCTCACACGTACCACACAGACGTAGGCCGGTACCTATCTGGTGTACCTGACGCATACGTCCATATATGGAAGATACCTAGGTAGGTACCTCCTAGGTATCTACCCCTAGTATACGCGCCACAACCCTTCTAGGGGGGGGGCTTTCTTTCTTAGATACGGTACCCAAACACGCCATACATCTATGCGCGCTATATTGGTCATCTCAGTAGGGGGATGGTACCTTAGGGACCTCCTTGCGGTTACTGGCCTCGCCCTGAGGTAGCAGTTGAATGATGTCTGCTTACCTCAGGCGGCCGCCTCATGCTGTGTAATTACGACCTATTTCTAGGCCATGCACTATGACAAAAAAGTTTCACCGAGTCGTCAAATCCAAGGGTCCTCCCTCCTCTCCTTTCTCCCCTAATCTTCCGCCATTTCGTCATCGAGGCTGGAACCCTTTATTTTTTATTCCCACCATTTCCCTGTCCGTGGGATTACCTATATGTACCCTCTTCTTTTTTTCCCTTTGCTTCCTTGTTCTCGTCCATCGACCACGACCAGGATAACACAGCAACACCAGACTGGAACCAGGGGGCCGATTAAAAACAAAATACACGTACTGCGTCCGTGACACCCTCTCTCTGCCCTCCCTTCACTTTCCCAGAGGAACGAGAAGAGCAGAAAGAAAGAAGAAAGAAGCCACACTACCGCTACGAGGTCGGTCGGGGCTATCTCCAGAATTTCCTCACTACTGCGCTGCTGGCCCGGGATTAGAAGGCGGAGACTCCCACTATAACAGGAGAAGAACGTATGTGCTGCGTAGTTCTCGACGATGATGCTGGGCAGAGAGACAGGAAACGAACCCACAGCCGTTGTTATTTACACCCCGGCCTTGGTCACTTCAAGGGCGTTCGGGAGACTCCCAAGAGGGCGTTGTATGTGTGTGTGTGTGTCTCGCGCCCCGTAAACCCCTTGCCGCCGTCGCAAAGCAGCACCATCGAATCGCAGATCATTACCTCACGCGACAATTCCTCTCGCCCTATTAGGGTCCAGAAACTCCCGTAGTCTCTTCCCCCTAGGACACTTCAATAACACCCCCCCCCTTCTCCAGACCTACCTTTAAGTACCTGCACGAGAACGCCAACTCGACCCAGCCCACTCCCCTTGCCTTGCTCAAGTCAGGCAACCCGAGAAGCGCGAGACAGAGAGAGAGAGAGAGAGAACGCCGCGCCCCGTCCGTCCTTCGCCCTTCTCAAGCCAAGACGCACTCATTCGCTCTATTCCCTGTGCCACCAAGTTTAGCACGTCTCAGTAGACAGACCATCAGTGGTCCAGGCCTGGCTTCGCTGCCTCGGGATTCTATTTCCAACCGCCCCCCCCCCCCCCCCCCCCCGGCCACACAAAAAACGCAAAAGGATTGCCTGAAGTCCGAAAAAAAGAGCGGCGGGAGAGAAACGAGAGAGGGCCGATCCTGCTACACCCAACCGACCCTCCACTTCTATACATATCGGTACACGCACACACATCTGTATTTCCCTTTTCGGCGTATTGTCTGCGTCATCAGGAGAACCGGGCTCCGTTCGTCGTCGGCTACATAGCAGCTGGCTTATTCGCGTTGCGGCTGTGAAGAACCGGTGCCGCCGTCGACCTTCTCCTCGACCTCATTCACCACCGGGCCCCCCCCCTCCCCACGTCTCAGCCACACAACCGCAGGGAGAACAAGAGTGACCGACGAAAAAGATTCAAACCTGTCCACCCGCGACGTACCGACACCGCCATATAAGATCCCCGACGGCTAGGAAGTGGGTTACCCTTGCCCATGAGCGAGAGCGAGAGAGAAGAGCCACGTCCACTACTGTTCACCATGTCGATCTTGTAAGGTGCGCTGCATCAAACTGTTGACATGGGACGAAACGGTTGGGCCACCCATAGAAACGACGCCATTCGCAGGATGAGAATGAGGATGGCACCAGATCCGACCACGAGAAATAACGACCGCGCAGCAACCACCATAGCGACGCCCCATCACTACACCATGAAGACGTCCTCGAGGCCCCCCCTCATCTCGTCCCACTCCCACTCCCTCTCCCTCTCTCGCCATTCCCAGGCCAATATACAATCATTCCGCGCTAATCGGACCACCACCCCGCTGGCCTCGCCGTGTCCTCCTCATTCCGTCGGCCAGCCGTATCCACCAAGTACCAAAGCATCCCCCGCCGTGCCCGAGGTTCGATCGCCGAGCCCCAACTACTTTGGCCTCAACGTTGAGGATTCGACGGCCGACGTCCGAGACTCGGCCGTTGCTCCTCTCGACCACTGGAGCCCGCCAAGCTCATCTGTCAAGTCCTTCGGCGCCGCCATACCCAAACAGGTGCCTCTCGACGCCAACCCGGAGTTTGAGGCCTTTCGGCGTCAGGTTGACGCGAACCGAGCCAAGGGTTTCAACCTAGGTAGCGCTCATTTTGCCACGATCCAATCCCCTCTATCGACGAGACCCAGGCCGCTGCGCTTGCCGACTAACCACAGCGACAACGTCTCGGAGATTTCTTCGACCAGGCCCTCGAGCAGCAAAGCTCTCGATGGCGCGGGAGCCCGGATGGATGTCGACACAGACAGTCTACACGACTCGGCGTATGTATCATCAGACTCGAAGAGAAATTCGGAGGTATCGCTGAATACGCCATCATTTAGCCACCTGCCCCGTTTTGAGTCTCCTGCTCAGGTCGATTCGCCCTTCGAACCAATACGCAAGACTACAACGTTGTCCAAGGCTGACGATCGGCACCCGCGTTTGTCGCTACCCCAGGAAAAGACGGAGCAGCTAACGGAATCCGGGAAGCCCCGCGCTGAGACGGTGCCAGCAACGCTCGACGGCACCCCTGGTCTCCTTCTACCAAGCCAGCTAGGGGAGATGCTCCAGAATACCCCCGAGGACAGCATACTCTTGCTAGATGTCCGTGTGTCTACCCAATATGCCCAATCACGGATCCGCGGCGCCCTGAATCTCTGTATCCCCACGACCCTACTGAAGCGTGCTACGTTCAATCTGGAAAAACTGCAGCAGACCCTCCAGACCGAGGAGGACCAGCACAAGTTCGCGCAGTGGCGGGACGTCGAATACTTGGTATTGTACGACGGCGCTTCGACAGAGAAGCGGGATGCCGTCTCGGCAATGAATATGTTCAAGAAGTTCTCCAACGAAGGATTCTCTGGGCATCCATATCTCCTGCGGGGCGGCTTCAACGCCTTCGCACTCGATTGTCCCCTATTCATCGATCACCGGTCGGCCTCGGAACGGCCTGGCACCACAGTTACCTCGGACGGAGGGCGGCCGAGCTTCGCACCCGTGATCGGCGGCGTAACGCTGCCATCGGGTGCGAATAATCCCAACCCCTTCTTCAGCAACATACGACAGAACATGGACTTGACGGATGGTGTCGGGCAGTTGGACATTTCGGTGCCGTCGAATCTAGATGCCAGTGCCCTCCCTCGCTGGTTGCAGGACGTGACCAGGTCGTCGGACCACGGCAAGAAGGCCTCCGAGAGATTTCTCCAGATTGAGCGTAGTGAGCAAACCCGCATGAAGGAAGCCTATGCGTTCTTCAACACCTCTGCGCCTCCCACCGCCAGCTACGGAGGGGTCCGCCTGTCAGGGGTAGAGCAAGGGGGAAAGAATCGTTACAAAGACATACTCCCCTTCGAGCACGCCCGCGTCCATCTAGCCGGCCGAAAGGATGGCGCCTGCGATTACATCAACGCCAGCCACGTCCGCGCTTCACGAAGCTACAAACGTTACATCGCCTCACAGGGTCCTCTTCCGGCCACGTTCGAGGTAAGTGATGATTGCCTGGTGTAATGAAGGATCTACCGAAGCAAATTGTAGAGGCTAACATTTCACGTCAAGGACTTCTGGTCGGTGATTTGGGACCAAGACGTCCGCGTCATCGTTATGCTGACTGCTGAATCGGAGGGCGGCCAGCTCAAATGTCACCCATACTGGCAAAGCAAGGAATTCGGACCGATCAGGCTCAGGCCTCTATCCGAGAAGAAAGTTTCGCTTGATATCGACAAGCATCGGCTGGGCTCAGGAACGGCTTCGTCGTCTACAAATAATGTGTCGGCAGAGTCCGGACGGCGCCGCGCTTTTACCACGACCACACTTGAATCCGCAGCCCAGAACCCTCCACCTCAAGCACAGCCTGAGGCTCCGTACGTTATCGTGCGGAAGTTCTTGTTGTCTCATACGGCTCATCCCTTCTCCCCTATACGCGAGATCACCCAACTTCAATACGCGTCATGGCCAGATTTCGGCGCGCCAGCGCAGCCGTCACACCTGCTAGCGCTTGTCGAGCTCGCCAACCTGATGCAACATGCCGCCCTACCGGTCGACGCTAGTTCGATCGCGGCGTCGGTCGCCACCGAGAATCCGGCGCTGGCGAATTGGCTCGAGCCCGAATCGGACGCGAACGCCAGACCGATGCTTGTGCACTGCTCCGCCGGTTGCGGCCGTACGGGCACGTTCTGTACCGTGGATAGCGTGATAGACATGCTTAAACGTCAGAGGCTGGCTTCGACGAACCGGCCAGATGTTGACGGAGATGTAAGCATGGACGGAAGCCCCCCCAACCGCTATCGGGGCGCCGCCGCCGCCGGCCTCCCGGCCGGGCCAACGGTAACCTTGAACGGGGATGTCGAAAGCAGTTGGCTGGAGGACACGAGTCTCGACCTAGTCGAGACGACGGTGGAGGATTTCAGAAGACAACGTCTGAGCATGGTCCAGACCCTGCGGCAATTTGTTCTCTGCTACGAGACAGTGGTTGAATGGATCTGGAGGGTCCAGGAAAAGACCAGGGGCACCGCCGGAGGTAGGGGACGGCCTCAGAGTGAGATCTTTGAGCCCCGGAATATGGCGATAGGACATGAATGATAGGCCCGACCAGATTATATTTCCAGCCCGACGCCCGTTGCGAGATCTGGGATGTCGGGGAGACGGGAAGGAGTAGGTAGGCTCGAGGAAACTGCCTGCATTTTGCATTTGCACCAGCACCAGCATCCATCATCCATTTCCACTGATAATGGGTTCGGAAGGGCCGGATTAACCAGGTCGGGTGGATATGGCAACTCATAAGGATTCGAGGAATATAGGCGTTTCTGGATCAGCGGCATAGCATTTTTTTCCTAACCTTTTTATCTTCTCTTTTTGTTTCCACCCCCGAACGGGCCAGAGACAAATCGTTATAACTGGAAAAGTAGAGCCGGGACAAGGGAAATACGAGGGAGGGCGTGTTGGAAATAAATGCGAAGGGGAAACTTGAAACGGGCATACCTGCCTATCAGCAGCGGCCACGTCGGTGGCGCAGATATATATGTATATTATGAGTGGCAGGGCGTATCTATGCGCGCCGAGCGCAGTCTTGGTCGCGATCTTGGTCGCGCGATGTCAACTGGCATCGCTATTAGTCGGATACCGCGAGTCGTAGCGGCGAGCGCCTCGGCATCTCCGTATCTCCCTACCTAGCCATGCCCTAGGTAGCGTTCGGAGGAAGCCTGCCCAATCTATGGACTTGCTGGTACGGAGCGGGGAGAGGGGGCAGAGACACACGATATAATGCATACACACATTCTGCGTCGAAAGCTGAGGCCGGGGCCGGACGTGTATGAAGCCGGTGATCGTATGGTATTGTATATTAACGGTGAGAATCTGGACAGGCTCCGTCGCGTCGGGTTCGACTTCCTCCTGCCTGATACGTGCGGGACACGACGCCGTTTGGCCAGCTTTAGACAGTCTAGGTAGCTCGCCTACTTGAACACCCGAGCGGTCTACGTGTAGATGTAGGCATAGGGGATGTAGGCATGCAGCGGCGCACTGCATGTACGTATATATGCGCCCCCCCCCCCCCCCCCCCCCCCTCCTCCTCATCCTTCCCGCGGCCTCCTTCAATCCGCCCACCCGTCCTTATCCGGGCTCCCAACCGAACGACCAGCAGCAGCTAGGGACAGGGCGCGCCGAGGGTCGCGTAGTCCGGGGTTTCCCTGCGACGCAAGCGCGGAGACTGCTGCGTCTGTCACCTGCGATACTGACCGAGACGACCCTTACGCGGCACACGAATAGAGCCCGGCCAGCGAGGGACTTCACCAGAGAGTGAGAGGGGGAAGGGGGGGGAGGGGGTAGCGCTACGCGAATGCTACTCATTCTCTGGAAGGGGAAAGCCAAAAGAGGGAAGAGACAGAACACCACGAGGAAGCTCACGTCGATGGGAAACGATACCTCGGAGACTTCGCGGTTGGGGTCGGACTCGCCGGGCGTTCTATCTGTCCCTATCTTTCTTTTCTCCTGTCTACGATATTGTTGTACACATGTGCACTTTTCGAGTCCCCTCCCCCCCTATACCGCACAGCTCTCCGGACGTTACCTCCCCCCCAGTTGTCCTATCCGTCCATCCGCCTCCACCCCCAGCGCGATACATCATCACGCCGTAACTCGTCGCCGTTGTAGTCGTAGTAGCAGCAGTAACAGTAGGTAGTAGGTAGTAATGGTGGTTGCGATGGTGGGTTCTTTAGAAACTTGGTCGCCTGCCGGAAACCGGAAGCGAGGCCAAGGTAAGTAGTATTAGGAGAGTGCAAACCCCGTCTCGCGTGGTAGCGCGGCCGAAACGACGGTAGGGGGCACTATTTACGCGTGCCCGCCTCCCCGGCCCGACCCATCCGGGTGCTTTCCTATCTCTACTTCCAGAACTTCTGGAGCGAGACCTCCTTGTCGTCGTGCTTGTTGAGGATCTTGGCGGTGGCGAGCTCGAAGTCTTCCTGCGTGACGTGGACACGGCGCTCGCGCAGCGCATACATGCCGGCCTCAGTGCACACTCCCTTAAGCTCGGCGCCGGAGCAGCCGTTCATCTTCTCCGCGATCTTGGTCAGGTTGATGCCGCGCGTCAGGTTCATCTTGCGGCTGTGGATGCGTAGGATGTCGGCCCGCGCCTCGACCGACGGCGGCGGGAACTCGATCTTGCGGTCAATGCGCCCCGGGCGCAGCAGCGCTGGGTCGAGAATGTCGAGCCGGTTCGTCGCCATAATCACCTTGATGTTCTTCGTCGGCTCGAACCCGTCGAGCTGGTTCAGCAACTCAAGCATCGTTCGCTGCACCTCCGAGTCGCCCCCGGACGAGCCCTCGACGCGCGACGACCCGATCGAGTCGATCTCGTCCATGAAGATGATCGAGGGCGCATGCTCTCGGGCCATTACGAACAGCTCGCGGACCATGCGGGAACCCTCGCCAATGTACTTCTGTACCAGTTCCGACCCGGATACTCGGATGAACTTGCAGTCGGTGTGATGCGCCACGGCTCGGGCCAGCAGCGTCTTCCCCGTCCCGGGAGGGCCGTAGAGAAGCACGCCTTTGGGCTGGGCGATCCCGAGCGATTCGAAGAGCTCGGGGTGCTTGAGGCCGAGCTCGATCACCTCCTTGATTTCCTTGATCTGCTGGTCTAGGCCGCCTATCATATCGTACGTGCTATCCGGCACCTTTTCTACCATCATGAGGGACACGAGCGGGTCGACGGAGGAGGGGAGAATCTTCTCGAGTTTGTATGAGTCGGACAGAAGGGTTACCCGTTTGCCAACGGTGAGTTTGGCCATATCTACCGAATCGGCGACATCGACGACTGCGAATAGTCAGCCCACCACACGGGCACCGAGAGAAAAGGGCGGATGTTCCGGCCTCGGCCTGATCCGTACCGTATTTGCCCTCCGGGTGCACCTTCACCAGCACCTTCTTCGTTCCCATCACCTTGACCACCTCGCCGACGTAGGACCCGGGCTGTTGCAGGAGGCCGAGCTCTTCGCGCAGCAGCCGCACTCTCGAGTTGTAGTCGTTCCGTTGGGCTTCGAGACGCCGCAGGACAGCTTGGCCCTTGAGAATCTCGAGCTTCATCGCCTCGATCTTGTTGTGGTAGTAGTTGTCGAGCGCCATGGCTGCCGGTGCTCCGCTCGGGGAGAGGAATGGAGGGAGGGCAAATTCACGAATTCTGGTATCTCCGTGGAAGGGGCTGGAGATGGTGGCCTCGTCGGAGGAGGAGTGGGAGGAGGATGGCTCAGATACGTAGGGGAAGGGATTGAATGGTGCGGATGATGAGAACAGCGAAGTTGTAGATATAATGTGGGAGGTTGATGGGGCGAACTTCCCACAAGACGAGGCTCACTCAGATCGGAGCCAACGGGGCCGCAAGCAGGGGTAGGTCGATGAAGCTCTGGTCCGGCCCAGGCAGTAGCAGCAACGCGTTTCCAGCGGAGCGGCGATTCTAAATTCCGCAGCACTTACCTATAGTATGTACCTAGGTACCTGCCCATATTGCACCCCTTCCGTTAGGTAAGATACCTAGGTACCTAATGCTTATACCTATGTACACATTTAGGATCATTTGCTGCCAGATGCCCGCAAGTCCCGGTCCCGCACACACGTGTATGTGGAATACGACCTTGCATTACGTAGAACTCTTATATGTACGTGTTTCGATCCCAGGTGTTTTTCTGTAATCTTCAAGCTTTATTACGCCATCGCGTGATTCCGCGGTCTCTCGTCTTTTCGCGAAGACTACCTGCACGAGGCCGAATTACTTTAGGTACCCACCTCCTAGCTCCTTATACTTAGATGATAAGGACGGCAATAGGGAGGCATGCATATATAGGTAGGTACATACCTAGGTAGTAACCCATAGATGGCGTTGACCTCGCATCCCAAGATTACTCAGGCAAGAGGAGGAGGAGGAGAAGAAGATCAGAGATGAAGAGGCAGAGATAAGGAGATAAGAGCAAGCGGCTGCCAGGATCTCGGGTAGGTACCCTGGCCAATTATCAGTACATATGCTGCCTGCATACCTGCAGTCCCGAGCCTTGGTTCTGTGCTTTGCATGAATGGACATATACATTACATGCAGGCAGGTATACATCCAAGCTCCCGCTGTACACAAGATGTACATACGTACTAGTGTAGCAGGTACCTACACTTGGGCATGTAGGTGGGCGGGTTGCTAATGTACATAGAGTATGCATGTCGCTCTATGTAGAGGCTAACGAGAAGTCCCACCATCCCCCCTCTATCCAGGTAGGTACTTACTGGGTACCTGCCCAACCACAGACAGTCTGGCTCTGCAACAAGTATAGGGAGGAGCATGTCTCCGATCAGAACACTGGGCAGCTGGAGAGATATGCTACCACATATCATGTACCTCCTTATGTACCTCGATACCCTAGGTACCTTCAGTAGGCTACACTTGAGCTGTATCACAGATGAACTAATCAAACCTTGTCCACTCACACTGTACATAATCACGAGGAGTCATCATCACCAGACTGACTCCATTCCCACTCTATCCAACGCCAACCATCTTACCATGCTTCGCTTTCGATGGTCATGTTCTACATATGGGATGCGTGTGAGATCTGACACGGCTACCCATTATTTTTAGCAGTTTCTCAATCTGCCCTTGTCGGCTGTAGCTCCGGCCTGTTGTCGCTGTTATTGTTGTTGCTGTTGTTGTTGTTGCCGTCATTGCCCTCTGAAGTTGCAAGCCGACTTTGCCTGTCCGTCCTACCTGATGTCTTATGCCCTTCCCCCTCCTTTATTAGCCCTGTTTAATCTATATTAAAGAAGAAGGAGAGGAAGAAGAAGAAGACAATAGTAACCATCCTACCTGCTCCTCGTCTTTCCCTCTCTAGCCTTTCCCCTCTAAATTCGTCGATATTCCCGATCACCTCATCTCCGCATCGCGATCAGACCGGCTAGGTTGTGCCGTCGTGCCGCAGCAATAACCCAGACACCCCCCCCCAGCCAGAGAGAGAGAGAGAGAGGGAGAGAGATCTGCAGCTTTTGGTACATACCCTGCACTACGCGACATTCCTGCCAGGACACCCCCCTCCAACGTAGCCCGCCCACTTCTCCTCGACCTTTGCTCTTTTTTAGTTCTTCAGTCAAAAACATCTGGTGGGAGTGGGAACCTGTCTTCGCCTACCTCCTCAACAGTGTCGCCTGTGTTGTCTCAAGTAGCCCCCCCCCCCCCCCCCCTAGATTCTATTCACATGCACTCTTGGCTAGGTAGGCTCGCTTAGGCCTCCAGCGTTGGCTGTGAAGCCCGGAGCATCCGCTCAGCCCGCGATGGATCCTCCCTCGCAAGACGACGCTAGCTCGACCACTCCCTCCTCACCCACAGAGACGCGACAGCATTCTTCCCGACGCGATTCTAGGGAAGCTAGAAACGACATACCCCAGGAAGGCTACAACTCGCCCGAGACTGCGCGCAGGCGGCCCAATCAATCGTACGGTACGTTGTTGATCATCCAGCACTCTCGCCTCCTCCTCCTCCTCCCTTCCTCATCCTCCTGCAGCGACGCCATAACCCCTCCCTGCATCCGATGTTGACAGTTGGCATCGACCGCCTGCGATTTACACTATGTAAACGCCCTGTGCTATCGGCACCACGCTAACTTGACTCTTGCCACGCCTAGGCACAGTGCAGACACCGCCGCCGCCTACAGCTGGTGGCGCGCAATCCTTGGGGGAATCCGCCTTCGAACGACCTTATTCGAGAACCTCAGCTCAGCAATCTCGTTCCCCTCTATCAGGTCCGGACCGTAGCCGACAACGCCCTAAGAAGCCTCCTATGCCTCGCCGTGCGTCGTCAAACACCCTCGCTCCCCACCGCGGGGAGGTCTTCTCGACGGATGACGATATAAACGAGGTTGAGAATTATCCTACCGAGCGACAGGCGTACTCCCCCTTGCCCACGTATAGCGCCGAATCGGGCAGACAGCCGGCCACACTGCGACGACGCAGCGTAGCTCCCCCGATTCTATCGCGCGTGCACTCCGGCCGTAGTAATCCTCTCGAAGATGAGGGTATTGACGAAGTATTAGAAGAAGAGGAGGAGGAGAGGGGGGAGGAGGAAGAGGTCGTGCCGCACGAGGAGGGCATATTGCAAGAACCGGCGGCTCCAGGAGCTGGCATGCTCGAGGACGAGGACGACAACCTTAGCGACGCCGAGAGTTTCACCCTGAAGGATCGCCAGCAAGCCATCAACGAGACGCATCCCTTTGGTATCAGGATCTGGAAGCCTGCCTTGTACAAGAAGGACCGATCGGTCCAGAAGACTGCTGAGGGTGATATTCACTCTTCCCCAGGGGGCCGAGTCAGTCGCTGGCTTTTGTTTTTCAACATCACCTGGACCCTGCTTTTCGGCTGGTGGATGGCCCTCTTCGCCGCGCTGGGCGCAATAGCTTGCTTCACTTTCGCGGCCGCTCCTAGCGGGAGAGAATACGGCCGCGTACTATGGGGTCTGGCCGGCTATCTCTTCTACCCCTTCGGTAAGTTCGTGCGCCTTGACCAGGACGAGGCATACCTGGAGGAAGATGAGGGCGAGGGTCGAAGCATCAGCGAGTATGAGCAGTGGCAGAGCGGCGACCTGGAATACGGTCGGCTATTTTTCGGCCCCCAGCGGCACACCATCGTGGGCCGGTCGAGACGAAGCATCGACTCCGAGGCGGCCGAGACGGACAGCCTCCTCGCGCGTTCGGGCCGCCACGACGACCCCAGCGATCATGGAAGACGGCTCAAGAGACGTCTGTTCGGCCGGGGCCAGTGGAATATCGGCCGCGTCATCTTCTTCGTCTTCTTCTGGGGTCTCATCACGCCTTCGCTCGTGTCTGTTTCTGCCATATGTTGGTTCATGGTCTTCTGGATCCCGATGGGCAAAGTTACGAACTTGCTCTTTGATCACCTCAGGAGACACCCGCTCGCTCTGTCGTTCGAGTCTGATATGAGCATTGCCAGGACCTCGGATCACCCGCACTCTTCTATACTGCTGTGCACTTACCGAGCTGTCGGCTCCCAGTATTGGAAGTATACCATCGACGGTACCAACATCTTCCTCATCAACCTCATGGCCGTCGTCATGCTCGTCATCTTCGACTGGCTTGTGCTCGACGGGATCCTGCATTTCGACAATTTCCTAACGTCCCCCGGTTTCCTGTTTGTGGCCGGCCTGTTCTCCATCATCCCCCTAGCTTACTTCATCGGCCAGGCCGTCGCGTCCATCTCGGCCCAGTCCTCGATGGGCCTGGGCGCCGCTATCAACGCTTTTTTCTCGACCATCGTGGAGGTCTTCCTCTACTGCGTGGCGCTCAAGGACGGTAAGGGCCAGCTGGTCGAGGGGAGCATCATCGGGAGCATATTCGCTGGCATCCTCTTCCTGCCGGGGCTGTCCATGTGCTTCGGAGCTATCAAACGCAAAACACAGCGCTTCAACGCGAGATCGGCCGGCGTCACCTCCACCATGCTCATCTTTGCTACCGTCGCCGCCTTCGGGCCGACGCTCTTCTACCAAATCTACGGCACCCACGAACTCCAATGCCAGAGCTGCACTGACTTTGTGGGATCCGACGAGCGAGATTGCCGCCGCTGCTACTACTCGCAGGTGCCGGCTCTCGACGACCGCTTCTACGTCGAAGCCGTGCGCCCATTTTGCTACTTGGCCGCCACCTGTCTCTTCTTGGCTTACGTCATCGGTCTATGGTTCACCCTGAGGACACACGCCGCCGTCATTTGGAATACCGAGATTGACGAGAAGAAACACGAGGAGTCCCAGCAGCAAGCGCCGCGCTTTTCCGAGGGACGCAACGCGGCGGCCGACGCGACTGGTACCGACATCCGAGACAGTCATTTGTATAAACGTATCCTCGGCCAGTCATTGAAGCAAGTCGGTTTGCCGAGCGGCGAAGAGGGCCACCACTCGCACCAGACATCGGAGGGATTCGCGGCGAACAGCGCCATTCCGACGCCGCACATGGTCCCCCCCAAAGACGGGGTGGTAGAAAACATCCGCTCCAGCGTCAATATCCCCGGCTTCACGGACGCCGAGAATAACAGCCTTGTCCGCAGCGTAACGGAGGTGGCCGCTACGGCAGCGGCTATTGCAGCTCGCGACGCCCGGGGCCCGCGTCGTCTCTCAGCCCAGACGTCGACCGCCGGCGCTAGCAGTTCGGCGCCGCGTGTCACGCCCATCCGCACGGGCACCTTCCCGAATGCCGAAGAACCTATCGCCGAGCATGCTCAGGCGTCACACGGAGGCCACGATGCGCCGAACTGGAGCCGGACGAAGAGCTCGATCATACTCATGGGCGCTACGGTCCTGTACGCAATTGTCGCGGAGATCCTGGTTGACACGGTAGACGTCGTACTGGACAACTACGCAGTCGATCCCAAGTTCCTCGGGATTACGCTGTTTGCCCTCGTTCCCAACACGACGGAATTCCTGGTGAGCGCTACTCTTCCCCCCTCCCCCTCCCCCTCCCTCTCCTGTACCGTCGTCTTCCTACCCATTCTCTCCGGCCGCGTAAGCGTAACTCGACTAACCTATTTACCCTTTGCCGTCGCAGAACGCCATTTCCTTCGCCATGAATGGTAACATTGCGCTATCTATGGAGATCGGCTCCGCGTACGCGCTGCAGGTGTGCCTGCTCCAGATCCCGGCGCTCGTTCTCTTCTCGGCGGTGTACCCCCTCCAACCAGACGGCGACCCGGACCCCAGCCGCTGGACGTTCAGCCTGCTGTTCCCGCAGTGGGACATGGTGACGGTGATCCTGTGCGTGTTCCTGCTGAGCTACATGTACGGCGAGGGCAAGAGCAACTACTTCAAGGGCAGCATCCTGATCCTGACGTACCTGGTGGTCGTCATCGGGTTCTACTTCTCCGGCTACGCTGACACCCAAATGGGCTCGATGGGGATGAGCCGATTCGACCGGCTCGGCTCCGACGGGTCATGGAAGAGCTACAAGACCATCGGACGGGGCTCGAGCGGGAGGGCATACGAGACGGGTGTGGATTTCTAAATTGCAACCCCCCTCCGCTCCGCGAGAACCCTCCTTTCTTTTTTCTCTTTCTGGGTTTTCCGTTTCAAACCAACACAACCCACCTTCTCAGTTTGGCTCCCGTAAACACGACGGTGATGTCTCACACCGTACTCTTTTTTTTTTCTGGCCTGTACCTTTGTCCGATTATGATATCCCCTGCCTTTTTCTTTGTACGATCACCGCAACATTAGATGACTTTCTGTACGGAGCATGGACGGACGGGCATCGACGTCGGGTCGCCGTGATGCGGCCCGGGTGTTGAGAGAGACGCGGAGAGGGCGTGAGAATGAGTCGAAGTAAGGGCACTCTCACGAATGAGGATTGTCTGCCCTCCCACCTGCGGGAAACGGCAGGATGAATGGGGCTATATACACATAGCCGGTTTTATCTTTAATAGAGCTCAAGGTTGGCTCTGACCTTGTAATGTATGCCAACATTGACGACTAGGGTGGGTCACGACGATCAGGTCACAGAAAGAAGACTTGCAAGGCTTGATCGTCGTAACCCATCAGAAGAGGGGTTATGTAGGAGTATGTACATGTAAACTATGTGGGCAGGCCGCTATCGATACGGAGACGTTGCGATACCCGTCGGGATAGAGGTCACGGCCTCTCCCTTGTATGATAGATAGGATATATTATATGACACCCAACTTGATCGAAAAAAGACAGACCAGTCAGATAACAGGATTAAGGAGGGATCACCCAAATTGTGTGTTCAAAGTGCCACGACCGCCAACAGCGACCGAAACACTTTACTGCGTAGAATCTAGATTACCATATGAAGGACGGAATTCCATGTATCGTAACTTTATATGTGCACCCCGCGATGCCTTCTTAAATGACATAGATAAAAAAGATACTGACCGGACCGAACTTGCACTCCTCTTCTGCTTTTCACTGTGAGCGCGCTGCCACTGCCACTCGTAAAACACAGAGCCGGATGAACCATCGCAACCTCACTAGCACAACACGATCAACCAAACTATTCCATACCATGGACTCTCTTCTTCACCCCGCACGGCTCGCGCGCGAAAGCAATGAAAAAAATATAATTCTGGACCTGTCAGACGTCCGCCGCCACCCACCCCGGCTGCGCGCCCGAAGGCAAGACCGCAACGATCGGGGTCGAGATCTTCACCACTCTCTATACAGCGGCCCCTCGAGAGGAACCGCCGCCATCCTTGCGGACAGGGCGAGAGTAGGGAGCGCCGCGAACCAATGGCCCAGGGCGCCCCCGCATAGAAATATTCACTCTAGGGTGGCGGGGATATCATTCATCAACCAGGGTGGGCTCTGTGACTCTTTTAGGGAATCAAGAGAAGGTCGAATACTATAGAAATGATTCTCTGAAGTCTGCATCGAGGGGAAAGAAACGGAAGGTCAGCGAGGTCGTTCGCGGCAGAGGAGCAGAAATGAGGGGGGGAGGGGTTGACTGACATTGTCGACATGAAGAAGAAAAGGAAAAGAAGATTTGCAAGAGGACGGGAGGCGAGGCAGGAATTTATAGGTGTCGACGCTGGGCGGTGGCCGATTCTGCCGCCCGGTCGCAAATCAGCCAGCCCTCTCGATTCCATCCAAACAGGGGAGAGGGGCGCTACGTGCGAAAACGCGAAAATTTTCAGAGCGAAAATTTTAAGTCACGAGGTACCCTGGACATTGCTATCAGGGCGCACGCAGGGGGGGGACATCGCATATGTTCGACGTACTCTGTACTTGGGTGAGTGGTTTGTTCGCAGGCGCGGGGGCCGCGCACGTTCCGTCGTGTGTGTTTGTACCCCCCCTTCGACGCATTTCTGGCCGGATGTGTACTCATACGCCGGGCAAACAGTTTGTGCTATGGACCTAGGTAGTGACCTCCGTGCGACGCCTGCCAACCCAACCAACAGATTCTAGCCCCCCCCCCCCCCTTTTGCGGTGACACATTAGGCAATAGCTGCGTACGTGTAAGTCGGGTAGTTGGGAGAGGAGGAAACACCGTTCGTTGGAGCGGGACCGAGATGGCTGGTAGCTGCGTTGCGGCCAATGAGACAAGGGGCAGATTTTACTAGCGCCAGGGAATATGGGTGTACCTCTGTCGTTACCTATCGGCGTACCTAGGTATGTATTTGTACATAGGTACGTCCGTATACTTGAATCCACGGGCAGCGCTGCCAATTAAAAGGAGAGGAAACCCCTATGAGTACCTATGTATTGCGCAGTACATACCCCCTATGGCAGTACTTCTAGGTAGGTTCACATTCTATGAGTAATTTCCCTCCCTCTCTCCGGTCGCGCTGCGCACTGTACGCAGGCACCAGCCTATTGACACCAGCATCAGCATCACCCGGCACGTGACCCACACTCGATTCTGCCCCTCGAGACCGCCCCGCACCTAGGGTATAAATATCTGCCTCCCCTCCGGCTCCTTTGCAAAGTTTTCCTCTCCTTTTCTTCCTTAGCTCTCTTTGCCTTTTGGCTTAGATCAAGTGTAGTATCTGTTCTTTTCAGTTTAATCTCTGAAAGAGTTCTACTTGAACTCAATCGTGATTATTCTAATTTTTGCCGCGCGGGCGCGCGTCCTCTGGGCTTGCCCACGATCGCGCCCACCGTGTCCCTGGTATTACACTGCCTCCAGGTGACGCGAACCGCCCTCTCGTTTTCATTGCTGGTTTCCTAGCTCTGCCTAGGCCCGCGAAGAAGATGCTGAAGAGGAGGAGGAGGAGGAGGAGGAGGATACACGAAGCGTGGCGAGGTAGGTTGGCGTGGCGGCCTTGGATGGGAAATGCGTTCGGGTTTCGAGTCTCGCCCGACGCCATGATACCTTCTATTTGCGTGAAGCTATCGCCAGATACGCTCGGCATATCCCAAAAGTAGCAACACATAAGCACACTTACTCCCCATACACAACTGCCCCATGCTGGTGCTAATGATCCGTGCCGTCCGGGCAAAAAAGAACACATCCATAGCGTACAACCAACCCTACCGGCTCCCAACAGCTAATGACGAGGAGTGTCTTGATACACCCACTTTCGGCTCCGTAGGCCTACCTAGTCAAGCAAAGCAGCTAATCGGAAGATGACAAGACGAGATAGATATAGACTATATATAGCCCTCTCACGTAGTACGTCGTCTACTACCAACCGCGGATAACCGCTATCATCTTTCACGGACACGCGCATCGTCTACTACATACGCACAAGTCACACCAACCTCAACTCTTGACTAGACTCTATAGCAAGTACCAAGTAGGCTACCAATCCGTCGCATTTACACAATACACATAGTTCTTTTACTCATACACGCAGTCTCAGTTCTAATCCTTCTTCTTCCCTCTTTCAGGCCAAGTTAACCGGCTTATCCATGTCTCTCTCCTTTACACCCATAGTAATTACTTGAATAATTTATTAAAAAAAACCACCTTCCCACTTCAACCCCTGTAATCAGCAAGCCCGTCGTCCTCTTCTAACAGCGTCGGGAACGAGAACGGCGTGAACATGTGGCCCCCGAACTCGGCGTACTTCGACTGGGCCTCGACCCACTGGAGACGGAGCGAATGCAACTACGCGCGGAGCAGCAGCGGTGGTGGTGCCGTGTCGTTAGCCAACCGTCGTTGTTCTCGAAGGTAACGGGCAGGGGGAGCAGAGCAAGCAAGAAACGGAGAGGAAGACATACCATGGCACTGCAGCCCTCCATACAGATGAGGATGGCGCAAGACAGGAAGAACCACATGTAGAACGTCACGACAACCATGATCACGCCCAGCACCCCGGGTTTGGAGAGGGACGGGCCCAGGGTCATGTCCCAGAGCACGACGCTCAGCTGCTGGTGGGCGAGCGACAGAGCCCAGAGACGCAGGTAGGATGCTGTGTGCGAGACGCAGTTGAGACAGAATTCTGCGGCATTGGGCATGTCGATTAGTACGCGACTATCCGGGAAGGGGAGCCAAGGGGGGGGGGGGGGGGGGGAGTGATCAAGGACTAGCCAACAAGATGTCGCCATTGTCCAGATATATATATATATACCGACTTACCGATAGTGTGGATGATCTGGTGGATTAGCACTTCGCTGAACTCGAACTCCCCGTGGCCGTGCTCGTTTTCGTCGTCGTTGTCGTCGCCGTGCGCGATCATAGCGACGCCCTCCCCGTCCTCGGTTTCCACGCTAAGGCGCCCGTTAACTCCCCCGTGGGCCCCGCTGTCCTCGTCGTCGAGGGCCGACACCCTCGAGCGTTCGCCTATGCCCCGATAGCCGTGGGCGCGGGCCTTGTTGTGCTCCCACCGTAGGTAGAACGGCTTGAGGAATAGTAGGATGGGAACCTGGACGAAGGCGAGGAGCAGCAACGTGACCTGGACGCCTGCCTGCCCGGGATACAGGGGCACATCCAGCGTCCCCGGCTGCAGGAACATGTAGATTAACATGTTCAGCAGCCCCGGTGGCGGCCGTCCGATCGTGAGCCAGTCGACGGACCACTTGTAGATGATGCAGACGACGAGGTAGCCGAAGATGGCCTGGAAGAAGATCATGCCCGGGACGAAATTGCCCCAGATGTCGATAGGTTTCTTGAAGTGCCTCGCGTTGAAAAAGGACAGGCAGAGCGAGTAGGTCATGTGCGCCCACCCGAGGATAATCGACATCTTCATCTTGTAGCTGTTGCTAAACAGCAGATCGTTCTCGGTGCCGTGCCACATCCAGTCGAGACCGAACGGATACCGATAGTCGCCCTTAAGCTTAGCGACGAGAGGCTGACCCTCCTGCCACTTATCCGGAACTTTCCACTCCCAGGCGCTGTCGAAGAAGGTGAACGTCTTCGAGAAGACATCGTTGTACATGAGGCCGGTAAATAGAGAGAAGACGGCCATGACGAGGGCAATGTAACGGCCGTAGTAGATCATAGCAAAGAGTTCGAACGTCACCTTCTTCAGAGGCTTCTCCCAGTAAATCATGGCCAAAGAGCCGAGTAACATGACAGAAGCATGGCCGAAGTCTCCGAACATGACGGCGAACAAGAAAGGGAAGGTGACGATGGCGGGCAGGGCAGGGTTGACCTCTTGGTACGTCGCCGTGCCGTAGGCATTGATGATGGTCTGGAAGGCCTCGGTAAATTTGTTAGTCCGCAGGTAGGTCGGCGGGGTCTTGTTCGTCTTGATCTCGTTGATGATGGACGGAACCGACAGGCCGGCGCGGTTGGTCACGTCCTGCAAGGTAGACCGGATCAGGGGTAGATCGTTGGTGGGACACCAGCCTTCGGCGATCAGAGTACGTCTCTGCCGGTCGAACGAGAAGAGGTTGAGGGTTTGGTAGGCGGCTTTCTCCTTCGTGATGAGGATCATCCAAGCGGCGAGGGAGTGGGCAATCTGGGTTAGCTCCACGCCAAGGGTTTGTTGGGTGTTGTGCAAGACATTTTGGACGTCGTTGAGACGGGCATTCACTTCGTCTATCTGATCACGACGGTTGTCAGTGTCTTCATCGACGCTGTATATATTAGCTCCCATCGACTCCGATATCTTTCGAATCTTGGCCAGGATCTCTCTGCCGTGAGCGAAGATGACGAAGACATTCTTGTTAATAGACTCGTTGTTGCTCGGGTCGACGAGAGGGTCGGGAATCTCGGACTGGTTCATGAAGAGGTTGCCACGCAGCGTTCGCCAGAGGATACGCTCGAAGGCGGCCACGCGATCGCGGCCGATGACGCCAGCGATGAAACCGACGTTCATGCCGGAGAAGGAGGCCTCGACGTTGCCGGGTTGGTTGTGCTGCTCGACGTCTCGGAGCAGAGGTGCATCGTCATCCTCGGTGTCGCCGTCGGTCGAAGCTCGAATCTCATCGACGTTGTCACGAGCCTGGTCGAAGAATCCCCCGGCCTTCTTAAGGACCCATCGCCACTCGGTCAACTCGACCTCTCGCTTCTTCAACGTCTCGTAGCTCTCGTTAAGCTGAAAGATGCGCTGCTCGAGGCTCTGGGTCCGCTCGGAGAGCTCGTCGATCTCGGTCGTGGTCGGGGGGGCGAGTGTTTCGACGTCGAGATCCAGTTTCCGCAGCGAGATACCGCTCTTCTCCATCTGGGAGTGGAAGTAGCCTAGCTGTATGTTAGACGAGGGAATTCCGGGCGGCGCGCGCTGGTGCTTACGAAGTTGCCGCTCGACATTATCCAGGCGTCGAATCTCCTGGGTGAAGGTGCGCTGGAATGCATTGACATCGCGGTTGAGCTATCCAGCTGTCAGTTTACGTTCTTCTCTCTCTCTCTCTCTCTTCCTCGCCTTCTTCCGAGTTGCTGGCTGGGGGCGGGAGGGGGGTGTCGCGCGCGCGCGCGCCAGGATAGCATAAGATGGAGAGGTCAGCGTACATCTCGAAATTGGACCAGTCCAAGTTCTCCCAACGCGTTTACGCATTCTCGGCCAATCTCGTTAGATATATACAGCTGCACCATGCTCATGTCCGCGGAGCGGAACATGGACTGCTTTGAAGGGCCCATCGTGATGGCGCTGCTCTCCAAAGCCAGGCTGGTGATGATGGTTGTTTGATGGCGACAACAAGAAGCGAAGCTCATCCGGAACGGACCTTGAAACGAGACGCCCTTTCGTCGCTCGCTATTTTAGGTACGTAGCGTGACGGGGGCGCGGCTGTGGCTCTAAATGTGGCTTAGCACAAGATACGCACTACAAGCAGGCACATGCCTGTTACATGTGCACAACGACATAACACCTGCATTAGGTGCCTCCTTGTCCCGCATGGGCCAGCTAGATACCTACCTAAGGTATCTTGTAAAGGTGCATAATACCTACGTTACGAGGTAGGTACTTATTGTACCTAACCTAAGGTACCTACCTAGGCACTTCGTAACCTACTCATAAGGGCCTAAGTACAGGCAAATAGGTGATGTAATCCTAGGACTTGTCTAAGTAAAATATACCTCTATGTAAAACAGGTGGAGAGACAGAAAAAAAGGCTTTCCGTTCTACTGCTAATTAATACTCTAAAATCTAAGGTATTGTTGAAAGTACCCCCCTTACCAACCCCGATTGCCCGTTCCTAGGAACTCAGCACGAGACCCCGAAGCAGACGGATGTGACACTATATGCCGCTTCGGCAGCATGTCCGTGGTATCGGTTACACCCTCGAAGTACCATTAAAGACGGGAGGAAAGGGGAAAGAAGGAAAGGTTGGTAGATACAGTGGTGTTTTTCGTATGGGGTTGAATACGCCGGAAAAGGAAAAGTGTGAGAGGGGGAAGAAAGGGGAGGAGAAAAAAAAAAGGCAATGGACCGAGTCTGGTCAATACTCTCTGCTACGGTTCCTGGGTATATGACATGTAATTACGTCTCCCAGCCTTCGCGTCTAGGAGCGCCTTAAAGCAACCGACCCCTTGGGTCATCGCCCGTGCATACATGTACGTAACTCATTAATACAATCAGTAGTAGTACTAGAGCGCGCGCTATGCTGAGTTTCCCACGCCTCGCCTCGCCTCCCTCTCCCCCTTCCCTTCCCCGCCCCGAAAACGGGGGGCAAGCAACCCGACCTAAAAGAATCTGACGAAATAGCTAGGGCGTCGACTCGAGCATGTCAGGGTTTGCCGGTGGATCGGGACGTGACATGGTGCTATATCGACTCATAGCTTCCGCTTGAACATGTACGAGCCGTACATGCCGCCGACTTCGGCACAGGCGATGGGTATCTTGCGCATGCCCCAGAACGAAGCGCCCATCTTCCAGGGACGCAGGCCGGAATCGCGCGGTCCGTCCTCAAGGTCGCGCAGGCGGACGAGCCACGCCCTGCTCCCGTTCTCGGTAACGACCCACCCCAACTGCTTGACGACCGGTGACGTGGCTAGTCTCGCGTACATGTCGTCCGGGATCTCGATCACATCTAGCGGTGCCGAATACCTCTTCATGATCGACGTGTTCCGTCCGAAGAGCGTAATCAGGTCCAGTTCCACCGCCGTGTAGTCCGAGAGATCCAAGTACCTGAGCGTGTGAGGGACCCATTCTAGCTCCTTGCTCGCGTCTTCGCCGTCGTTGCTCTCGTCCGGTACGAAGAGCCGGTCGATGTCCGTAATCTTCAGCCGCCGACCCAGAGCCAACTCTTCCAAGTGTTTCGTCAACGGTCGGAGCAGATCGATGTGCGACGGTGCCATCCTGCTTCCCTTGAGGCTCAGCGAGCGCAGGGTTGGCGGGAGGGTGGGGATGAGCCTGTCCAAGGCGTCCTCGTCGAGAAGCTGGTGGCTGCGCGCATCCACCCCGAGGCTTAAGAAGACCAACCCGCTGGCGGCGGGGTGGTTGGCCACGAAGTCGATGATGGCATCAGCCGTTAGCAGCCTGCACTTGGACAGGTTGAGGTGAGTGATTCTTGCGGTGTGCGGTATGGACTGGAGCGCCTCGTCCGTCACGCGCGTTCCCGCGAGATCCAGATGCGTCAAGTCGCCGAGCCGAGGGAGCAGCGTCTCGAACACGGACGACGACAGGGTGATGCACTTGTGCATGCAGAGCCGAGAGATGGGGAGGAAGTCGGGCCAGTCGGCCTGCAGGATCGACTGGAAGGCGTTCTTGAAGTTGGTCGACGAGCAGCCGCAGAAGTCGATCCCCTGCAGCCTCTCGAGCCCAAAGAACAACTTCCGCAGGACGCTCGCGTTAATCTCGTCTTCAATGTACTCCTGCGCCAGGAACTCACGGAGGAAGGGTGTCAGCTCCAAGCACTGCAGCAAAGTCTCGGGGGTCAAGTTGCGGGTAGTAGCTCGCTCGCTGGCCGTCGAGAAGAGCGTAGTAGGGTTGAAGTGGCAAAAGTCGAGCCGGCGCACGATCGTGCCCAGCTCCTGGTTCTGCGAGATGTGCGTCAGGAACTTCCGGAAGATTCTCGAGTGCGGTATCGTGATGTTCTTGTAAAGCGAATTCAACGTTGCCGAGTGAAGTGTTCTAGACGTCAACAGGAGCGACATCAAATCCACGTTACGCGCGGAGATGCCGTTCGGGGGGACGTCGAGAACGAGGTGGTCGATTATCTGGCCTACATTTGCAGAACTCAGCTGGTAAGATTGGCTTAGTCTCGTCAACGATCTGTCTTAGGACGTACCGAGTATCTCCGCGGGCAGCTTCTCGATCGACGACTGCCCCGGGGGAGGCCGTTCCGGGTCCTTCTTCCGGGGCGGAGTGGCCGGGGTCGACCAGACGATCTTCAAGGCCTGCAAATCTCCATAGCTCTTGCTCGCCTGCCTCCCCTTGACGCCGATCTGCTTCCAGCCCTGGAAGCCCTCGGCGGCGACGGCCGGGAACCAGGAGCCGTGTAGTCTGCTATTCGGCTGGGTGACGGGCGGGACAAACTGAGTCTGGGTGGTCATCTCCGTGGGGAGAGGTGGTTGGTCTTCGATAGCCTCGTCTGCTTCTTTAGAGTAGGAGGATACCTTGGTGGTGGTGAAGGTCTGGGCTAAGTTCGAGTCGTTCTCCCGGACAGAAGAAAAGGAGGAGCGAGTGGATTTGTCCGGCGGGGTTGCATTTTCAACTCGGTCCATGTTGTTGTCAGGCAGGCCGGGTGTAGGGCACCGTTTAAGTTTGCTGACAATCTGGTGGTTGTGGTTTGGGCGGCCAACAGGAGAGGCGGTTGTCCGATCCATAATCGGAAGACGAGCCAGGGTTGCCAGGTCGCGCAGGCGCACAGGCGGGCGATGCAAGATGCGGTCTCAATAGCGCGATGTCGCCTCCTGCTTTCTTCCTAGCCCCGGCCCGGCCACACACACAGCACACAGCACCACACAGTACAGCACAGCACAGCACAACGACGGCGCGGCACACCACAACACCACAGCCTGACCGTATTCCCCAGGAAGGCCAGGTTTCACCAGCGGCTGCAGCAGGATGCCCGAGGCGACCTGGATGGTATTTTCTGTTAGTCAAAAAACCGACTTCTTAGGTAACAGGATCGGCTGGCGCAATGCGGGGAAGGATTGATGAGATGGATTCGCCGCTATGTCGCATATACACATGTCCTCCTGGCGGTAGCCCGAGTGGGAGAGGGAGGGGGGGGGGGATGCGAGGGCATGCGTGGATGGCAGACAGGCAGGTGTGTAGGTACGGTACCAGCCGCGAATATTAAACGAGCTCCTGTCCGTTGGCACCTTTATTAAATGAAGCGTCCCCGTTGTATTCTCGTCGAGCCGGGGGCGCCTAAGCAAACGGGGCGCCGCAGTCGCCGCAGGGTGAAGGGACTGCGAGCAGAGGAGGGAGGGGGGCACCGACTCAGTTCCTCATACGTAAGAGTTGAGTATCAAACGACACCAAACACGGAGCTACGAGGCTGCACGTGGTGCGGTTTTGCGCTCTCTTCCCGGGCTGCCAATGTCAACAGTGCATGAATGACAGCATCGAGGTCTCGACCTGTCCCGAAGCTCTATTCGACTCGGTGTTTGTTAGGTTGACAGCGAGAGTATGTGTAAGGATTGAATCGTGTATGTAAGTATAAACAAGTATTGTTGTACGTATGTATGTACGTATGTATGTGCGTATGTATGTTGTGTGTTGTGTGTTGTATGTGGATGTGGATGTGGATGTGGATGTGGATGTGGACGTGGACGTGGACGTGGACGTATGCATCTAGTCAGAGTCGGCAGAGCGGAATGGGTGCATCGACACCGCCCGCCACCGTTAACTTTGCCTGCGCACGCCCATACCTTGCCGACTGGACCTGAACACCGGGCGTAGGTATGTAAGCCAGCTAGTTGCCAGTCAGTCCGGCCGGTGTGAGGTGGTGGTGGTGGTGGTAGTCAGGTAAGCGTAGCCCGTACGATCGATAGGCGACGAGGAAACTGGGAAAAGACAATGAAGGCCTGAAGCAAACGCGGCCCCGTGACTCCATCGTCCATGGATTGAGTAATAGAAATCGCCAAATGGCAGAGCGACGAGTTCTTCTTTGTCACCTGAACCATATAAACCCACCTAACGCTTGTTGCCATCGAGACTGGCGGCAAATGGCAAATGGTGCGAGGCCCGGAAGGCGCCTTGGCCGCGGACTCCGCTAGGATGGGCTATTTGGTAATGGGAATGTCAGGGGACATCCCCGGCTGCCCTTACAGGGTAATATCGTCATCGCCATCTGAATATTTTTTTTTCCATCTCCTCGGGCGGGAAGTTTGGTAGAGAACCAGAACGGGTGAGAGCTGATTCAGATTGGAGGGAGTGTTAAATTTTTTTTAAGGGACAGGTAAGAAGCGGAGGGGGGGTGGATCAAGGAGAGAGAGATAAAGAAATGGAAGAAATGACGGCGAAAGGCGATCGAGCTCCCAATGAGAAGGCGACGCTGACATGTACCACACATCACCTGCGCAAGGCAGTAAGTACACCATATGCATGTAAACACCTACCTACCTACCTACCTAGGTAGATACCTACCCCTCTAGGTAGGGGGCACCTAACATGTGAGATTGGTGGATGTATCATACCTCTATGAGAGGTACCTACCTACGCAGGTTCCAAGTGAGGGATGTGCGTGCATGCATCCACCTGCACACATGTAGGTACACACCTGCCTCTTGCATCCGAATAATTAGGTACACGATACACATACGAGGTAAGCATTTTACGGGCGGAGATAGGCAGGTATGCGACTCCGTACTCATGCTTACCATACATGGATTCTCGGGATCTGCTATAGCCTTTGCGTGCTTTGCCATTAGGTAAGGTATAATACAATCCCTCCTGCGCTTTCTCGAGCTTTCCGTCGGCCTATCGGGCCTGGCCTAAGACCGGGCCGCCATCATATAGTCAGTACAGGCAGAGACGGCTATAGCCCGGTCTGCCTCCTGTAGAGTATATTGTGCCTACATCCCTTGTACGTAGTAGATGTGTATGCCCCTATACTTACGTGCCTACATCAGGCTCCGCCTGTCTACAGTCGGTGTGGGATAATGTCTTATTACTAGGTACTCCTTACCTTTGTTCGTCTCCCCGCGAAGGCGGCGTGGGACCCGAATGAGCAATTTGTCTGATGTCTATCCCCGTCCGAGCTGAATATACCCGTCGCTGCTCGTCGCTAGCGAACCCCGTGCGTGTCCTCCTGCGGGACATACTAGATCGGGTTCCTACCGGTCTACCTGCCTGCCTCTTGTCTATGGCCGGGCTACCACAAGCGGAAGCTCTCTACGTGAAATCAGGATTGGATGTGATATTGCTACGTTGCGTACACGTACATAGGTGGCTGGGACTTATATATAGACGCGAGACGGAATTGGTGAAATGCACGCAATAACCTCTGGATATGCTTCTGCCAATCACGGTGAACCTGTTGGTCGGAATGGGAAGACAGGGGAGAGAGACATTATGAGCCGTCCGCATCCGCCCCCAACTTGCCATTACGTGTATACACTCATACACACGTATTCTATGTAGGCATGTCTGTGAATACCTACCTACGTCCACAGACCTGTGCATGTATGCGCGCGCGCGCACGCACATGCACATACACACACAAGGTACATATTCCCATATTCCAGTCCACTTTACCGCCTTATCCTTGGCCTCTTGGCCGAACCTTCGACCTGGCTCCTCCACGCTCCTCCATCACTACCACCCTGTCCAGATCCGTGCCAATATCCCGTCTCCGGTCCCGGAAGCGAGCGTAACCTCCCAGCAAAACGGCACCATTCATTGCCCGAGCACGTATGCGTACACAGGTTCCATACGCACAGCCGTGTCAGGCGGCCCCGGAGAAGCAGATCATACCATCTCCGTTACGGCAAGACTCGGCAGAAGCAGTGGTTAGGCGTGGGTTAGCTTCGTTTGCCGACCACATCCTGCCTTTCCCCAGGAATCGATGTGCCGTACTCCTGAAAAGGGAGGATATTAATCCGCACACCTGCATGGTTTCCCCCGGCGGAGAGGCACATCACGTAGTCTGTTTGCGGGGAAATAGCCTCATTTCCCTCCTCGGAGGCCATTGCCGCCGCCAATCACCGGTGCTTCCCCCCTCCTCGTAACCCGACTATACGGCTAATGTTCCGACTAGTCGTAGGGGAAAGGGGCGCGTGGAGCTGCTCCGTACCAAGAAAAGAAGAAACGAGCAAATCTAGGCATCGTCGATTCACTACCGGGGTCACCCGAGGATGTGTAATTGGGTTGGTGTGTAGTATGGAGGTCAAGCGAGAGCGAGGTACGATAGTGAGAGGCCGAATAGGGGAAAGAGGACGGAAAGGGGAGGAGGGGAACAAAATAGGGGCCGTTCTAGCTCCTGTTAGCCCTACCTAGTATTACTATTCGTCGTCAACCCCATGACCGCTTCCGGCCCTAGACTATTATACACACCTACATACGTAGGGTTATGTGTACTAGGAACACACGCGCGGCGCGCGCACGTAACAACACGAATTACATGTGTAGCCATGAGCTATGAAGGTATGTACCTAAAGCAGTCCATCTCGCGACGACCAACTCATCCGCTTCTATCATAGTGTTCGATGAATCGGCTCAGCCACGCTCCAGCCGAGTTGGGCCCTCTCCATCCATTTACACTGTGACAGACCCGTACCCGCGCTCCGAGGGTCAGTAAGGAAGTGGCCGCCTCTCCAACGAGAGGCTAAAGAGAGGGAGAAGGAGAACAAAAGTAGAGAAGAGGGAGGGTCCGGCCAATGCACAGAAACGCGTGTCATCTCGCCCATATACTCGGGTCGGCAGTCCCATCCGTGCGCCGGAGTCCCCGTCCTCGCCGCCTCCCTGGCCCCAGGTATACTCCGGGTCGATGATGATAAAAGCATTCAACTCTCGTTCGCAGCAATATGGTATGTGGCCTCTAGAAGCATGATAACAGTATGCCCATCTAGAGTGTCGAAATCCCGGTGCGCCAGTATGCGTAAAAGCCACGTCTTTGTATCTTAGGACCCTAGTAATGGCCCCGCGGACGGTCGCTATCGTAACAATAACTCACTAGACATCGTGAAAGCCACGCAAATCCCGCGAATTCCACGAGTTCTAGGGTAGGCGCGCTCAAGGTGCCCCTTTAGGGCGGCAGATAGGAGAATGGGGGAAACGAAGCGGAGCAGATCACCTGCCGTTAACCCTCTTGCCGGTTCTAATCCGGTCCTTGCAGTTATCGCAATACCATTTCACTACCCGAGCTTGTTAGCTAAATCTGCTTCAGCGGCCAGCGCGTTTGCTGGAGACGCGGCTTACTGTTCGACGGCGGGGCTGCCTTCAAACCAACGCAGTCGAGATGGAACCATTCCCGCTCGCAGTCCTCGGCATCGCACGCAACCATCTCGCCGTAGCTCACGCCGTTGCAGTAGCAGTAGAGAGGCTCGTCGGCGTCGGCGTCGCCCTCGTCGTCGCCCTGCACGCTACTGTTCGCATCTTCGTCAGCGACTCGCGCGGCAACCTGCTGCGCGGCCCCCTTTTTGTGGCTCCGCTTCGCGTTCGTAGTCGTCGTCGTCGTCGTTCGTGACGACCGGGATCGGGCCGGCGGGTCTGGGAATGACCCTAGTGCTGGTGTTGACGGCTTACTAGCTCGTCCGCTCTTTGTCGTAACGACAGTCGTCGTCGTTGTCGGCTGTACCGGTACGGAATCCACCTTGGGTTCCACATCATCCCCTTTCGCAACCGTCTCTTTCTTGTTATTTCCGGCCGTGATGCTGGCGCTCGCGATAGTGTGTACCGCCTCTTCCTTCGAGGCTTCGACTTTGACTAATGGAACGGTTTCCTTGCTTGTCTTAGTTTCAGGCGGTGGGCGGATCCCGTTGTGCGTTGTCGAAAGCTCTTGAGTCGCGGGTGCGGTACCATTTGGTCGGTTCGACGCAGACGAGGTAGGCCGCTGCCGACCTGTATCCACGTTGGATTGTATGGAATTCTGTCTCGCCCGGGACGATGTAGGGCGCACGGAAGTCGTGGAAGGCGCTGGGGATCCGCGACCAACGGCTTTTTGGTCGCCGAAAATGGGTTGGGTCGGGGAGGCTGCGATCGGAGGCGAAAACGTGGCGGCGGCGGCGGCGGCGGCGGCAGTGACGGTCGTTTTGCTATAGAGGGGAAGGAGTCAGCCGTGGGAAAATTAGTACGAGCAGCGGAGGGAGGAGGTTCCCACCTCTTTTTCGAGGCGCCGTTAACGGTCGGGAGGGCTTTGCGCTTCTTGGGAAGTTCGGGCGCAGGCGTTGCCCTCGGACTAGAGTTCTTGTTGGTCTTGGAAGCATTGCTGCCAAAGACGGAACTTATCGCACGCTCCATGGGCTGCCCACCGTTGACCGGTTTGTTGGCCTCGACTTTGCGTCGTTTTGAAGGGGGATTCCCGTTGGTGGTGGGGGTAGCGGTCGGGGTAGAGGTGACGATGGTATTGTGGGTGCTGTTATTGTTGGTGGTAAGGGTGCTAGCAGCGGTACCTGGGGTGGTGATTAGTGTAGTAGTAGCGGCGCTACTGTTGGTGACAGCACCTGCGGTGATGCCTAGCCCAACGGGAATAGTGTTCTCGGCGGTTCTGCGGGCCTTGCTATTGCTGTGGCCATTGTTGGGTGCCTTCTTCATTGACTCGCCCTTATGCTTGCCCTCGTGGTCATCCACATCCGAGTCCTGATGTTGGTTTTTGAGCCCTTTCTTGGCGATGATGGCTTGCTTTCTCGCGTCGCTTCGCGCCGCAGCCTCGTCCGCGAGCTGCTGGGCGGCGGCCGTGATGGTAGCCGCACCGTCTCGGCGCGATCGCTCCGTTTGGTTCGCTCTGTTGAGCCTATTCTCGGGATATGCCCAGTGGGTATTGCTGCCCCATTTGGCTTCGTCGCTAAACTCGGCTTCGAGGTGTGGCCACACGTCGTTGATACGGGCAAGTTGTTTAGAAAGTGCTTCATTCGCGGTCGATATGACATGGTTCTTCTCTTCTAACGACACAAGCATCTCTTGGACTTTGAAGGCGGTTTGTCGAAACAGCTGCCGTCGCGGAAGGTTGCTGGGGTCAAAGGCAGGGGAATTGTAATTGTCATCGGTCGACCCGGGCGGGTTTCCGTTCGTAGGAAAGCCACTTGGGCTGTTCTGGGTGCTCATCGGCGTCGAGGCGGCAGCGACGCTGCTCGAGGCATCGTTGGCGTTCCTGGGCTCGGGAGGTCTCGACTTGAGGACGGCATTAACGAGCTGGAAGAGAGTCTCTTCAGGTGCGAAGATCTTTGCATCAACTTCCTTGAGGAGGGTGAAATGCCGGACGAGATCTTTGGGGAGTGAGGTGATCGCATCGGTGAAGTATGTGACCGCGGGGAAAACGTCGATGGGCTGGTCGTGGCCGTGACTGGCTCCCAGAGAATCTCTGGCGCTGAGGATGCGGCCCGGGCCAGACGACGCTCGCGGGGGATTCGCCCGAGTCTGGCGAACGGGCTGAGCTCTCCGACTCGACGAAGGACCAGCGTCCACCTGGGGCGGCTTGGCGGTCTTCATCGTGACTTCTCGCAAGGTTATTAGGGTGGGGAGGGAACGAAGAGGGGGGGAGAGCGCTGGAGGGTAGGGTTGGTCGAGGTGGTGGACAGCAGGAGGAGGGAGTAGGAGGAGGAGAAGGGGGAGGTAAGGCGGCGGGCCGGCGGGCGGCAGGAGGATCTATTGTTGTTGTTGGAGCGACCGGACAGGGCGACTTTGCGGCGGGAGGAGAGCGAACTAGAAGCTTCAAAGACGGAAGCTCAAGTCATTTTGCGACAGGGAGTAGACGATACCGGTAGGAATAGGACGGAGAGTAAGACGAAAAAGGCGTGCAGAAGCGGAGGCGCAAAACTGCATGAAGACGTAGGTGAGGGAATGGATAAGATTTGTTCAGTGTGTCGAGTTGGTAGCAAGTGTGCTTTTGTCGGTGCGCGCTGCCTCTATCGGCGCTCCAGGTTCGAACTGACTGACAACTGCAAGGCCCGCTATACATTGGGTACTTCGGGGACAGTATGCGCCTATCGTTGGTACCCAAGGTCCCTATCAGAGGTACCTACCACCCCCGGCACCTCCTAACTTGCCCGCCTAGAGCGCCCGAGGTCCCCTAGGAGGTATGTACTCATACCTTGCGGGCAACCGGCATTTCGGCTCGCGTGATTGGTTGGAGTAAGTACGGCCAACCGCTAAAAACCCGGCGGGTCCGAGGGATAGTTAATCCGTTATCGGGTTGAGATAAGAGATAAGGTCTGGCCGTCGCACCCATCTACGCCGTTAGTGCCTCGGCACCGTTCCGTTATCCGTCGTCACCTTAGGTAATCATCTCTTTTCCTCCACACGTCAAGTCTCGTGAGCCTCCACGCATCGTCACCCGCAGGCCGTCCGACGGGCGTACGCCCACGCCCACGCCCACGCCCACGCCCGCGCAACTATCCTAATTCGATACGGGGCCGGGTCTAGGGAGCCCTCCGTGCAAGTTTGTATGAACTCGGTAGGGAAGACGCATTTGTATCGGGATTTTCTACGGCATGCTTGGGATTAGAAGGGTCAAGGTAGATACCTACTGCGTCGTACGTTGCCTTGATTCGTCGTGTAGCGATGCGCACAGATACGTCTACCACCTGTTCCGAATCGTCATACAGAAGTAGACACGTATAAGCGCCGATTTCTACAGCCATTCCTTTTGTCTCCCACCATCCTTCTCCGGGTGTGTGCTTTCGAAATAGAACCGTGGTCTACCTTTACTATTAGCGCTAGCATTTTCAAATCAAACGCCGGTTCGTGGCCGGCTTCATCGCCAACTCGCTCGAACGCAACACGACACTGAGCCGTCTATCCTACACACCACACGATCCTACTCCCCGTCTCACCTGCGTGAGCCTTCCTTCTCCGTTAACTTCTTTTGCCGCCATTGCCATTCCAGAAGCATGGGCACGAAGTGCCATAGATCGAACTCGGGCCAGAGGCATTTCAGAAAAAATATGTGGGTATCTTGGTGACACTGCCACAACATGAAGTCGCTCAACCTCATGACGCCACTGGTTCGGATAAAAATATCCAGGGGCGGGCAGTCGGCTGCATAGGTGTGGCTGTTGATCGTTTTGGCCGTGATGGTCTCTGGATTTTGGAATTTGATCGGCTTCGCCGGCGTAGATTGTAGAGGTGGTGAGTCGGGGTCTAGCGCCGTAGTCGAAGACATGGAATCGTCAATATCCGACCTGTCATTTCGATCTGGCGAAGAATCATTGGATGAAGAGGAGTCCGACTTTTTCGACTTGTTGGATCGTATCTTCTGGGTAATGCGCGTCTGCGAGAAGGGCGTGGCTGGCAACCGGGGCGGATTTGTATATTCGGTGACCGTGGCCTTGATAGCGCTAGTCATCTCGGCCCTCGAAGTGTAAGGGAAGCATATGTTAAGCACGGCTCTGGGACGGAGCGAACGATTAGTGCCAGAAGTGAATGAGGGCGCGCAGTAACATCCCCCTCTCTGGGATTAACACTTACTCCTTGTTATCCTTGGTCATCTCGATGGCTCGGTCGACGTAAGGCAGCACGTCATCTGGGATCAAGTCGCGCTCTCCGAGAACCCGAATTCCGGCACCATACCGGTCGAGCAGCTCGCCATGTTGGACGAGTTGTTCCAGCTTGACCTTGGCCATCGCCATCAAGCCGCTCACCTCGTGCCTCGGCCGGTTGAAGTTTTCAATGCTGAAGGCGTACACAGTCACAACTTTGACGCCGCATTTGTAACAAATCTCCAGCACCCTCGCAAGGGCCTCGAAGCCGAGGTGGTGGCCTTCTATAGTTTCGATATGGTGGTGTTTGGCGAAGCGTCTATTGCCGTCCATCTCGAAGGCGACATGTTGGGGTATCGGCCCTTGCTTAAGAGTACCTATGAGCAACTCCCGGGCGCTTTTCATCATCCACTCCCCCGGTGGCGACTTCAAGATCCAGTTTCTAAAATGTGAGAGATATAGGTCGGACATGGCGGATCTCGGTTACGGGAACTGGTCAGATGAGGGCTCTGGTAGGGTTCATGAAGATGGACAGTTGAATGGGGCGGCCTGGGGGTCAATTAAGAAATAAACGAGAGTAAGTAGATCTGCCCCAGGAAGGCTATGCCCTTTGCCTTGGCAAAAGAGGGTGATGACGACGATGAGGTTCAGCCACGGTGAATTCGTGGATGTGGCACGCAGAACAGACTAATGACAACTAGGGAGGTTTTAAGGAATCCCTCCGAGGTATCGAAGTGTTTTAGGTACGTAGTAGAGCAATTTCAGGCCAAGTTGTCACAGCTGGGCTTGAGGTCACTAGGCAGGTAGGTACCATCCGAAAACTGCGCATGCAGTATCCTTGCAGGCAGGACAGTTAGGGCAGCCCCGCTTTGAGAATATCCTCCACATTATCACTAGTGCCCGTCTAATCGGCATCAAATGTTGCATAATATAGCATCCCCCATAGCCACCCTCGGTACTGTGGCACCTGAGGAATCAGGCATTAAGAAAGGAGCCCTGTGATTAGTAGAATTAAAGAAAAAACACGCAATAGCTAACTATTCGTAAAACGCTATATTTAAGCCCTTTTAGTAGTTTAGTTTTTATACCTTTAATTAATTAACTAGGTTTACCTTTTAATTCGTTTTACGTATCTTAAGATTAAGGTAGCGAGGCTACGAAAGAAACCGTTATTAAAACGTATAAATAGCTATTTACTATAGGTAGAACGTTAGTGATATAGTTATTAATCGATTAATAGTAATTAAAGTTATTCTTAATCTTTCTACGGCTTTACGAGCCGTTCCTAATACTTTACGATATCCTTACCGCTTATCCTAAAGTTTTCTTCGTTAGGAGAGACGAGCGCCGAGCCTACTACCGACTTAAAAGCCCTTATAGGTAATCGAGTTACTTACGGTAAAATAATAAACGGTACTTATAAACGCATGGAGCTTTTAACTTATAATTTCCGTATAGAAACGACCTTTTATATGGAGGAGCTTCGAGCTAGCCTCGAGCGAAGCTTTAAATAGCGTTTCGACGAACGCCTCGAACTTATATAATAATAGCTATAAATAATAATAGAATATATTACGAAGCGTAAGAATCGTAGGATTAATTAATTTATAAGTTAGTTACTTAAACGGGTTATCTTAAGCTTTCCTATACGAGCTAGGATTACTTAGTTTACTTTACCGCCGATAGGTAAGGTTTTAAGAGATACGAGGCGATAATAGCCTAAATAGCTTAGGTTTAAGGCTATCTTATAATATAGTTCTTAAGGCTTAGCTTTTACTTAGGCCTTATTTTTAATAATAAATATAGCTCCTTTTATAATCCTTTTTATCGCTTTTCTTATAGTACCTCTTATTATCCTTCCCGTAATACCTCTTATTACTTATTCCGCCGTACCTTTAGCGATTCCTTATGCCGTTCCGCCGGTTAGGCCGCCGTTAATAGCGGTAGTTACGTATCCGGTACCGTTTTTATTCGTATAAGAGGCCGAATCTAGCTTACGATATACGTCGGGAAGAATTAATTTTTACGGATATACGGCGCTAGGCGTAGCGTTTACGCGGTAGGAGGTAAAAGTTAAGGCCTTATAGCCGGAAGTAATCCTTCCTAGCGAAGTAATATACCTTTATTTATCGGATAATAAGAATAAAGTCGTAATATCCTTAAGCTATCGATTAATATAAGCCGATAATATAATCCTTTAAAAATTAAACGATATTTAGAACCGTTTTTAAGGCGTATAAGTTCCATATAATTACTAAACGTAACGAATAAGGATCGAATTAATAAGCGACTTTTAATAGGTCGCTATCTTCGCTTGAAACTACCTACCTTCGTAGATAACCTTCGTAAAAGATATCCTTTAAGTATTCGTAAATAATTACGTACTTTATAGCTTAATAACGTCGTTTACGACGTTACTACCTTTTTAGAACGAAAGTATTATTAACTTCGTACGCCGTTTACGTAAGGCATTTTATAAATTACTTTATTAGGGATAGTAAATAGTATAAATCCGCGAGGTAGTTCTCGATTTAATCCGTAACTACTTATCTAATATTTAGATAGTTATAGAAAACGGTCTTTTTATATAGAATACGTACGATATTATCGAGCGTATACTTCGCTACGTAAGATCTTTTACGCGTAAAGCGATTAAAGTTAAAGTTTACGGTACGCTAGTAGTTATAATATAACTAATACCCTCAATTACTAAGAAGATACCGACATACCTTATACCTACGAACCTAATCGGAACCTACCGATTAACGCGAAAGACCTATACAGACGATACCGCGATACGAAACAAATAAAATATTAAACAAAACAGCCTAGAAATAGCCATAGGAAAGAAACGAATTATAGGTTAATGCCCGAAGACCCCTCTTATCGCCCTTACCGATATATAGTTAGTAGGAAGAGCCCAGAGAGCCCCTAAAACCACGTATAGGGGAGGGATCGAGGGTCAAGGGAAGCCCGGTAAATACTACCGGACGAACAACAGTCAGAACGGTCACACGAGTCATAGTCGGGCATAAATAGGATATATTAGTTAGTTTATAGGATCAGGAATTAGTTAAAAGGGATCGGTAATAATTATGAACGAGAAGGACGGGATTACGTTACATCGTATAGGGATTATTTCTTTCGTTTCTTACGGGAGCTACGCTTATTTTACCTACCCGTTATAGTTCCTATTTTCCGATTAATCCCTATTATTTCTTAGTAGCCCTAATAAAGCTAGCTCGCTCCTAGTTAATTAGGGTTAATTAGGAACAGATTAATCAGGTTAGTTTACAGGTTACAGCTCCGCTAGCCCAGTTCTTATTATCAGATCTTTCCTATTTCCTATTAATCGTTAATTAAACTAACTCAGCTCCTAGTTAGTAACGATTAAATAGGTTTAGGATTAATTAGGTTTAGGTTTAGGATCAGGTACGGCTGCAGTTAGTCACCCACCCCACCACCCACTTATTACTATTGCAATCGCCTAGTTAACCTATTTCCTAACTTATCCTATTAGCCTTTTGTCACGTAGGCATGCACCCCTAGTGGGAACCACCTAGCTTACCTAAGCTAGCTAAGCACTACTATATGTACCTATAGATCGCTTCATACTCTCTAGTAGCTTTCCTTCTTTTCTAGTTAGTTAATATATACCTTCTTACCCTTATTCCATTACTTTCTTTACGAATAACCTATTAACTTAAGCTTAGCTCTCGCTAGCTACGTAATAGTTATAAGCCCGGGGTACTTCTAAGGAGCTATTATTACTTAGGTTATTCTAGCGTAAGTAAGTAATATATTCATCCATCTTTTAGATCTTACGATTATATTCCCTTTTCATTTCTAAACCGGTACTTTACTCTCGTATCTAGCTTTAAATAATCGCTTACTTATTTCGCTATAACGACTAATACTTCCGAATTCTTTTTAGATAAGATTCTAGTTAACGTTTACTTACGAGCTTATAATAAGTAGCTACGTTAATTCCTAACGCTTAAGTCGATAGCTACTTAGTTCGGTATTTAAAAGGACGTTAATCTAGATAGAGCTAAGTTTAACGCTACTCGAGTCGTAGTAAGTATTCTTAAGGAGTATATTACTTAAGAGAACGAACTCCTTAAAGAAAACTATAAGAAAGCCGTTTACGAATAGGCGTCGATCCTAACCAAAGACCGAGGAGATTAGCTACTAAGGCTTAAGGTACGAACTCGAAAGTAATAAACGGTAACGTATAATAAGTTCGTTTCTTAGTAAATAACGATCGAGGCTTAGGTTATAGCTACTAATAAGTAACATAGGGTCCTCTATAGCTAGATTCTCGCTTCTATTTCTATAGGCTTTCTTAAAGTAGCTAATATAGAAATATAGTTCCTAGATCTCGACCTAATTATTTAAAACCTCGTAAAGATCTTCCGTAAGTAGATTACTTCTACCGAAGCCGTTATTAAGACGCTTATTAGACGAGAATATCGTAAGGTACTCTAGAAAGTAAAGGTAGGTACTTATAATCCCGAGTAATTTTACGCTATATAATAATACGTCTTCTTTCGCGCTCGCGCCTATTATATTAACGAAATTAAGGGCGTTATAGGAGCAAAGGATTTCCTCGAAGTAATTAGGGCTAAGATCGTAATCGACTAAGCTATACGGGTATTAATCGCTCTTACTAAAGCTAATAAACTCGGCGAATAACTAAAAACCCTTAAGTAATTAGGCATCGTATTTAGCGCTTTCGCTACCGAGAATAAATAGAAAGGTAAATTAGGTTATAGAATTTTCGTAATAGCCTACTAAGGACCGACTTTAGGAGCGAAATTAGCTAATAATAGCGGCTAAGGAAAACTAACGAGCTACGAATGCCTTTATAAGTCTAGAGGTAAACCATATTTATAAGTAGCTCGCTCTTATAAAATCCTATAGAAGTCCGTTACTAATTAAACTATACGTAACCTAAAGCCGATTCCGGTTAATATCATACGAAAAATTAAGGCTAAATACGACTTACTTAAATACGTTAAGTTTCGAAACTAAATTAACCGCTAGGAGTAGGACGTTCCCGTAAATAATATACCTAATAATCGCTCCGGGAACGGGGAAGGAAATAACGCTATTACTTAATTAGCTAATATTAACGTAATAATAATCGACCTACGTATTATATACCTATTTATTTAAATTAGGATTTATTTTATTATAAACTTAGTCCGATACTTACTATCGGAAAGTACCGTCTTCGATAACTATAAAGTAATTTACCTTATTAATAATCGTAATCTTCTAATAGAGGGGTTATTCGTTTCCGCTAGAGACGGATAGACGGTCGAAGTTAATACTACGAGCTTTTTTATTACTAATACGGGTCGTAAGATTATCGAGAAGTATATTTTGGATTAATCCGGTAAGCCTACCTTTAATTTAAAGCTTAAGGATATCGTATTTATTAAAGATTTTTACGTTAATATTATCTCTAAGGCGAAACTTCGTAATATAGGTATTTAGTTTTACGGTTTAAATTATATTTTAAGGAATGGAACCCTCGAGAAAAGTATTATAATAAGGAAGCTAGAGCGACGCTTTAACCTAGTCTTTTTCGAATTTAAGTAATTCTCTTCTTATTCGTAAGTCCTACTCGTAATATTATTTATAATACTATCGAGTATTTTACGTAGCGTAGCGTCGATCGTAATAATACCTTATTTCCCGGAAAGAAACGTCCGGTAGAAAAGATCGAGAGATATTACTAAACCGAGAGAAGACTCCGAGATATTCTAGTATTAGCGAGTAAGGTATCTTAGTTTTAAAGCGCTTAGAGCCCTCGTTAAAAACGCCCGGAACG